TTTATTTAAATAAAAAAAAAAAAAAAAAAAAAAATAATAAATAAGAAGAAGAAAAAAAAAATGAGAGGAATAGTTAAGTTTGGTATAAGCCTAGCAAAGCCAAGTCCTTATTGGCAAGGTATTGGCATTGTGAGAATGATGATATTGGCACAGAACAATGTCTTGGAAAACGTGAGATGGTATTATGTTTAGAAAAAAAATAAAATAAAATAAAATAAAATAAAAAGAAGAGGGGACACGCAAGAAGTATTGGCACAGATAGTTGCAACAGTTGAACAATAACTACATCAAATATGGGCACATAGAAGTTCAAAAGATCTCTCTTTTTTTTATTATTCTTCTTCTACTTCAATTCTTCGATTCTTTCCTGCTACTTCATCTCTTGGCGAAGAAGAATAGACGTGTTAATAACAAAAAATAAAAATAAAATGGGCCAACTCTTGGTATATCATGTAGGGTCGAAGTAAGAAAATATCAAACTCTTGTTAGATGGTTTAATTTTTTTTTTTTTTTTTTTTTTTTTGGATGGTTGTGGTATTAAACTATTCATATGGTAAATTTTTTAATTTTTTATTTAAAAAAAAAAAAACTAAAGATTAGAAATTTTTTATTCTCTACACATAACAAAACAAAAAAAAAAAAAAACCCCTTTTCTTTGGAGGATTGAAAAATTATCTGAGACTGACTGCGCATATTGTAGCACAGAAAGTTCTTTACACTATTTCATGACATCACGGCTTTTATCATAAATACTTTAAAAGTACTTCTAACAAGCACATGTTTGATTTAAAGATTTCTATTGGTTCATTTATTATTATTATTATTATTTTTTTTTTTTTTTTTGGTAATGGCCATATAACTTTAAAATAGAATTTACATAAACTGATTGCTCTGATTTTTTTTTTTTTTTTTTAAGTCCAAACACGCGCAAGTTTTCCAAAAGGGTTTTAATGCGTCAAAAGAAAATAAAAAAAATTAAAAAAATACAAAGATCGGAAAAAAAAAAAAAATTATTAGCACGGCTGATATATACACACTGGCTGGCTGCTTAAAAAAATATTTTAATATTTTTTTTAAAACAAAATAAAAGTAATTTGGTGGACAACATTTTAAGCCAATCAAATGTTTAAGATAGCCCACGAGGGTGCATCCATAGGTTCTGGATGTTAGACTTTTGTCTGGGGGGGATGGAGGTAATATATGTAAAGAGACGACCTCAAAGGGCCAAAAAAAAATAAAAAATAAATAAAAAATAAATAAAAAATAAATAAAAAAAAAAGAAATTGATTATCAAAAGTGTAGTAGTAATAGTAGTAGTCTGTTGTAAAGCTGCTTCACACTGAGCTACTCTGAGAACCTTTAGGCCGGTTGTAAATCAGAAAAAAAAAGCTGCCATTTTCTCAAGATAAACAAACAAAATATATCATTTTAAGGCTTGAGAGGGTGTTTGATTCAAATTCAAATATTTGTAATTAATTTTTTTTTTTTTTCATTTCATTTTATTTATTCATTTATATATAAATCATATTGTCTTTCAAGTTAGTTGTAAATTCATATAATTTTTTTTTATATTGTTTTTTATAGAAAATCGTTTGATTCTTGCTTTGTATCTTCCCCCTTCCCCCAGTATACTTCTTGCTGTCATAACTTGTTGGTTTTATTTTTATTTTTATTTTCATTTTTTTTATTCTTCTTTTTTTGATAATAAATGGCTGCCAACTACTATCATTACTCTGCTGAACCTGACTACATCTGACTACACTTGGCTACACCTGGCTACACTTAGATACATTTGGATACAACTGGCATACAAAAAAAAAAAAAAACAATTTTTTTTTTTCCTTCTGCTACCAAACCTAATGTCGGCTTTGCTGTTGCATTTGGGAGCATATCCGGAGGGCCTTTTCTTTCAATCTCTCTCTCTTTTTCACTTTTTTTTTTTTTTACTTGTAAGAAGAAAAGAAAAAAAAAAAAATTTTTTTCCGGCTTTCTATATCCTCAGGTTGTTAGTGTAGTATATAGTATATATTGGTATATACAGTATACAAAGCTTGTAGTACTTTTCCTCCCACCAAGTTTCCCCAGGTCTTTTATTTAATTTTTATTTTTTTAAGATGTAAGCAAAACTGAGATTTGAGAGCAACAAAAACAACTTTGGGATTAAATTTTTTTTTTTTTTTTTTTACTAATATTGGTTGGTAAATGAGACTTAGAACATGCTTCTTTTTAAAAATCAACAAGTAAAAAAAAATTTTTTTTTTTTTTCTTCTTCTTTTTTTGCTTGTAAACTTAACCAGCTCCGGATGGGCTACAAAGGTTTCTCGCTTGGACATGCAGAGAATGGAACCCTTTTGATTTCATCTTCTTAAGAGAGTTTGTAATTTATTTATTTTATAATTTATTATTATATTGCAAAAAAAAAACTAAAACTCATGATCATATAATGATTGATAACTTAATCATGATTAAGTTATTAAGCTTTATCGTTCTTTTTTTGTTTTTGTTTAAATAAATAAATAAATAAATAAAATAAAATAAATGTGACCCTTTTTTCATAGTGATGATGACTTCTATACTTCTACCAGAAACGAAAAAACCTCCTCTCCTTTTACTCTCTTTTTTGCACCATCTTTCTCTCTAAAGGCTATTTTATTATTATTATTATTATTATTATTATTATTATTATTATTATTATTATTATTATTATTATTATTATCTTTATACTATATCAGTCATTTAATTATACTGATCTATTATGCTGCTGCACTGATAGATTTCATTTTCACGGATTGTGCAGTATATATACAATGCGCGCAAACCCCACTACTCTTTTCAGCCGATCTAACTGCTGCTGTTGCTGCTGATGCTGCTGCTTCAAAGTGCTGCTTTCTAGGAGGCCTCCTTGCTGCTTCTTTTTTGATTGTAGTTTGTAATAATAATTATATATATATATATATATTTTACTTGTTAAAACAATCAATCTCCAATTACAATTAATTACAACAAAAAAAAAATAAATAATAAATTATCTATACTGAGATAAGATAGTGATTTTGTTTTTTATTAAAATATCTAAAGATAAATCTTTTGTATGGGTTTACTATTGTTTTTATCTTAACAATTGAACAATAATAGATTTTTTTTTAAAGAACCAAAAGAAAAAAAAAAAAGAAAAATACTTTATTAATATATATATATATAAATTTTTTCATTCCAGAACCCTTTAATACTCTTTGTTATGGGGTTGTTCTTCTTAAATTCTAAATCATTCTTGTAGGACCTAAATATGAAACCCAATTGTATTGATTGATTGATTGATTAATTAATGTCGCGTGACCTCTTACTTAAAACTAACAATCATTATATTAGTCATGATTATATAAACATTGCGCACACGACCTCCTTCCTCTTAAATTCAAAAAAAAAATTTTTTTCTTGCCTGTCACCGCCCGTCTTTTTAAAATAAAAAAAATTTCTTCTTCCCCCTAATAAAAATTTATTTATTTTTATTATATACAAAGGCCGTATTACTTTCGGTACCACCAACCGAAATATAAAAAAAAAAAAAAATCCAAAAATCCCAAACAGGAATTCGTCCACGCGAGCACCCAAAAGCCCTTAAAACAAGCAGCCATCAAAATCTTTAAACTCATCTCTATATTATATACATACAAAATAATAATAATAATAATGGAGACCTTTTTTTTTTTTTTTTTTTTAATTTATGTTTATTTATTTGATATTGAGAAGATATAAATTACTACAATTCTAATAAAACATTTCATTTATATGTATAACAAGACAAAAACAAACTTCAATGAATTAATCATTCATTATTTCTAATATTTATTTAAATTTTTTTTTTTTTTTTTTTCCCCCCCAAAACCAAAGGTTCTTTAACCTTAAGCTCTTTGTCAACAACGGCTGTTGGTCACTAAAAATAAAAAAATAAAAAGTTGAGGGAAAAGCCTTGCGTAAGTCCTTTCTTTCTTTCTTTCTTTCTTTTTTTAATGAAACGGCCCTCTCTCTTACGTTCTCGTCGAGACTTGTCTTTAGAGGATGACTTTCTCTCTTAATAGTCTTTAAATGCCATCTTTATTCATTCACGGGCAAAAAAACAAAAATAAAATAAAAAAACATCAAGAGCAAGCATTAACATTCATTTAAGCTCATAGCCGGTAAATAAATAAAAAAAAAAAATTTTTTCTTTCATTTTTATTAACTTGAACTTCATAAACAGTTATTTATAATCCACAATTCAAAAATTTTTCTTTTCTTTTCATAGTAACCGTCTTTATCACTTTTATTATTATTATTATTATTATTATTATTATTATTATTATTATTATTATTATTATTAAAATCAAAACATTAAAACAAAATTCGACTTATTAGACTTAATGGTTAAAAAAAAAAAAGAATCTTTACTGTTTGATCCAAATTGTTAATCCGCATAATCACTAAAGAATTAAATGAAATGGATTTCTCGGCAATCATAGAAAAAATAAAAAAAATCAAAATTTATAATAATATAGTAGATATTATTATTATAAAAATGCATATTATGATAAATATAACTAGCGGCCAATATTTATCTGCCCTCCGATCGGCCTAGGAATCTCTCGGGATGATGTCGTCGTCCTTGTCGTCCCTGAATGGGATGTATCTCTACATGGATTCTCTCTGTACGTGTGAGTCTGCTCTCGCCAAAGCTCTTTTAGTGTTAAAGATTACTTTCTTTTTTTATTTTTTTTTATTTTTATTTTTTTTTAATCTTTGAATCCCCCCCAATAATTCCCTTTTATTACCTAGTTTTCAAAAAAATTTTTTTTTTATTCTACACCATAATTTTGTCTTTAACTTCCTTTCTTTAAATCCTTTTCTTTTCTAATATAAATACTAGCTCAATTTCCCTCAAGTGTACAATTTATTTTTCTTCTTCTTCTTCTCTTTCTTCATCTCTATATACTCAACTTCATACTCTCCCTTACCCTCAAACAATGTCCCAACCTCAAGCTGGTGTCAAAACTGAAGGTGGTAACGCCGCCTTCCACAACTTCGTCAATGACTTTGCTCACATCACCGACCCTTATGAGCGTCGCCGTCTCGCCTTAGAGAAGATTGACAATGCTTCCTTTGGTTGGTACCACGTCCGTGCCATCTGTGTCGCCGGTATTGGTTTCATGACTGACTCCTTTGATATCTTCTCTATTAACCTCGCCACTTCCATGTTTGTCTACGTCTACTGGGGTTACGGAACTAGCCACAACGGTAAACTCCCCTCCGCTACTTCTACTCTCATCAAGGTCTCCACTTCCGTCGGTACTGTCATCGGTCAGCTCTTCTTTGGTTGGCTCGCTGATGCTGTTGGTCGTAAGAAAATTTACGGTGTTGAACTCATGATTATCATTGCTGCTACTATCGGTCAAACTATCACTGGTCACTCCGAGGCTATCAGTTTTGTTGCTATCCTTACCTTTTGGCGTATTATTATGGGTATTGGTATCGGTGGTGACTACCCTCTCTCTTCCATTATTACTTCCGAATTTGCTACTACCAAGTGGAGAGGTGCTATCATGTCTGCTGTCTTTGCCAACCAAGGTTGGGGTCAGCTTCTTGCTGGTATCGTTGCCCTCATTTGCGTTGCTGGCTGGAAGGATGATCTCATCTATGCTGAAAACGTTGGCATGTGCGACCACCGTTGCATGAAGGCCTGTGATCAGATGTGGCGTGTCCTTATTGGTGTTGGTGCCATTCCTGCTGCCGGTGCCCTTTACTTCCGTCTAACCATTCCTGAAACTCCTCGTTATACTTTTGATGTTTCCAAAGACGTGGAAAAGGCTGCCGCTGATGCTGAACAATTCACTTCTGGTGAAATTGGTGCCGCTCCTGAAAGCGCTGTTGATGAACTCCGCCAAACCGTTTCCAATAATGAGGAAGAATACGAGGCTCCTAAGGCTTCTTGGAAGGATTTCTGGAGCCACTTTGGACAATGGAAGCATGGAAAGATTCTTCTTGGTACCGCCGGCTCTTGGTTCTTCCTTGATGTTGCTTACTACGGTCTCTCTCTTAACAACTCTGTCATTCTCGGTGCTATTGGTTATGCCGGTCAGTCCAACGTTTACCACAATCTTTACAATACTTGTGTCGGTAATATCATTCTTATCTGCGCTGGTTCCATTCCTGGTTACTGGTTCAGTGTTGCCACCATCGATACTATCGGCCGCAAGCCTATTCAACTCTTTGGTTTCACAATCCTCACTGCTCTTTTCTGTATTATCGGTTTCGCTTACCACAAGATCTCCGGCCATGCTTTGCTTGCTCTTTACGTTCTTGCCCAGTTCTTTTGCAACTTTGGTCCCAACACTACCACTTTCATCTACCCTGGTGAGATTTTCCCCACCCGTTACAGATCTACTGCCCACGGTATGTCTGCCGCATCAGGCAAGATTGGCGCCATTATCGCTCAGTGCGTCTTGGGTCCTCTGATTAACCACAACTGTCCCAAGAAGGACAACTGTTGGCTCAACCACGTCATGGAAATCTTTGCTCTTTTCATGCTTTGCGGTATCTGCACAACTCTTCTTCTTCCTGAGACTAAGCGCCAGACTCTGGAAGAAATCTGCGAGAAGCACCACGGTGAAATTGACATTGCTAAGCACCGCTACGAGGCCAGATTGGCTAAGGAAGCTGAGGCTGAAGGCATGGCCAGTAACTCCGAGATTGTCTAATTCGATAGAAGAGTGTTTGCTTGACTTTCCCGCACCCCATTTATGCATGAAGTTAGATTTTTAATGACCCCCTCCCCCATTTTCTAGTTTGTTTGTTTTTTTGTGTTTTTTATATATATACTTTTAAATTAAATTTTGTATACAGTTTTTTAAAATTGTTACCTTTAACCACGTATATCTTTTTGGTGTACTTAATGTAATGTTCCTGAGACTCAAATTCTGGAATGGACCTTTTATTAAAAATTTTTTTTTTACATAATTCTCGTTTTAGTAAAAAAAAAACCCAAAAAAAAAGTTCTCGTCTATTTTACGGTAAGATGAAAACAGAAAAGGACCTTGCAGAAGTCCAAAAGCCAAAAATTAAAACAAACAAACAAACAAACAAAAAAAAATAAAAAGAAATAACCGTTTTAAACTAACACTTTACAAGTCTCATCCCATCCCAGGTCTTGACGCCACGCTACTATCTGTACATTCAAAAAAAAAAAAAAAAAAATAACACGGCTAAAGAACAGACGTACAATTACATATTTATTAAAGCCAAGGCTATATTTCTACCAGCTAAATTAAATATAGAAACATATACTTTTTTGTGCATAAGAAAATCTCTTGAAAAATGAGTGTATGGGTGTGATAGTGGATATAGCTATGACTATGAAAAGGGGGTTCCTTGTAAGTTAGAATGTCGAAGAAGAATAAAATGGGCAACAATAAGGAAACAAGTTAATGAAAAAAGGTTGGGGATGGAGAAACTCAGAAAAAAGGGGGAGGAAACGAGGGCTCGGTCTCCGTCGGGGGTATCTTTTTTGTTGTTACAACTAAGACAATAAAAGAACCTTTGTTATATTTCCTTCAAAAAAGAGAGATTAGATTTTACTCTGTCTCATGTACCCTCTAAATTGTTCTTCACTAAATTAATGCTAACTGTATAAACATGAGAGAAAAAAGAAGACCCCACATGAAGACAAACATACTAATAATCAGTGTGACCCCAATCTTAAAAAAACTTGGTGGTGGCTGTGTGAAATTTTGATATACAAAAAAAAAAACAAATTTGATTTATTTAGCTAGTGTGTACGGAATGTTAGAGCTATCTCTTTTTTTTTTTTTGAGTCTTAGAATCAGACCATAAGCTTATATATATTTTTATAATAAGTACTAAAAGAGTGTCCAGCACTCTTAATTGGTAGATTTTTTTTTTAAACTATCCAGGCCATATTTAAACTAACAAGCCAATAGATTTAAAAAGGAGAAATTGAAAATAAAATGGAGAGCAGAAATGAGTTTGAAGATTTTTAAAGAGATGAAGAAATGAAATAAGAACAAGACTTATACTTAAACTTACTTGCCAGATTTGGGAGGATCGTAAACCACAATATTACTGTCAGGGCATCCACCAACCATTCTACAATCTCTGCGAATAATTCCAGAGTTTGAACCCTTGTTTGAACCAGATCCAGAACTAGTGCCAGATCCAGATCCAGCACCAGAGCCAGCAAAAGACCCAGAAGACCCAGACTTAGAGCTTGCTCTTGACCCAGATCCTCCTGCATGAGAGCTTGCACTCGACCCTGAACTTGACCAGCCAGTATTACCACCTTTGTTTCCAGACGACCAACTAGATCCACTTAAAGTACCGACAGTAGGTTTTGCTGTAGATGATTTGGTCGTTGGCTCAGTCGATGTCTTGAAGATCGTGGGGATGATTGGTGTTGGTGTAACACTCACAAAACTTGTCGGCTGAGTTGACGTCTTGTAGGTCGTGGGTATAATTGGAGCTGGCGTAACACTCACAAAACTTATCGGCTTGAACGTCGAAGCCTTACTAGCAAACTCAGGACAACCACCAACTTTGTAACAGTCAATAGAAGGTGCAGCAGGCATGGCAGTGCGCTTCAAATGCTTGGTTGGCTTAAAAGTTGAAGCCTTACTAGCAAACTCAGGACAACCACCAATTTTGAAGCAATCAATTGTTGGTGGCTTATTTGCATCAGCGATTGGAAGAGCAGTCACTGAGGAGATGAAGAGTACAGACAGTGCAATGTGAAGTTTCATTTTTTGAATAGTTTTTTTTTTTTTTAAAAAGAAATAGAAAAAAAATAAGTAGAAGATGATGATGATATAAAGAAAAAGAGAAAAAAAAAGGAATCAATTGACGGGGAAAAATGGCCTTTTATAGAAAATCTCAGTTTATGGTTTAGTCTTGAATTGAAAAAAAAAATAAAATAAAACGACTTTAAACACAAATAGTTAAAAACAATATTTTATCCAGGGTTCTGTTTTCACAAATACTCCCCAAAATCAAAAACGGGTTAGAAATATTTATAAATAGCGATGTTGCCGTATACGGCTTTGGAACCTCGATAGACTTTTCTGATTTTGTTATTTTGGATTATTTCATTTCTTTCATTAGATCGAATGAACTTGCGGGTAAAACCAAAGCTTTTTTTTTTTTTTTTTTCTTCTTTTTGCTAAGTTCTTTTTCATTTGTATGTAACAAACAATTTTCACCGGTGCCATTTTTTTTTTCAACTTAAATACACAATTTAAGATTAAAATTTCCAAAAGAAGGGGAGAAAAGATTAAGCAACACATTAAAAATTAAAATAAAGAAGTTTTTTTTTAGTGGAATAGTGGAATATATCCTTATCCACGAGGTTACACAAATAGCTCAGAATTGTTGAGGAAAAGTTGATGATGGGGTCAGGCATACTGCCAAGACAATTCAAAGTAAATGTGTTGAATAAACTCTTCAATTTATCCAGAGATCAAGTGCTCAAGCTCTTTTCCTCCCCCTTTTTTATTTATTTTTTTTTTCTTTCTGTGCCATTACAGGGATCTGCGCTGTGCAATAAACACATGAGCCACTGGGCGTATACGCACATTTTGGTTACATCCCTGAATATATCCTGGGCTATGCAATGCTCATCATTCTTTTTTTCTTTAGTTGAGATGTTTTTTATCAATTCTTCATAGAAAATCTCATCATTGTAACTTTCATTTTATTGCTCTAGAAGGAAATATAAAACACCGAACCTGTTTGCTCGTATTGAGTTTTCGATCATATTTAAAAATATCTATTAATATTTACGATGTTAAAAAAACAGTTGGTAAAACTTTTATGTTTTTTTAAAGAAATAAGGTGCCATGGCTTGACTTAGATCAAATGGACAATCCATTAAATTAAATAAAAACATTGAATTTGCTATAAAGTATTTTCATTGACCTGAATGAAAGACACATATAAACAGGAATTGAAATATAGGTCATGTGAATAAATATCATTATGTTTATAGCCAAATTTTAAATTATAACTATACAATAGAATCAATCGAATTTTGAATTGCAAAATAAAATATTTTTAAGATAGGAACCAAATGCCGTGAACTGATTTTTTTTTTCCTTGGGACCAGAACTTGGCTGTAGACTTAAAACTGACAAATAAGTGTTTCTCTTTAAAGATTTACCGAATAATCATTTTACTTTTTTTAAAAAAGAAAGAAACATAAACAAAAAAGAAACTTAAATATAAGCGCATATAATTAAACAACCGTTTCTTTAAAATCAAGAGTTAACCAAACATAAGAATGCGTGATGCTAGGTGTATGCAATTCAAAAATTTATCATATAAAACATCACAAAGCACAAACTGGCTCCTAAAAAAAGGAATTTATTCAATATAGATTTGATAAAAAAGTTATATAATAAAAACATGATAATTACATTCTTTTAAAGGAAAAAAAATAATCTTTAGATATTCAGATTTAAAGCCTGAGAAGGTAAAATAATATGCGTCTATTATAATCACCAAAAAAAATCCACAGTTTATTTTTTGAATACATACTTCAAAGCAAGATTTTATTTCTCTGCTATATGGAAATAGTTTAATTGAATCTGACAACAAAAAATAATATATTTTCAAGGGTAGAAATTCTAAAAAAATATTAATTTAATATCTATAATTATATTTTAATCAATTGATGTGAATTCTCCATGATAGTGAGTGATAAATTAAGCAATAGGTGAACTTTTTTTACATTACAAAAGCGTTTTCGCGGTATTTACATGTCAATCTCCAAAAATCACCCTCTCCAAATAACAAAAGTAAATTAACCTCCGAATTTAGGAAACAACTGACCATTTTTTATTGGTAGTCTTGAAATGGTTCTAATACAAAATGTATATAAGATTTTTATTAAAATTGTTATTATAATTTTAAAGTACTTGTAAATTTGAAGTGCAATGAAACAGGAGCTAAACTCTTGAAGACCGTTTAAAAAAAAAACATCAACAAAATCATAATAATGTTATTACTTTTTTTTACCTTACAGGTATTTTACCAATTGTTAAAAGAATTAGTTTAGAATAAAAAAAGTATAAAAAAATTGTTTTGTAAATAGTAGATTTATTTAGCAGAAATTTTAAGTAGTCAAATCGAAACTGCTCAGCTGACTATTAATGATCAAACCGAAGATCATTCATAAAAGGGATTTCATCTATCTAAGTTTTTCAATGATTCATTGTCACCATTTTTAGTTTTTTCTAAAGATTCTTTCTCATATAAGTAAAATACATATATTTCACAAGCAAAATAAAACTATTAATAGAATTTCTAATTAAAATAGACCTTTGTGGATTGTTGTCGTACCAGTATTGAGTTCTCTATTTTTGTCAAAAAAATTAGGATACAGCAATACTTGCTTCTCTCCTATTGTAATTTAATAACAGTTCACTAAAACAAATCACATAATTTCACACTTTCATAAATCATTGTTTTTTCGAGTGAACAGAATTTTTATTTTCCAATTAACGAAAACAAAAATAATATTATGAAGAGGCTTAAAATCCACTGGAATGAATCTTTTCTTTTGAAAAAGATCAAATATAAATAGAAACCATTACTTTCAAGAATAAAAAAAATTTTTTTTATATCAAATTAGAAACAAACAGAAAAAAAAGAGAGCATTTAAAAAGAAGAACATTTTTGTTTTATTTATTTATATTTTAATTCCTCCTATTAAAAACAAAACCTCCTATATTTATTTAACCCAAATATGAGCGTTTATATAAACGCTCAAGATTATATATAACCTTATTATATCCGTTGAAAATTGTTTCTAAATAATACTATATTTTTATACTTAGTTTCACACAGCTCAAACTCAAAAACTAATCAACATGAATTAAAGCTTAGATTTGGACATGGCCAGTAAAACCATCTTAATGGTTGAAAAAATAGACTAAAGTCATTAAGAACAGTGCCATAATAAAAAAAAAAGCTTACATCAACAAAGCAGTCATTATGAAATAAATTATTAGGGTTAACAGTATAAAAGTCTTTAGTTATTTTGATCCCGTTCAGAGCCAACTACATAAAAATTTAGCTGGACATATGTGCAGATCATCAAGTTGACTAGGAATTAAAAAACTATCTTTAAAATTTAACTTGGATAACATGAATTGAGAATTATGTCAATATATAAAAACAAGGTCTTAGACTTGGACAACAAGTGCAAATTACTATAAGCGATTGCACAAGCTTGAAGTGGAAAACTCTGAATTTTAACAAATGAAGTGGTATGAAATAGAAAGACCCAGTTTACTGGCCACAAAAAACAGACCCATTTTCACTTATTTTCATAAACACCAGTGTATTTCCCAAATTTTTTTTAACAATAGTACGATTTTTTGGCAGGATAATTAGATCAAATGGAGAAATAAGATTTTTTTTTCAATTTAAAAAAACTCAATATAGCTTTAAACTATCTAGATATAATTGTTTTCTGTTTGCAAAACTAGCAATTGCAATTTCTACTTTTAAAATCATACCTTTAATTTTTAAAGCTCATTTTCCCATTGTGAAATATTTTGGTATGACGCGTCACTGGTAATGACGAGATTGTCAGTTCGAGTCCGGCTCGTGACAAATATCTTTTTGTTACTTTGATATTTACAAGTTCAGTGAATTGATAATGTGATATCATGCACTCCTATTGAACATAGATTAATAAGCAAAAACCGTTAATTTAATTTTTTATCTTTTAAATTTATAAATATACATTCTTATATAATATATATATTTTTTTAATCCGCAAGTTTTTCGAGATTTTCTCGAATGTGCTCGGGAATTGGCTTTTTATCCATTGTAATACGCATCGAGTCGGTAATGCCCACAAACTTTGGATGAGCACCAGCATCACACCTTGGTCCAAGAGGACAAAACCCTGTAAGATATCTAGGACAAATTGTCTTACGAATGTGTCTTTTAGGGCATTCTGGGCCCAGCTTACAAAACCCTTTCTCGTAGTTTGGACAAGGTGCAATTTTGCTAAGTGGATCAATATGAAGGTACAAACAGTCTGGTGACTGTGTGCAATACCCATTACGCGAAAAAAATAAACATTCGGGCATTTTTCGCAGATTGTACTCGTGCAAAAATTCACAACTGTCACCCTTTTTACATAGTCCACGCAGCCAGTGCTTGCACACAATTTTATTTGAATATGAGGGTAAAATATGTTTGTCTGGGCACTCTTTACCACGCGGACAGTTTCCATGTGCGTAATAACGACATATTGGTCGATTCGGATCAAGGCCAAAACGATGTTCTTTTCTCAAATATGGATCAAATGAAAATGAAAGATTTGATGTGTCTGGATGAAATATATTGTCGCTATTAAGATTTTGTTGAGGTTTAGCAGCAGCAGCAGCATCAGCAAATCCTGTATTAAAACTTGGCGCGAAAAATGTAGTTGTCATTGTGATTTTATTGTGTAAATGATATTTATAAATGATATTGGGAAGAGAGAGAAATTGTAAATTTAGATATTGAGCAAGAAATTTAAGTAAGGGTAGAAATTAGTAAATTATCTTAGTCATCATTTATAATATTTCTAGCGCGTTCTAACCACTCCTTTTCAAGCTCTTACATACTTGGTCTGTTCTTTAGAATCACCCACACACACTTTACAAAATTCCACCTAAACAAGCTATTTTTAAAACTGTTAAAATCAATCTTTAGTGGTTCATCATAAGTTTGTTTTGGACTGAATTGTTTTGTCAGCATATTTATTTGATTTTTTTTTTACTCCTTACGCGTGAGGTTCCTTAGTTATGCCTCTGGACCCTTATTCCTACGTGGCTGCTTCTCGAGTGAGGGCTTTCCTATGCCCTATGGGAAAACTGAAAAGATCAACTTTTTTAAACTACGCAGACCGCTTAAGCAATGTCAGAGAAGTTAGACTTGTTGATGTCACTCCAGATGGCCGAAGCGATAGAGGTAAGTCGAATTTAATTTTTTTGTACTGTGTTTTTTTCAAACTTTGCTCAAATATATGCTTTTACTAACCCAGAAGTTTAGCTACATTCAGCCCACAAGGATTCCCTAATGGTAAAGTCGTCTATGATTTTTCAATCACCCCTATCGATCAGGAATTGAAATTCCTACACGACTTAGAGCCATGGCGCCAGGTCTTTTGTGTATGTTTGCAAATGAACTAAAAAAAAAAAAGAAAACCGCTAACTGGTTGGTAGGTATTTGCGCTGACCACCTTCAGCTATAAAATGACATTAAAAGATTATGAAAATAAAGTCCTTGAACTTAGAAAAAAATACCCAGGTCCTGTGATTCACAAATTATTGATCTTTGGAGTTCCCGGTGCAGACCTGTTGCAGGGTTCAAAAAACGTTATACCCGTTCTTTCCTCTCGTTTAGCACCTATCACTAGCTTAGGGACGGTTATGTGCGATATTACTACAGATTTTTTGGCAGAACTTGCTGTTTTAGCAATTACTAGAGAAATGGGTTCTTTTAAATCTCCTGGATTGATGGAACTTGAACATCCAGTTTCTCGTTTTCAAGACGGGAAGTCTTATAATGGAGGCTTTACTAATGGTTCTCAAAGTAATGGTTCTCAGAGCATATCACATTCTCCAGCAGGTAGCTTTAGTTCAATCACTTCATCGCGCATTAAATCTGGCTCAATTTCTATAGGATTAAACGATCGTTCTAAAGCAAAGCAGTATGGCCGAAGTAAAAAATATTTGGCCGGGTTGTATCTTATTACAGGTAGATGGCAGGATGCCTTACGAGAATTTAGCGAGGCAGCATCTAGCTTGAAAACTGCTCACGATCATTTGTGGCATGCCTCTGCCTTAGAAGGAATTGGAATATGTTTGCTTCTTCTTTCGTTCTTAGAGGTACCCACAGCAATCCCTTCAATTGCCTTACAAGCTGCCAATGTCAGCTCTCATAGCAGTACACTTTCGTTTTCAGATTCAACTGATTCTCTCACACCAACAGCTTCTAATTCAGGAGTTCTCCCTCCATCTATGTTTGAGTTTCTTCCGGAGCTTACCAACTCGTTGTTAAGAATCTATGCTCGTTCTCAAGGATCTCAGGAAGAAAGCATTCCCCAAATTGTATTTTGCGAAACTATTTTACGATTTGTCAACTTGCTTTCTATCACACGTTTATGTGGCGGTTGGAATCCAGCTTCGCTATCTGCTGTTGTACGCGGCACCCCTGTTAGTAAAAATGTAACACCAGATAGTCCCTCAATTACGGCGATCACCAGTTGGATTAATAGGGCATATGCAACAGATCTCAGTTCTTTGCCTTTAATTTCTCAATGCAGCATTTTTAGCGGAATTGCAGTTATTTACTCAAACATTGGCCTTGTAAGAAAAAGGTCCTTCGTCATGCGCGAAATGCTTTTGACAATCATTCCACGACTGTCTAGGGTACGATCTATGCAGGCAGCAAGTTCTAGTGTTCACTCCGAAGGCTTTACAGATGTTGAAAAACAGATTGTCCAATTGATTGATGGGGAGCGTGAGGGTGGTATTGTGGAGCTTCTTGACAATTTGTGTAAGGTGTATGGCGCTGGCGACATAACTTCAGTGGGCTATGGATGGATTCAATTGCGTGTCTCTTTTCTTAAAACATGCTTATTTATGTGTGAAGCTATACCAGATTACAATGGTATCATTCATTTTGCAAGTCTTTTGTTGTCTACTGCTTCAGACGTTTTATCTGCTAATGATCAAATACAAATTTACCAGATAATTCTTCGTGCTGTTGATTCGGCCAGAAAACTTGGCCATGTTCATGTTAGTGCTGATTATTGGGATCCCAATATTCTTCGAGACATTAAGATTGTTTCGACAACATCTTCTATTCTTCCACAATTCCGTAACAATACAGCAATGTCTACTCATGATGACAGTGGCTTCTTTATTCACAACCCATTTGCATCGAAAAAACCAGGGAGCATTAACAAAAGCAGCCCCGATCTTTTACAACAAAACCCCCAGCAACAACAGCCTCGAATTTTAGTTCAAAATGAACGTGCTGATTTTCTTATTAGACTTCAGAATCCTTTTGCATTTGACCTTCATGTTCTTGAAATTACACTTCTGACTCGTGATGTTTCTGTTAGTGCCCGCTTGACCAGTTTAAATATTCCAGCAAACTCTATTTCTGATTATACTATTCCAGTTATTCCCGAAGGTACTGGAACTTTAAAAATTATCGGTGCCTCTATTCAAATTGGTGCTTGTGCTAAAAAAGACTTTTTCCTTTCTGAAAAGCTTCCTTATGTTGTAACTGATAAGGTAGAGTCCGTGGGTAGCAGCTCTGGAAAGGGTCATGGTCAAACTCAACAACTTGATTTGGTTAAAAATATAAGTATTGATATTGACATAATTTCTGCTCAGCCTGTCATGGTTTTGAAAAATATTTCACTTAACCAAGGATGGATGATGCTTTTGGAGGGCGAAAAACAACTACTCACAATCACTTTGGCCAATATTTCCGAAATTAATGCCAACTATGTTTCTTTAAAGTTTTCAGATTCTACAACACCACCTCTGCAGGTAGCTCTTTCAAACAAGGATCTCCCTCAAAATGAAATTTACGAGGTTGAATACTTTTTGTACAATAGGAAGGCCCTGCAATGGATTCAAGGTCCGGAAAAGCAATCATCAAACATAACAGACTTAGCTGATTTATCACCTATTGTTAAACAGACAAAACCTAGTTGTGTTTCGAGTCACAATGCAAAAGTCTTTAACATTTTAGTCCTTGGAAAGCGTGGAATGAATCAAGGTGCAATTCAAGTGGAGTATGCAAACCGTGATAATACTGAAGATGAATCAACACCTTTTTGGCTAAGAATGTTGTCGATACCAATCAATATCACTGTTAACTCTAGTATTGAGCTGGGTGGCTGTGACATGATGAGTCTTCGAGATAATCAGGTTTTTACTGACGATCCTAGTGTTGTCTGCGCCAGTACTTTATCAAAGTATCTCAATGTTTTAAAAGACAAGGGGAAACTTGCAGAGTATTGTTTATTGGTTGTTGATCTTCGCAATTCTTGGACTCAGTCTATTGAAGTTACTCTTTGGAGCTCTCCTGAACCTCGTGAAAATGACAGCTTTGAGGTAGATGTTATTCCTGCCAATGGAAAAACTGATGAAGAAGTGAATTCCGACAGATTTTTAGTTAAGGAGATTATTCATGCAGGAAAAACTAGTCGTTTGCTTGTTCCTGTTAAAAGAGTTGAGTTTACTGAGCAAGAGCTTTCTCGTCCAATTCCCAGTCTAAGCGTTAATAAACGCCAGTTTGTTGTCAATCCTAATATAAACCCGGAACGTGCACGCGCAACTCGCGAAAACTTTTGGTACCGAAACGTGCTTTTGTCAATGCTTGGAGGTGCCTGGAGAGTTCTCAATGGTACCCCTCGATCTGGTATTTTGGAACTTCGAGGCATTCGTCTCACACGAAAGATGATTAGTATATTGAGAGTTGAATCTGTGTCTCTTACCATGTCTCTTGAGGTAGATGGCTCTGCGAGTGGTAATGACGTTCCTATTAGTGACAAAGATACCAAACAATTGAAATCTCAATACGTTGTAAAGGCGGAAGAAGATTACTTTACTCTTTATACAACGATCCAAAACAGAACCTCGCGGCCGATTTCAGGTTATCTTCGCGTGATACCAATGCAGCGCTACCCGGATGTTCCTTATCCTAACACTGGACTTTTGGCCAACGGCACTGTTTCCAATGCTGATTTCGAAAACTGGAATAATATGGATACAAAAATTCTATATAATGGTAGTCTTCAACAGGCCGTCTACAATATTGCACCCGGAAAACAAGTCAAGATCGGAATTGGAGCCATGTTTCTTTCTCGTGGGGAGTATGAATTTTCAAGTGTATTTGACGAGTTCAATGTCGACAAGTACGAAGAAGAAGTTTGTGAAGAAAAGCTTAATAAAGATGTTGATTCTCTTAGCATTTCACAAGGACAAGATGATTATACTCTTGACGATAAGTTTACGTCACAACAGCATGAACAGCGTGATCCAGTGTATATTCATGTTGTATAAATCATTAGATGGTTTGTTTTTTTTAAAAAATATATATAAATATAAAAAATACATATATAGACTTTTAATAAATTAGAATTATAAAATTTTGACACGAAACTTTGTTGATGGACCAATGGGTTTTCCAAAGTCTCGTAATGAAATTAAGTGGGGCTCTTGGCTGTCCTGTGTGGCAACCTGACAATGGATTAAAAATTTGACAACATGGTCGTCTAATGTTGGAACTTGTAGATACAGAGGCTCGTCTTCGGTAGACTCCAGTAACTGGTTGAGAAGAAATAAAATGATTGATTGAAGTTTGATTGATATCCGTACAGGATCCTTTTCGTCTGTCGTGATTTGAAGCTCTTTAGGGATGGCGTACTTTTTTGAGTTTTTTATTGCAGAAATGTTGGCTGATGCTGCAGAAGTAAGTACCTCAGGTACTTCGCCTGAATCTTTAGAAGGGGATCCATGGGTTTTTTCGTCATATGAATCGGTGCTAGTAGCTTTTTCAGCTAGTTCTGGGGTACTTGATATGGCAGACATTGAATCATGAGTTTCAGATGTCTCTAATGACAATGGATTAGGTTTGCCCACTTTAACAAAATAAGCTGAAGAGCGCATTATCTCGTGCGTGTGCTCCGAAATATAAGGTGCAAGATGATCTTCAATGAGATATTTTAGACTGTCCATAAGGCCTGCGACTTCCTCCTGTACAGTTCGTCGACGTCTAGCAAGCTTTTCAAGAACTTCAACATGATATGGATGATGTTGTTGTTTGTCACTTGAAAATTTAGCACTTTCAATTTTTGTTGTGATGTTTTCCGCTTTTTTAGTCTCTACTACAGCCATGCTACCAATGTCACTAACTTCTTTAGCCAGTCGTGTTTCAAAATCAATATCAGCCTTTAAAGAGTCGCGATACTTTAAAAGATGTTTCTTGTACAAATTCAACTCATTTGTATAATTTTCCAAGTAACGGCCACATATACCAATGCATAATGGCGCATTAGACATGTTTTTTAATCCACCTTTTGTTACAAAAGAATCGCCATCTATTGATCGCTTAACTGCCTCCAGGTATGCAATCTTTACTAGCACTCGAGGTGAAAATATTCGTACATTTTTCTGGGATCCATGAGTGTTTTTTTGGGAGTTTTCTTCTTCAGCCTGTTTAATTAACAACGTGGCTTCTGAAAGAAGAGAAATGTCAAGCTCACGTTTCAGTAGTACATCATCTTTTGCAGGAACCATTACAGGGATTTCAGGCGGATTTCCACTGGATTTATACATTCGAGACTGTCTGTATATCTTATCAATTGGTGGTATAGCCGGGTATCGATACTTATCGGTAATATTGTATTCTAAAACTTCCTCATCTTCATTATCTTCATCTTCACTGAATTGTTGTACCCCCAATGCGGCTTCAGAATCATACTTTTGCTGGTCATTTACAGTAAATTTTTTTGAATTTGGATGTTTATAATTAGATTGATCCACGCCAAGTGTCTTCATAAACGCGTTGACGCGTTGTCTTTTTATTTGAAGTTCACGCGCCAGTTGTTTATAATATGATTGATCTATTGAGGAGTTATTGTCTGTCGATTCAGATTCTGTAATATTGCTAGTTGGAGAATCTTTTAAAGTCCCAGCTTGACGAAGTTGGAAAATTCTGGAAGATATAGAATTTGTTTTCTTATTGTTATGGTCATCATTTTTCTTGGGTATCTTGTCATCGCTCTTGCTGTTTCCATTATTGGCTTGTGAACTCAAATGAATAGACCGAGATGAATTTCCAGATGCTTTTTCTTTAGTATTAGAACCACTTTCGGTCATTTTGTGTCAATAGGAAAGTAATCAAACCGTATGGGATTGCCCGATGATCGGTAGTGTTCCTAGTAGAGTGTGTGATGTTTTTTTTTTTGTTTTTCTTAATTTTAGCCCTTTTTGTAATTATTTCAGTCCTAAGTATTTTTCATACCTTTTCACGTGATTTGAGTACCATATTTTTTCTTTAGTCCAGTAGCAATGAAATTCCTGTCTTCCCACCACCTTTGAGTCTTTAAAAAAAAAAAGAATAGATCCCTCTTCTGAAGCTTAACAATGTCTGAAATTGATTCCCAGTCCCTCGCCAACTTGGATGCCTCTGCTCGCAAGGAGATCATGGAGTGGATCGAGTCCGAAAATTCCAAGGCAAAGGTCCAGACTTGTATGTGAAATATGAATATACAAAAAGAGAGCATATTTGCTAACTTAAACATTCTTTAGCCATCCACAACTTCACAGACATGTGCTTCAAGAAGTGCATCACTAAAATCAACTCTGGCTCTTTGGATCGCAATGAGGAATCATGTATGTATAAAGTTTTTGGTTGACGAGTTTGTTTTGCTAATTATTTTTTTTATTTAGGTCTGACCAATTGCTTGAACAGATTCCTTGATACAAACATCAACATTGTCAAGATGATTCAGCAAACCTCTTCTCAATAGAGCATTTAATCTGTCTTCTTTTCGGTTATTTGTGTCTTTAAATCTTTTGTAAATATATGCTACTTTAATGTTACTTAATGACTTTTAATTTTCCATGTACATTTATAAGTTATGTTAATATAGAAAAAAATTAAATTAAATTAAATTACAAAAAATTACAAAAAATTTCCCCGTGCTTACTTTTTTTTCTCTTCTTTTCTCCCTGCTAACCACGTTTACCATGGCAAGTGACACTTTAGACTATCTGGAATATACAAAAATTAAGATTGCTGATGCAGCTATAACTTATTCTTTATCACAAATCGAAGAGTCCTTTGCTCGATTTATGAAATGGAAATCAGCCGCTCTTCTATCGTTAGGAACTCCAGAACCCCCGCTTTCTATTAATGATTTAGACACAACTTTGGGCCAGCTTGATTTAATTATTTCGTCCAAACCCTCAATTCTTTTAGGTAAAGAAAGTAAGTTTGCATTCTTATTATCCCAAGCAGTACGCCCTTTGTCGGGGGAATGGATATGGTATAAGCAGGAGCTCACCGAAATGACACCAAAGTGGGCGGCTCAGCGCAACTTTGTAGAAGAAGCCCTACCTCTTCTTTTAGTTGTTTCTATCAAATACTTTACAAAAATACTAGAAACAAAAGAAGATTCAAGAATTTCTCTTTTTACAGCTCTCTGTTGCTACCTATATAAGGGATATCCATGGTCAGATAGCATTCCTGCAAATATTACGAAAGCTTTAAACGCGTGTGCGGTACAAGTTTTTGATGAAACACCCGGATATTTCGATATTCTTTTTATTGACGTTATTAAACCAACATTTTCAAGTGCTGCAACTCATAAAGAGATATCGGCAGCCGGGCGCAAAGTTTTTACTGCGAATGATGAACAGCCCAGGTTAAGCCATGCATTTTCCAAAGGGTTCATGGACGATCCAAGCTTCCAAAAGGATCCCTGGAAAGAAAGTCGAGTATACGTGATTTCTCTATTGGAAGTGTATTTGAGACACACCATAGCTGTCAAATCTACAACCCAAACTCAGTGGTCCTTTTTTGTGCCCTGCGTGTTAAACATTATTGATTACCATAATCCAGCATACAAGTGTAAAGGGGCAGATCTTCTTGTATTGCTTATTGATTCAGTGTCTGAAGATTTTTTTAAAAAAACGGGTGTGGCTACAGTATTTTGGGAAGCTCTAAAGCCATCGTTAACGTTTTTGCCCCCGAGCACCCCAATTTCCATTGCAGTGCCATTATCCAAAAGCACATTTGAAGCCATGATCAAGTTGAGCTATTTGAATCTAGCATCAAAAAGGAAAACTAGTGACGACAAAAAGACAAATATTAAACCAATTTCGATAGACTTACAAGAAGAATATCTTCTGGAGGGAATTTTCAGAGGCGTTTCGCATACAAACAAAAGCCCAGAGATGGTGACTGTTTTTATCAACTCAGCAAATATACTGGTGTTAAATCACCTAAAAACATATACCACGCCACATCTAAAGCCATTAATTGGTATTGTTGTGGGCACGCTTTGTGACCCGTTTATCAGTTACGCGCCTGAGCTGATGTCGGCGTCTGCAAAACTACTTCAAACATTGATTCGAGCTGTGTGGTTTCGGATTCCGTATTATCGCTACGACATTCTACGTGGAGTGATTATGGCTAGCCGACGAATTATTGAAGAAAAGAATGATGGATTGATTGGACCTAGTGAAGATCTGCGAGAAAGTGTGAAGATGCTGGAAGAATCTGTTCGTGTGTGTATGAAGCAGAAACTAGATTCAGAGCTAGGTTTGTCAACGTTTCAAAAAGAAATTGAAATTCTAGAATCAAAGGAACCATCGTTTAAAGAGCTCATGAAAACATAAAAAAATTCCTAATCTTGTATTTTGGAAATAATTGATATATAGTTTTTTTTTCTTCTTATAGCACACCGAGATAATCCTCCTTGATTGTTCCACTAAAATGAGTTAGCAAAAAAAAAAAAGTTGAAAAAAAATATACTTACATTGCAAACATCTTGCCAACATCAGCACGGACACCGACTATTTTCAGTCGTACCCTGCTGCCCTTTTCTATTGTTTGTTCTTCTGAGACATATGACGGGGGATTTGCGGTTGGGTTAAACTCCATATCAGATGGTAGTAGCTAAGGAGAGTTAGTAAAGGAAATATATATAAATAAAGAAAGATAAAAACATACACGATGAGAAATAAATACTGTGAGAGGACCAACGTCTACAAACACACCTAGTTGCTGAACGTTTGATACGATGCCATCGACAACTTCACCTTTAAATGGTCGCCACACAATTGCGGTGTATTTGACCTCGAACTCTGCCGAGCCATCATTTGGAATAATACGACCTTTGCCCATATCTATATTGACACTATCCATCACGCAAATTATATATCCGAACTGGCCTGTGCACGTACCTTCAACATCTTGTATCAGCTTGTTGCGAAGCATTTTCTTCATGTGCGGACCAAAGGATTTAGGAGGAAGCGTCAGCTTCAAAGAAAGTTCTTTCTAAATAAAAAGAATTAAATCAAAAAAAAATTAGTAAATTGCGCGCTTTATAGATATCAATAAAAATAGAGCGGTTGGTTTCTGGTAATTGGCAAACGCGTCGGTACTAGAGATAAACATACTAAGAAGAACATGTGTGTTTTGAGTTCGATTCAAACAAAAAAAAAGGTAAAGTATAGATGGCCTTTACCACCAGAGTATCTTTATAAATTAAATGATTGAAAAGAAAATAGTCTAAATATTTATGTAAAGCTGGTCAATAAGCCGAGCTCTTTTGTAGATGATTTTTAGGAATATATACGAAATGGTGGTTATTTAGTTGCCAATGTGGTGATGAAATTTTCTGACATGGATTGTGGTCCAGCGCGAAAGTAGGCAAAATGTGTGACATGACAATATTTTTCAGTACGGCTAATCATGTGATTTGTTACTGTTTTTTTTATTTTTTTTTTGGCTAAGAATTTATTCTGCACCTCCAAAATTTTTCTGGCTCGCAGGCTGGTAGAGTAAAAAATAATTCAAACACAAGTATAAATAAAAACAACAACAACAACAATAACAACTGCCAAAAGTTGCTATCACCATTTTACATATTCTATCACCCCGCATCTATTTTTTTTTTTGGCTGATGGCTTTTGGGTATTAACCTTGATTAATCATGTCATTTGAAAACTCGCCGTTTGCCGCGTCTTTATACCAGGCAGGCACGCCTAAACGTCAAATCATACACCCTGTCGACACGTCATCGACGTCTTTTTTACAATCCCCAGACTCATCCTTCATGGGGTCTTATAATACGCCTGTACCGCAAAACTATCGAATGAACTTGCAGCCTAGCAATTTTAAGTTGGGAATCAGCAGTGGAGCAGTCAGCAGCAACAGCATTGGTGCCACCAGTGGTAGCAACAGTGGTAATAACTTAGGCAGCTCTTTGACTAACACATCTTCGATTGGATTATCAACGCCCAGCAACAGAATTGTTAGACCTCTTTTTAATACACCAGTGCCTGGGAAAGCTTCGCCACTTAAAACTTCATCTGGTATAGCTCCACCTATTGTATCGACCTCTGGAAGCTCCTATTTTACCAGTTCTGTAGAACCTCGTCCTTTGGCTTTGCGATCCCCGGCACCAAAATCAGCAGGGTCGACTACATCTACATCGACAAACACTGCAGAACCATCTAAAAAGAATGCTTTATCTAAGGATTCAACTAAAGTAGAGCCTGTGGAAGCGGGTACACACATCCCCACTGGGTCATGGGAGAGCTCTGTAACGCGTAAGATACGTGGTCGGGTCGTCAACACAGAGCTTGCCACCAAGAATTTGCTTGTTAATCTTCTGCTTTTAATTGCTGTGCGATTTTTTATTCACATTGCATTTAACCAAACTGCTGGCAAAGAAGCTGCGGCCGCGGCTTCTGCAGTATCGCATCACTATCATCATGCGCGCTCTGGTTTGAGCAGCAGTGGTGGTAGTGGCGGCAGTGGCAACGGTGGTAGTAACCAACAAAATTATAGACAATCTGCTTCATCGTCTGTGGCTGCTGCTGCTGCTGCTGCTGCCAACTCTGCATGCTCTACATCACTTTCAGAGTGGTTTGCTCAGTACATTCCATACGAGTATCATTGGGCTTTTTTTATTGTGGCCCGTGCGTCGCGGTACCTGGTGCACGGGACTCAACTGTTGCTATTGTACAACATTGTGGTCAATGGCTATATTATCTTTTTCCCATTTGCACGACAAATTGAGGATGTGAAGGTTACGGAATCGCAGCGACAACTTCTTGATCTGCCACAATCACCTCATCCTACATCGTCAAGTTCAGCTGGTGGTAGCAAAAGCCAATCTCGTCCAGATTCTGTGCCCTTATACAAGAAATCGACTTTGCATCAGCGGTCATATGCAGGCCGCCCGTCATCTTCGTCATCATCATCATCTTCTTCTTCTTCTTCTTCTTATTCTTCTGCCACTTCGTCATCTTCTGTTGTATCTTCTTCTGTGTCGCCATTTGTTTCACCAAGTAAGTCAGATCCCTCCTCTGCACAAAATGCATCAACTTTATCTCCAGTTCGAGCACCTGCACTTTCCGGGCCTACTCCACTTCTTGGATCACCATTAAAAGCACATTTGATGAGTATGTCTCCGCAAAGTAAAACTAAACAACAGAGTAACAAAAACAATGCAGTAGTTCCTGTCCCTGAGAATATTGAGCAGGCCCTACCAGCTTTACAACCTAACCAACAACCCTTTTTGCCTGGATCTTCGTGTTTCTCCCTCTTTGGCACACCTGCATCGCCACTTGCTGATTTGAAGAAGAAAATCAATAGTCCGCCTGCGTCGCATTTCCCTTCATCGAACTCAGTTACCTCACGTTTGAACTTTGGATTAACATCAGGATCTGCCAGCTCTGTAGGAAACAGTACTGTGAGCTCTGGTCTTGCTACTGGCAATGCTAATCTGAATAAAGATTTGCGACGAAAGTCAATGGTTGCAGCTGCATCGTCTGCTGGAAGTTCAGGTTCTGTTTCTGCGCTTGCTACAAATACCACAAACAGTCTTGTGGGCAACTCTAGTAGCATTAAAAGCTCTGGGAGTAATATCAGTAGCGGGGTCACGTCTTTAGCGCCAGGCTCACTTTTGAGTGCGGCGACTCCGATACAAAGTTTCACATCGCCGAAATCGCCAACATTTGACGTGACTGGCCGGTTCAAGTACCTAGCCAACACACCGAACCGGCACCGAGCTGTACGAGATATTTAGAAAAAACTTTAATAAAAGAGGAGATTACTTTTCAAGAAAAAAAAAAAAAAGTGATTTTTTTCTAAAATCTAAATTTTTTTTAAAAAAAAACTACTATCTGTAATAAAGAAGCCTAATGAAAAATTAACGCATAGGATTTGCATCAATAATTTACTCCCAGTAGCCGGGGTGAAGCCAGTTAAGATTGGCCTTGAGAGTGGGGTCAATGCCACCGTGGGAGGTGGAAACAGAGTACTTGATGGAACCCTTGAGAGAAACACCAAGCTTCTCGGCCTTGATTTCCTCCTCAAGCTTGGGGATAAGAGCTGTAATGAACTTGTTTGCGTTTTCACCATTGGCCTTGAGGTTACCGACAACAGTCTCGACAGTGACGGGTTCCTCATCCTCGCGCCAGGCATCGTAGTCGGTAGACATGCAAATCATCTGGTAAGCAATTTCAGCCTCCTTGGCAAGCTTGGCTTCAGGGAGAGCAGACATGTTGATGACAGAGCCGTTCCAAGAACGGTAAAGGACGGATTCTGCGCGAGTGGAAAAGGCAGGGCCCTCCATGCAGATGAGAACGACGTCCTTGTTATCATTGGTCTCCTTGGTGTGAAGAATGGCACCACTGTTGAGGACAGGGGTACGAGATTTGGCAAAGCTCGAGATGGTCTTGTTGAGTTCGAGATCAAAAGGTTCGCCAAAGCCAACGTGGCCGACAAAGCCTGTACCGAAGAAAGAGGAAGGTCTGAGACCCTTAGTGCGATCAATGATTTGGTTAGGAACGACAAAGTCGCGGGGACGGATTTTTTCCTGGAGAGAGCCAACAGCGGAAAAGGCGACAATGACGCGGACACCGAGCTTCTTCAAAGCAGCAATGTTTGCGCGAGCTGGGACGTCGGTGGGGGTATATTCGTGGTGATAACCGTGGCGGGCCAAGAAGGCGATGGGAAAGCCGGAGGGGGTTCGGGAGATGGTGATAGGGGAAGAAGGCTTGCCCCAAGGAGTTTCGACGGTAATACGGGCAACGGGAGTGAGGGAGTCCATGTGGTAAAGGCCGGTACCGCCAATGACACCGAGAAGGACGGGTTCTACATAAGAAGAGGTATATCTAGGGATTAGTCCAATGTGTCTCATGGTGGCATATATGTGGTGGTATTAGGTATTGTATAGAATAGAATAGAAGAGTTTTGTTGATGGTGAAAAACTCTCTCCTCGTATATACCAAAGAGAATTGGAATTTGAAGAGAAAAAAAAATTAAAAATAAAAACGTACCATCAAAAGTGTGAGCGAGTTCAGCAGCCATTTTGTAGTATCTACAGGTATTTAAAAAAAAAGTCTATAATAGAAGGTGGATTATTAAAAGTTTGGATGATTAAAATGGGAAGAAGAAAGGAATTGGAAATGAGTTTGGGGAGTGATAAATATAAAATTTTATTATAATTATTATATAGGGAATTGAAAAAAAAAAAAAAAAAAATGACACAAAATTTTTTACTACCATCAGACCTAATATAGTGGTGATCTCTGTGGCTTACATATACAACTGAAGGTTTCATCATATCCAAGAATTATCTTAAATCATAGGCGATTATGTTGTTGTTGTTGTTTTTTCTTAATTTTATTTTATTTTTTTTTATTTTTGATTTGAAGCATCTTCCATGTGAAAAATTGAAAAATAATGATCGTGCCAGAATCGAATATGAGCCATGTGTCGCACACGAGCATCACAGATTGGCTCTGAAATGCACACGATCATGATTTTGTCCGGATCCGTTAAGACAACCAAAATTAAAAAATAAAATAAAATAAAATAAAAACGTTTTCAGACACAGAAATATATAAGAGCTTATATAAGCGGTAAATCTGAAGCCTTACCAACGGTAAATTTTAATTTTTATATGGAATTGTTTGAATTTATTATTATGGAAGTTATTTAAAAGCTTTATGTTTGTTTTTTTATTTAAAAAAACTTATTAAAACAGGACCAATCACTAGCGATGACTGGACAAGTTTGTCAGCTAAAAAAAAAAAAGTAGGCGGCTGATGTTGTAATGTGCTTGTAGCATAGCAGTCACAGCAGAAAAAGCTGTTGATGCGGCGCATAGCTGGTAACAACATTTACGGGTAAGAAACAACCCTAACCTGTATTAACTGTTACAACACTTACTAAAAAATAAAAAAAAAATTTTTATCTACAAGGTATGACGGTGGGTGACTAGTTGTAACAATAAAAAAAATATTAAATTTTGATAAAAATTTTTTTTTTCTTGACTTCTTCTCCTCTTTTTTTTTTTTTTTTCCTTTTTTTTTTTCTCCTCTTCACAACCATTCCTTTTTGTTTGTGAATCATAACCTGAAGGAGTTTGTCGTAAGGACCTAAAAATATTTCAAAATGGGTATGTCCTTTTCTACTAATCTGCTTTTTAAGTCTCAAAATCATTTCTAGCTTTTGTTTCGAATTTGGATGGATTTGTTTTTTTTTTTTTTGAGATTTGATGTTTTTTTTTTTAACTCAATTGCTAACATTATGTCTTTTTAGTTAACTTCACTATTGATGTAAGTTTTTTCTTCTCTCCAATTCTACACATTTGTGACTTTCTGAACATTGGTCTACATGATAGAAATGGTTTAGCTGATGCTGTTCTTTGTTTGAAAATATGATACTGGTTGATAGGTTTGAAAGCAGCTTTCTTTTATAATTAAGCACTGGCCACAAGAAAAATTTTTTTTTAGTTACCCTTGCCTCTTTAAATCAACAGTTAGTCAGCATTTGCTTTCTCTGGACACAGTAACTTTCAAACCTATCTCAGTACTTTTCATCATGCGCCACATCAGCACTTGCCTCCTTTGGTATTTTATATATACACTGTTGATTGTGATTCTAACGTTTTTATTTATAGCAAATCCGTGCCCTCATGGACAAGGTTACCAATGTCCGTAACATGTCTGTCATTGCCCACGTCGATCACGGCAAGTCTACCCTGACCGACTCCCTTGTTCAGCGTGCTGGTATTATTTCCGCCGCCAAGGCTGGTGAGGCTCGTTTCACTGATACGAGAAAGGACGAGCAGGAACGTGGTATCACTATCAAGTCCACTGCCATCTCTCTTTACGCTGAGATGAACGAGGAGGAGATTAAGGAAGTTAAGCAAAAGACTCAAGGCAACCAGTTCTTGATTAACCTCATTGACTCCCCCGGTCACGTTGACTTCTCTTCTGAGGTCACTGCCGCTCTCCGTGTCACTGACGGTGCTCTTGTCGTTGTCGACACCATTGACGGTGTCTGTGTTCAAACCGAGACTGTCTTGAGACAGGCTCTTGGTGAGAGAATTAAGCCCGTTGTTGTCATCAACAAGGTCGACCGTGCTCTTCTCGAGCTCCAGGTCACCCAGGAGGATCTTTACCAGACCTTTGCCAGAACCATTGAGAGTGTTAACGTCGTCATTGCCACCTACTGCGACGACTCTCTTGGTGATGTCCAGGTTTTCCCCCAGAAGGGTACCGTGGCTTTCGCCTCTGCCCTCCACGGTTGGGCTTTCACCATCCGTCAGTTCGCTATCAGATATGCCAAGAAGTTTGGTGTTGACCGTGAAAAGATGATGAACAGACTTTGGGGTGACAACTTTTTCAACCCTAAGACTAAGAAGTGGACCACCAAGGACACTGTTGATGGCAAGAAGCTTGACCGTGCTTTCAACACCTTCATTCTTGACCCCATTTACAAGATTTTTGCTGCTGTCATGAACTTCAAGAAGGATGAGGTTGAGGCTCTTTGCAAGAAGCTCGACATTGTTCTTAAGAGCGAAGAGAAGGAGCTTGAGGGTAAGGCTCTTCTCAAGGTTGTCATGAGAAAGTTCCTTCCCGCTGCTGACGCTCTCCTTGAGATGATTGTCATCCACCTTCCTTCCCCCGTCACTGCTCAGGCTTACCGTGCCGAGCTCCTTTACGAAGGTCCTTCTGATGATGCCGCTGCTCTTTCCATCAAGGCTTGCGACCCCAACGCTGACCTCATGCTTTACGTTTCCAAGATGGTTCCTACCTCTGATAAGGGTCGTTTCTACGCTTTTGGCCGTGTCTTTGCTGGTACCGTCCGCTCCGGTCTTAAGGTCCGCATCCAGGGTCCTAACTACGTTCCTGGCAAGAAGGATGACCTTTTCATCAAGGCTATCCAGCGTACTGTTCTTATGATGGGACGTTTCGTCGAGCCCATTGATGACTGCCCTGCTGGTAACATTGTTGGTCTTGTCGGTATTGACCAGTTCTTGCTCAAGTCTGGTACTCTTACCACCAACGAGAACGCCCACAACCTTAAGGTTATGAAGTTCTCCGTTTCCCCCGTCGTCCAGGTTGCCGTTGAGGTTAAGAACGCTGCTGACTTGCCCAAGCTTGTCGAGGGTCTTAAGCGTCTTTCCAAGTCCGACCCCTGCGTTCTTACCACCATGTCTCCTTCCGGTGAGCACATTGTTGCTTGCTCTGGTGAACTCCATCTTGAGATTTGCTTGAAGGATCTCGAGGAGGACCACGCCGGTGTTCCCATCAGAGTTTCTGAGCCCGTTGTCTCTTACCGTGAGACCGTCTCTGAAGAGTCCTCCATTGAGGCTCTTTCCAAGTCCCCCAACAAGCACAACCGTATCTACACCAAGGCTCTCCCCATGGAGGAAGAACTCTCCTTGGCTATTGAGAGCGGTGAGGTTAACCCCCGTGACGATTTCAAGGCTCGTGCCCGTGTTCTTGCTGATAAGTTCAGCTGGGACGTTGCTGATGCCAGAAGAATTTGGTGTTTCGGTCCTGATGGCACTGGTGCTAACTTGGTTGTTGACCAGACCAAGGCCGTCCAGTACCTGCACGAAATTAAGGACTCTGTCGTTGCTGCCTTCCAGTGGGCTACCAAGGAGGGTCCCATGCTCGGTGAGAACATGCGTTCCGTCAGAATTAACATTCTTGATGTTACTCTCCACCCCGATGCTATCCACAGAGGTGGCGGTCAGATCATCCCTACCATGAGACGTTCTACTTACGCTGCTTTCCTCCTCGCCCAGCCCCGTATCCAGGAACCCGTTTTCCTTGTCGAGATCACCTGTCCTCAGGATGCTTGCGGTGGTGTCTACTCCACCCTTAACACCAGAAGAGGTATTGTCTTCAACGAGGAGCCCCGTGCTGGTACTCCTCTTGTTGTCATCAAGGCTTACCTTCCTGTCAATGAGTCTTTCGGTTTCACTACTGATCTCCGTGCCCAGACTGGTGGTCAGGCCTTCCCCCAGATGGTCTTCGACCACTGGGAGGCTAGAGCTGAGGACCCCTTGGAGGCTGGTTCCAAGACCAACGAGATTGTCAAGAAGGGCAGACTTAGACGTGGTTATAATGAGCAGATTCCTGACTACACTGAGTACTACGATAAGCTTTAAGCAGTTTCTTGCAGACATGGTATTTTTATGTAATTTTTGTTTAAAAAATGAATGGAAAAAAATTGTATTTAAAATTTGGAATTTTTATTTTTAATTTTTTATTTTTGTTGTGCTTAACCTATTTAAATTTTTTCATTCCTCTGTTATAGTTTCCTCATCCTTGTTACTTCACATACCATCACGTACCATAACATACCATCACCTCAGAACAACATCGTTACTTGAGTCTTTTACACTTGAACTAAAAATGTTTCCCAGATTCTTTTTGAGATCCTCTATGTCCAATTTTTTCCGCGCGGGTGCGACAAAGTCACCCTTGCGTAGAACTTTTATTATAGGCGCCACAGCAGGGTTTGCTGTTTCTGCTATTGTGCCACCAGCGCTTAGTCTCTGGAAACAGTACCGGGTGCCAATTCGCAACGATTCTCCCGCCACCACTACACAATCTCTTTTCCCCACTGTTTCTGTTTTGAACGTTGATTCTGGGGCTTTGAATGGAAACAACGGTACGGAAACTACTGCTGCAACTAATGGGTCTAAAGGTGGATTGCAACGGGTTCTTGTGTATGAGCAACTGACGTTGGGATCCATGACTGGAGCACTTGCAGGTTACGTGCTGGGAAAACTGTCCAAGGCACTTGTTGTTTTATTCATTTCCGGATACTTGGCTTCACAATTTTTGTACTCGAGAGGAATTGAAATCCCAGGACTTACTGCTTCGCATTTGTCGCAAGTGGTTGTTGCTTGGGGTCGTGAGAAAATGTCTCTTAAGGAACTTGTTATGAACCAGCCTTCATTTAAGGTTTCTTTTGTGACTGCGTTTTTGGTTGCTGCTGCTTACGCCTGAGCATTTTTCTTAGCAATGAAATCTTACGAATGATATATATATATGTATATATATAGAGCTTATTATTAACGTATATACATTATATTAAGCCTTAAAATGATATTTCATGTACAGAGTGTTCACAATTGATGAAAAATTTGTCTTGTGAGCGCTTGTTCTTACACTCCGCTTGGAAAAAACCCACCTGGTGGGCGGTCATTTGGCCATTGGCTGGGATGGAATAGCCTTGTCGGGGGATGTTGAGGGGAAGAATGAAATCATTGCTGTTCTCCACATTTATATAAATGTCATAAGTATTAAGATACAAGTATTAAATGGTATATATTAAAATACAATAACCAAGTCGAAAGTTGAAAGTCTTTTATTAGCCACCTCCTACGATACGGCTTTCTTTGAGCAACATATAGGCAGCAACATAGGCAGCAGCAAAAGCAAAAGCAGCAATGGTTAACCTCCTGGCCTTTTTTTTTTTGTTTTTTGTTTTTATTCCCTTTATAAACATACAATAATACTTTTTTTTTTTCCTTTATGATAACTTGATCTTGATGATAAAAAATGAAAAAAAATATTTTAAAGCTTGCAATTTGAAAAAAAAGGCAGGAGGAAGAATCAAATGATATTAGATGTTTTGCCACTCTCCAACTACAAAAAAAAAAAAAAAAAAAAAAGAAACTCCATTTGTGCATATTTACATTCATCTTTTCATTCAGAGACATTTCACATCTCTCTTAACCGTTGGCATGAACCCGAAAACCATATCGGGGGAATTATCCGATCTATTCTTTTTCCTTTATTCTTAAAAACAAACAGTCATTTTGGATCTACAGATAATGGTGATGGCATTTTTTTCAAAAAAAAAAAAAAAAGAAAGAAACAATGAAACCAAAAAAAAGATAACATTAAAATACTGTCTTTTGCAGTCCGTGTGCGGTATTCTCTAATTAAAAAAAAATAAGGTATCAAAAAAGCGGATATAGAAGAAAAACAACAAGTACACCACATCATAATCGGTAATCAGTAATCATGGTGAGTGCTGTTGTGGGCCACTCGAAGTATGCACAGATTGTGAACTATCGCTGCCACTACTGCTTCCCACTCGAGGAGCCCCCCAAAGGGACCCAAATAACCGCCCAAGAGCACCTCCATGGCCAGCGTCCTGCGCTGTCTCGTGACTTATTCTTGTGCTACCAGTTTCTCGTCCAATGCTCCGACTATGGCGGTGCCGAATTTGATTTTGTTGTTGCTGCTGCTGCTGCTGCTGCTGACGACGCCTGCGCCGTTCTCTTCGCTCAGCTGCAGTTTCAGTAGCTATACCAAGCCGCCCAGTCTCGCGCAAGGGCTCCGGGCCTAGCGGGTCAATGGGCTTGGGCGCATACAGATCGCGCTTGCACATGGGACAGCAGGCACGGCGCGACAAAAGCCACGGACCAATACACTCATCATGGAAAATGTGGCCGCACGAAAGTACGCGCACAGAATCTTCAGGAGTCATGTCGTCAATGCACACCGCGCATGTCGACAAGTCGTTATCTACAACCGTGACATTGTTTCCAGATTTGGTTGTTGCAATTGTTGTGGTTGTATTTTTTGTTGAGGCTGAATTGCCAGCTATTGTGTTGTGATCACCAATGTGATGGCTAGAATCAGACTCCTCGTCAGAAGAACACGAAAGAGTTGAAACACTAAGGTTTCCATCGTCCTCGTCTTGTCCAAGATTGGGATGATCGTCCCACATGGGGTTCCATCCACTAACATTTGGTGTTGAGTGTCTTACAAAGTCAGGTCGTAGTGCAACACGACGCGTCGTCAAAGCAGGTGCAGGCATAGGCACAAAAGCTGGGCCCAACTCCGTACTGCGACTGCGTGCGTGCAGTCGGGAATGGCGGTGCGCCGACAGGTCTTGGGGAGCTATGCGGGGTCCGTGTGAACGGTTTCGCTTGTCTTCACCCAAAGGCTTATCGTCATCTTCTTCACCATTACCTAAATTCCATTCATCCAAAACCACCCCATGGGACCTGCCTCGCGACGTGGTTGTAGAAGCAGCCAAAGATGATGATGAGGGCCGGATACCCAGCGACTCAAGAAAAGACCGCCGTTTATTCGCAGACTTGTCGACGGCATCGAGACTGCGCGTACTGCCATTACTTGCGAAAATAAGACTGAGATGTTTACTGTGGTGACCTCTCCAAGATAATGGAAGCGGCAGCGATTGTTGGTTGTTGGTGTCCGTTTTGAGCGGGTTGTCAATGTCATTGTCCTCCTCGTCATCTACTCCAGTGGCTGTGATGACGACATTGCCCTTTTTGGTACTAGCCGGGGACGAGGCAGCCGAAGACGTAGCAGACGAGGCAGCAGAGCACGCAGTCGATGAAGACGACGATAATTCTGTGGCCATAGAAGGAGACTCTTGCAACATTGAACCAGCGTTTTCTCGATCAGCCTTGTTGTTGTTGCTGCGGCTGCTGCTGCTGCCATTGCTTACAGTGGAGCCTTGTTGCAGAGCATCAGTGGGACTTACTGGATTTTTTGCACCACCAATCAAGGTTTCTTGGAAATTTTGTGCGGGTTTGTCTTCTTTGTAGAGTTGACTCGTAAGAATGGCGTCGCAGAACTTCATTGCGGGGTACCGTGCATCCATTTGTTCTTGAGTCATGAGCTTCTTTTCGCGTCGGGTTCTGCGTCCTTGCGCACGAGCCTGTTGCATTGCACGACGCGCTCCGCTTGCTCCCACATTATAAGGGTACGCATTTTGCGATACAAACATGAGAGACCCATCGGTTGAATCTGTTGAGAGAGTGTGCCGGTGTTGGTACTGTTGTTGTTGTTGTTGTTGCATTGGGAACCCGCTTCCAGGACCCGGACCGCCGCCCATGACAATATTATCTGGAGACAACGGGCCATTAACATTGCCATTGATTTGGTACACGCCAGCATATTGTTGTGTTGTTGTGTCTCGCGGGTAAGATTCGTAGTCCATGTAGTCGCCAGTTGCTGCGAGTCTCCGGCGTCGGACGTAGTATCGAAGCCCGGAAATGGTGAAGATGAAGACAAAAACCACCCCTATGCCCATTGCAACATAGAAGAAGATTGACGAAGGGCCGGAGCCTCCATAGAAGGTCATATTGAGAGTTGGTTATACTGAATAAATGAGTGATTTAGACGGAATGGAGAGGAGGGGTTGAGACTTCTTAAATATTTTCTTTAGTATACAAAAAAAAAATAAATGACTGGAATGTTGAAAAAAAAAGAAGAAAAAAAAAATGTTTTTGGCGGTTTTTAATTTTTTAATTTTTTAATTTTTTTATTTCTTTTTATTTTTAGCCTTTTAGCCTTTTGGTGCATTCCACACAACGCATGATTCATAATGGGCACATCATCCGCATCAAAGTCCCCCATAAGACCAAGGTGCGTATCTGGCAGGCCGTCGTGGTGCCCGAAACCCGGTGTGCCGTCCGGTCAGTACAACCATATTTAAATACACAAAAATCCGCTAACTTTTTTCATCTATTTTAGGAGCATTAACGATGACGACGCGGACGAAATTACGCGTCGGAGACTTAAGCGGCAACGTCTATTTGAGCAGCTAAGTCACGAAACAAGCACGCAACAGGTACGTGACGAAGGTGGTACCCAAACCACCACCAGCCCAAGTAATAATCACCATCAGATACCCGAGGTTTCAGATAACAAGGACCCCGAGAATACAAAAGACAGCAGAAGTAAAGAAGTGAAGAAAAAGGAAAACTGCAATTTGCCTATTGATACCAGTACGTTGTTACCTGACAAGAAGGAGAATGAAAATAAAGAAGAAGAAGAAGAAGAAGAAGACAGCGATGACATGTTTGCTGATACCCCCCCACCTGAAAAACAACAGCTCAAGTTACAGAAGAAACAAGAAACATTGGACCAACTAGTAGTTGGAAAAAAACTTGCATTCAACTTGCTAGATAACTGGGACGATGCTGAAGGGTATTACCGAATCATCCCAGGCGAACTGCTGGACAACCGCTACTTGGTTTCTACAACGATGGGCAAAGGCACTTTTGCGTCAGTAGTACGTGCTACAGATAATGATGAAGATCACCGGCCTGTAGCCATCAAAATTATGCGTAACAATGATACAATTCTCAAGGCAGGACTACAAGAACTTGCACTACTTCAGAAGCTAAGAGACCCCACTAGCGACACAGCTGATGACCCAACTCGAACAAAACACGTTGTACAGTTGCTTTCGTCGTTTGACCATAAAGGCCACCTTTGCTTGGTATTCGAATACCTTGACGCAAATTTACGTGACGTGCTTCATAAGTTTGGTCGTAGTATAGGCATCAATTTGGCCGCAGTGCGAGCTTACGCTCGACAACTTTTACGTGGCCTAGACTCTTTGCGTCGTGCAGCTGTTATTCACTCAGACCTCAAGCCTGATAATATTCTAGTTACAGACTCTCATGCTGTTCTTAAAATCTGCGATCTGGGATCAGCAGTTCTTGCTGACAACCATCACAATGCTACAGGCACTGCTGATTGTTCCGTCGATTCGTCTCTTGTAGTCGCACCTTACCTTGCATCTCGGTTCTATCGCGCTCCAGAACTCATTCTTGGCCTTCCGCGGTATGACACGGCCATTGACATGTGGGCTGCAGGGTGCACACTTTTTGAAATGTACACGGGACAAGTTCTTTTCCCAGGTAAATCCAATAACGACATGCTGCGGCTCATGATGGCGGTGCGCGGAAAGTTCTCTAACAAGATGTTGCGCAAAGGTGCCTTTACTGGGATTTATTTCCATAAGAACCGGCTCGATGACTTCATCTCTACCTTAGGAATTGATCCTATCACAAACCAACCAATAACTAAAACAATTACAATCACAGGACATACACATGGACAAACTATCAAAGATAAACTTGCTGGACTCGAAGGCCCACCCGGGTCGCCTTCAGCAAGAATGCTGGACAAGTTTATTGATTTACTCAACCAAATGCTGGCATTAAATCCTGAAAAGCGTCCTACACCAGCCCAAACACTGGCTCATCCGTTCTTTGCGTAGTAAATGGTAACGATAGAAAAAAAACACAAAATATTTATATTCAGTCCTATGTACAGTAAATTAAAAAAAACATAAATCTCCCACCTTTGCTTAGATCTTGAACCGGTACTCCTTCTGGGCATGGACAGGCGACCAAACACCACGCACAGATTCGTTGATAGACTTAACGGGGTACTTGTACTTTTGCAGCTGTTGCTTACCGCTCGAGTCTCGCACCAGAGCAATCTTGCGGCGGATATCTGCGGCAGAAAGGTTACGGGCCGTCACAAACTTCTTATTGCCAGTCACGTATTCGCCAATGACAGACGGGTGACCGGACTTTTGCTGCACAACAAACTCAATCTTGGGGTTGGCAGCTGCAATCTGCTTGAGTTCCTTGCTCAGTAGCTCACGCATACCCTGAGAACTACCGCCCCAGTTGCAGTATTGCAGAGTGATCTTCTTGCATTGGAGAATAAAGGAACCGACACCGTTGCGGATCTGGGGCTGGAAGAAGGGGACTGCTTTCACGGGCATCTTTGAGGTCGTTGGGATGTGTGTGTGTGTGTTTGTATGTGTGAAGTGTTTGATGGTTGCAGCTGAGTGGACACAAAAATTTTTTTTCCACACAAACCACGACGGCCGGGTAACTATATTTATTAGAGTGCCCAAACATGCGGAAAAAAAAACACTTATTGTCGAGGAGTGAAAAATCATGATGGGAGCTTCAAGTCAAGTAGTAGATGCAAAAAATATATTCAGTTCATGTTAATAAAGAACTTTTATTCACCAAAACATACAATTGTGAATTGATTTTAATTTATTAAAATTCTTTTTTTTGAAGACCAAAATTAAGGAAGCCAATGTCACCAATATTCTTTATTGTGTTAAAGTATTTCACAATGTTAAAGCATCAACTCTTTAGAGTTTAGAGTTGTTTTTAAAATGTTTTGAACTTGAATGGTGAAGAAAAGAATAAAAGTTTTTATTTTGAAAAGAAATATTCCAGAATGAAATTCATTTATTTATTAACGTTTCAAACTTAGCTGAAACATTTCTCCTAAGTTATTCCTTTTCAATCTAAATCAAGGGGTCCCTAATATCTATCCAAGAACATCTTTCTGTTAGCCAATTTTTTTTGATTTTTATCTACAATAATTGATTATCAATTATGAGTACCATGTTGAAACACAGAATAAACATCTTAAGGTGACAAAAAACAGTTAAGAATCATACATACATATATATATGTATATATAATTTTTTATTTTAGTAATTTTAAAAGAATGTTTTTTTTGAGCATTTCAAGTAAAAAGACATAACATCTGCATTAAAAACAACTTGGATTATTATTTAATAATCAATTGTATTTTAGAAAGTTCAAGATCATTAACTCAATAAGTTGACATTAGAGGATATGATCAAAGACGTAATATTGAGGGGGGAGGGGATAAAATTAACCTCAAAGTCACATGACAAAAACGTGATAGCAAAATTTGCATTATAGGGCCATTTATCGAGAGGTTTCTGTTTGGTTGAGAAAGAAAAAAAAATACACCAACCACCAAACGACCAAATATGATTGCACGAAGACTTATAAACCCACGCCTACTGCTGAGCCGGCAAGCTTATGCCATCGGCTTGACCGTGCAAGCACGCACGTTAAAATCTATGAAGATCCGTCCGGAGATTCCTATGCGGCCAAAGCTTTCTCATGAAGAGACCGAGAGACTATCACAGGGAAACATTTCGGACTTTGACATTTTCCAGGACCTGCCTACCCCACTCAACACTATCGAGGTGGTTCTCAGTAACGGGTTCCGTTTAAAGTCTGGGGCTCATTTCCGATGCACAGACCCAGTTAACCACCCAAAGGCTTTGGTATTACTTTCCACAGAAACTTTTACGTTAGACCTTGGGAAGAGCGACAAGGGCTTAGCTGACCCAACGTCTGCAGAGAGTAAAATCCCAACCGCGGATGACCCGATCAAGGGTTTAGATACTGGATTTGTGGAAATCCATCACTCTGCGCTAGAGTTTTTGGAAGTGGTACATCCCAAGCCCGAAATGTTGGTTGTAGGGCTTGGTAAACGGTCACGCATGTTGCATCCAAATACCCGCAAGTATCTGACAGGACTTGGGATGCAAATAGAGTTATCAACTACGACAATTGCAGCTAATAACTTTGATCTACTAACTACTGAACGGCCAGGCCAAGTTGGTGCCCTGTTACTGGCACCCAATGTTTAGTAGTGTAAATAATAATTAGAAAATAAGAATAAAATAACCCGCTTTTATTTATTTTTTTTTTCTTTTTTTTTTTTTTAAAAATCTCAAGTTCTTAATAAGAATCGTCTAAAGATTTCCAATTTTTAAAGTGTTTTACATAATTATGTAATTTATAAATAAATTATTAAAAAAAAAAAACTTCTTTCTTTTTCTTTATATATATTCCCATATTATTTTGGGGAACACGAAATTGACTCGGAAAAAGCCACACCCGATGAAGCGGACCTGATTCCTAAAGCTACCTAAAATGGTTAATCTAATCCATCTAAACAAAGATGTTTCCCAAATCCAGAAGAAAAAAAATACGACGATGATGACCACCACTTTTTTTTTTCTACTCTTAAAGAAAAATTATAAAAAAAAATTGATTATATTATTCTCCACAATAGATTGCGTGTACTTTTTTTTTTTACAATACAAATGATCGATCGCGCGATGAGATGATAATCTACGTATTTTCAGGAAAAGCTTTAAAAATACTGGGCAAAGTTAAAGTAAACTATGATAATGGAGTTGGGAAAAGCTTTGATTTATAAAATGAAAGAAAAAAAAATTCAAAGGGATGAAAAAAATATATAAAACAGAAAAGATCTATATGGGAAACTAAAAAAGTCCCATGCGGGGCAGTAGCATCATCAATCATCCGACTAAAAACCTTCGCAAAAAGCCGCCAGCGTGGTTTTATTTACATAAATATATAATTTTTTTTTCATAATCTTGCATAGGCCTAAAGAATGTAAAAATTTATTATTAGTAATTATATCATTTTTCTCATTTTTCATTAATTAATTTTTTTACATATCTAAAACTTTTTTTTTTCATTCAAAAATTACAATTAAACAGCAGAAGTAGGAAGTGTAGGCTTACGAGTTGAAAGCTCAACACTATCTATAGGTTCAGTGGCTTCGTTACGATCATGGAAAGGATTTCCAGTCGCATTTGTGTTGGTAGAAAAAGTAGACTGGTTTGTCTGAACAGTGACCAGTGATGAGTCTTTAGGAAGATCTTTGCCTTTGGTAGCAGCATTTTGATTAGCCTTGTGGGCGTTCATAGCTTTCTTGCGCACCATGAACCAAAAGTACACAAGCACACACATAAGAATGACAAAAATAATAGGCACAACAATGGCTGCAGTAAGCGCACCCTTGCTAAGGCCGCCATTATCATCTTTGTTATTTGACGACTTGTTGTTGTCACTTGGAAGTCGGCTAATGACTGTTTCGGCATCACTGGCACTAGCAATAACACGAATGATAGGACCAGAAACAGTGCCAACCTTAGTAGAAATGGTGTTATCAGGAACTAAAGGCATGAGGTTTACAAACATGTAACCATTTGTGCCACGAATACGGTAGTCATCCAAGATAGTCAATGGGAAATAGCCATCAGCATTAGAAACCCAATCAGTAATGAAAACCTGGTCCTCATTGTTATCACTAGGAAGATAACGGGCGTAGATCTTGACAAACTTAATGTCATTGGGGCTTCCCCAATATGTAGGGTCCCAGGTCAACCAATATGTTTCGCCAACAATCATTTCAGTGCCGTTGCGTGGAGTGCAAAATGGGTAACCAGGAGGATTATTTGAAGAAGAGCCACTGTTGGCGGCAGGAACACGGTCACCAAAGCATCTAATAACAGGTGGAATAGCATTTGGTGTAGGATAAGATGTTGGGGCAGTCGGTGAGGTGGAATAGGTCTCGCCACCAGGAGTCACGATTGTGGGCGTAATAGCGATAGGAATACCGGAGTTATCTACCGAAACCCACGTGGTAGTCTTTGAATTGTCTGTAGTTGTAGGTGGTTGTGCAGATATGGTGACAGCATCAATAATAGTTTCAGTAACAAGTTCATACCCGCCGTTGGCCAAAGTTGAGGTCCACACAGAGTTACCGTTGATGGCTTGTTGAGCACGCTTTTCGAGAGAATATTGCTCGGGCGCATCTGTGATTTCAGGGTGCGGGGCTGGAAGAGCAGTAACCAGGGAAGCCAGTGCGATAGTAGTTGCAAAGCTAGTGAACTTCATATTTGTTTCTTTTTTATATTTGATGTTGAATTTTTTTGGTTTTTTTTTTTTTTTTTCAAAATTTAGAAAAAAAATAATAATCCCAAAAAACAATAGAAAAATAGATACAAAAGAAAAAAAAAATTAAAAGTTTAAAGGATTATCAGGATGTTTTTATATGAAGAAATCAGCGAAAAATTTACAGCCAAGACCCAAAATAAACGAGCAGTGCGAACTTTCGAGATCAGCTGCAGCCGAGTTGGGGAATATGATGGATTAGATAATACTCTTTGGTCTATTGGCTACAATAGAATTATTTCCTGATCAGGAAAATCACAAGGGACGGCACCGTATGAGATTTTTTAGATTTCTCATTTGCAGTTGATTGGCAGGTGACACATTTCCCTGGACTCCAAGATACCCCAAAAATTATATTACCATGAGTAACTTTTATTTATTATTAATAACAACAACTTACCCTTGGTGCTTTTTATTTTTATTTTTATTTTTATTTTTATTTTTTTTTTTTTTTTCAGAGATGTCCAAAAAAAAACCTCACCGCCAAAGAAAACCTAGCTCCACCGCTCCCCGCGTTCACTACCACCATCATTACCACCACTACCACCACTACCATCTCATCATCACCATTTGTCAACCTCCTATTTCATTTGCCTTCATCATATCCATCTATCCACCACCACCTCCTCATGCTACGTCCCCATCATGCCCCAATCGCAATCTACATTAGCTTCGTCTCCACCTTCTTCCAAGCTTTCTCACGGCTTGCGCCAGCAACTACACGCTGACCCACTTCCGGGTCAGCAACAACTTTACTCTGATGCACTGTCGCAGGGTCTTTCCCAGCAACAACCGCGTGGACCCTTTGCATCTAACGGCTCTACAGGAATTTCACAAGCTGGACCTATAAATGGCTCTGCTAATGGTTCTACTAATAACATTAACCTCAATAACACCAACAATAACAATTCTGCTATGCTTAAAAGTATGTGATTTGACGCGTGCATTTATGATTCGGAAATTTGCAATTTAGAAAAAAAACGAAATGACTTCCCCTTTTTATCATTTATCATTTATTTTTATTTAATATTTTCTAACAAAAATATACAAAGACCTTTCTCATGTTCCTTGCAAGTTCTTTCGCCAGGGCCAATGTCAAGCTGGTAATGGTTGCCCGTTCTCTCACTCTATCAGTTCCATTGAGCCCGCTCCTTGCAAGTATTTTCAAAAGGTGAGTCTTAAACCAAATTTACCATTTAGTTTATCTAATTTTTTTTTATTTTAGGGAAACTGCAAGTTTGGTATGAAGTGTGCACTTGCCCATATTCTCCCTGATGGTCGTATCCTCAACCCCAGATCTCTCCAAGCTCCTGGCCAGCAAAAGCAACAACAGCAACAGCAACAGCAACAGCAACAGCAACAGCAGCAACAACAACAGCCGCAGCAACTACAGCTTCGAACTGGTATGGGACTTTCAGACTCATTCCAGCAACAGCAAAACTTTTACCAGCCCGATTTAGGCCCTCCTATTTCTAATGTTAATGTCGTGGCCTCGTCTGGTCCCACTACTTCTGCCACCATCCGAAACATTTACATGTCGGCTGCCTCGATTTACTCAGGCACCCCAGAATACTCCCAATCACTGGCCTCTACCTCCTCCTTGTCTTCGTCTTTTCATCAACCATCTTCAGACTTTGTTCAGCCGGTTGCACCATCAACTCTTGGTGAAAATGGCCCTGTAATTGGTTCCGTACCCGTTATGCACCATCATAAGTCTGCTTCTTTCGTATCTACTGATTATATTCACGCGTCTCAACCCCAGCTTGTGGCTCCTCAGCCAGTCTCATCTTCTTTTACACCTGTAATTCCTCAAAACCAACCTATCAATAACTCATCTTCGCTTACCTCACCCTCAATAGTTTTCCAACAACGCTCATTTTCGACCACCGCTTACATCCCTGCTACTTCTACCTCATCATCTGGATTTGGCACCCCACCAACATCCATTTGGAATAAAAAGGTCCAACCCTCTCCGTCGATCTCTTCGCCTTTGAGGCCTAGCGCTATGTCTATGCTTATAAACTCTGTTGCAAACGTCAAAATTCAAGATGGTGCTTCCTCCTCTTCCCCAAATGCTAACGGTCATTACAGTGCACTTTTACATCAAGATGTTATTGCTGACAACGAGTGTGCCATTGACGATGGCGATGGTGATGGTCTGGAAGATTTTGTTCCTTCATCTTTGAGTGACTTACTTACTGACCAGGAACGTCGTCGTCGTGGCTCACGACCTTCAAGCACGAATAACCCTCTTTTGTCTTCCTCGCCTCACCTTCTTCATCCCCTTCACAATTACAATACACACTCAACTGACACCGGATTTCCTTCGTGGACAACCACTTCACCTCGCCTTCTTGCTCAACACCAAGCTCGTCGAGCTCTTGATGATGATTTGGCCGATACCCCTCCCCCTGTAAATGGTACGGGACACCACCTTCGTGCGTCTTTTTCACTTTCTAATGGTGAGCGTCTTTCTGGTGTTAATATTTCTAACGGCAACCACCCATCTGTTTCTTCAAATTACCCGGCTCCAATTGGTACCCCTGAGCGAGGTTCAGCCGCTGCCGGCTCTTACTTGAATTCTTACAAGAGTGCTGTGGAGACTCAAGGTGTAGTAGGTGCTCTCCCCGCAATTGGCACACCAGTTCATAGTGGTTTGCGACCAGGTCGCTCTCCCAGCGGGCTTGTGCCACCCCAGGCTCCTGGGTTTGGGTCTGCAGGCAAGACCCATCCAAACACAAGTCTGTTTGATGATGACATCAACAATACTCCTGAGGACGAGTTTGATGAGACACAATTTGCAATGGACGATGAAGTGGTAGACAAATCTTCTTCTACTACTACAAGCACCACTTCTGCAATGTTGATGCGAAGCTAAAAAAAAAAAAATAAAAAAAAAGAAAAAGTGAAATTCTATTAAAAATTGATTTTTTTTTGAAAAAGTTTAAAAGTTCTAAAATGATGAAAGATTGATTATTTTAAAAAAATAAAAAAGTTTGATAAAAAAATAACAATTAAAAAAAAATAAGATGAAAAACAAACAAAAGCAAAAGTAAATATTTTTTTTTGAAAAAAAAAACACCCTATTTGTATTTTATATATTTCTGTATAAAAATAATTTATATTATATGCAACTTGTCTTCTATTACTGAAACGAATTTCCGAATTTCCAAATTAAATTGAATGCTGAAATTAGCTATCAGGGGCAGGTTTAATTAACCTTTAAAATATTTTGGGTCAGATCTTTGAATAAATTAACAATGCAACGATATCGATGATGGATCGATTGACGTCAATATTATTATTATTATTTTTATTTTTATTTTTATTTAGATAGGCTTCTATTATTCCTAAAATGTATGATAACCCTAACCCCTGAGTAATACTTAACTTTGAATGATTTATTATGTTTTCGCTTATAAATCTTTTCAAAATCTATTTTTTGAAAGCTTAGCATTAAAAATTTAAATTAATAAAACAGTTATTCATAGGGTAAGGTTTAATTTAATTTAATTTAAAATATTTGTCATGATGACGTAATAAAGTATCTTTGAGGTAAGGGCAGGAGAATTCACCACAACCCACCTACTTTATTTTTTTTTTACAGTCACCACCAAAACATACCAACAACATTTCGATTTGACTAGCTTATGACATTTCCCACCTGATCTGGAAATTTTTATCTATATTTAAAAAATGTCGGAACCTGTAAATAAGCTTCCTTCTAATTTTTCAGAGGTATTCATTTTTAAAAAATAATAAAATCACATTTTGTACTAATAAAAATTTTTAGGATTGGTCATTTAAACCTGAATTTAAAAGTGGACCTAAGGATCTGCTACATTTAAATTCTTTTGCAAATGTTCCTAGTTTACCTGTTAATCTTCTTGATATTGCTAATATCACTGGTTTTGTGGTAGCTGCTGCAAATTCCAGTAAGTCATAATATTACTCTCCTTTATGTTTATTACTAACATTCTAGCCATTCATTTGTTTGACAAATCCACAATATATTCAGATCCAATTGAACCTATATCAACCGTAACTACATCCAGCACTGTGACCAATGTCTCATTTACTGCCGATGAAACTTCAATTCTTGTGACAACAGTTGAAAAGGAAGTTTTGTTATTTTCTTTTAATAAAACAGGACTTGGCGAAGCAAAGAACTTGGACAACACTATAGCTGAAGCTTTGGGGATTTATCCCCAGCCAAAGAATCCTAAAAAATTTGCATTGCTTTTGGCTAACGGCTTAGTAGTTCTTGGTGATATAAACGGATCATTATCTTACACGCCCCTTAATGATAGCAGTACACAAACCGCCACCGCGTTTTCATGGACGCCAGGTAATCATTCTTATTTTATTGCTGGACCTTCCGAATTAATCCAGTTTAAAGATAGTAAAAAATTACGCTCTTTTACATATCCACCTCTTCAAGACCAAAAAGTCATCTCTATCAATGCAGTTGATGAAAACTTGGTGCAAGTGGTCTTTACCGGAAGTAATGAGGTTTCTGTTTTTTTGGTTAAAATTAATGACGATGGATTTACATGGGAGAGTGCAGAAGTCGGAAACTGTTATGGAGATTTTGAACGTACTCCTTGCTGGTATGGAGTCGTTATGCGAAACTGGATTTCCGATCAAGCTTTTGCGCTAAACCACCCAAACAAGGCAAGCAAATATGTTTTTATTGTCGCATCCGCACAATCAGCGGACGTTGAAATATTCAATGAAAATGAGGTTTTATGTGCAGAAGAAGATTATCAAAAAGCCGCTTTGGATTTTTGCGACGATGGGGAACTTTCGCCTTTGGGTGTAGCTCTTGACTTTTCTTCTACAAAAAAGATTGAAGACGCTTATGCCGGAATGGAGGAATCTTATGAACCTCTTCCTATTTTGTGGCTGCTTGACAATCGGGGGATGATTTATCTTTGGCATATAGTTAACAAGCCCGCGATTGTTGAAAAGGCAATGTCACTTAATGGACTCTTACAAAGCTATAAAAAAGAATTTTATATTGAGCCAGGGACAGAGTCTAATGAGCCTTTTGAGCAAGCTAAGAATGAGAAACCAGAAGAAGAAAGTAAACACATTCAATTACCTAATGATTTATCATTTAAAAAAGAAGTACCTTCTATTGAGGATGATTTAAACAAGGATGAATTATTAAAATCTGCTACATCACCGTTACATGACAAAGAACCTGAACCATCTAGTTCATCAGTTGATAAATTTTCAACACCAACATTAACACCATCAGCATTTGCAAATCCAACTTTATTCAATAATACCAGTGGAACATCTTCTATTGGCTCAATCAATCAAACCCCTATATCATCTAGCCCCTTTGTGTCTAAATCACCTGTTGAGCCACCTGTTGAGCCTACCCCAGAGGTTGTTTATGGGACAGCAATTTCTACATCCAGCCCTTTTCAAAAACCGAAAATAGGTTCAGATACAAGCGGGAAAGGTACTGAGACTTTGCAAAAGCTTTCAAGCTCTTCACCATCAAACCCATTTTCTCTTTCAAATAACTTGCCTGTTTCTAATCCGTTTCAATCCCCTTCTTTTACTGACGCTATAAAACCCTCGATTCCATCAACTTCTAATGACAAAGTGGTAGGATCTTTGGATTTGTCTGGGCTTGCAGCTTCTATCTCAGGAATTCAATCAAATTCTCATTTTGATGACAGCGATGATGATATTTCATCAGAAGAATCGTCCATAAATTCATCTTTTGATTCGGAAATTGACCAGCCCAAATCCCTGACGTCTAAATGGGGAAATATTGGTGTAAAGTCAGATGAAAGGCCGTTAGAAACAAATTTCACCAAGAAAGAGAATGCCAAGGATGAAGAGTCGGAAGCGTTATTTGAAACCCCCCATTTAAACGATTTCACTGTATCATCAGAGTTAAATGAAGGGTCTTCTGAAAAGGGTTCTCCCTTGTTTCAAGATTCGGACCAAATTAATAAGGATGACTTGGATCGAGTGTCTGAGATGAGCAGCTTTTGTGAAGTTAACGAGCCTGGCTCGAGTTCTGAAAAGAGTGATTCCGTTGAACCTAATCCAGAATCCGAATCAGAGTTTAAATTTTCTACTAATTCTGAAACTGTGGATTCTAAGAGAATTGCAAAGTCTTCTGTCGAAACTGAAAATATTGAAAATATTGAAAACCCTCATATATCAGAAAAAACTGAAACTCCAGTGGAATTTGAAAAAACCGAAAATTTTGAGGAAATTCAACCTTCTGAACTTGATGACAAATCTGAAGATGTTAAGTCAAAAGAGCCCGAAAAGACCGAGCCAGAAGAACCTAAAGAGCCACCTAAATTGTTTACAGAAAAGTCTGTTGGACCCAGCATGCCACCGTCTCCTGAACTCCCCCCTGTTGTTACTGTTGATGCAGAGCTTCAGACAGAGGAGCCTCAACCTGATGTTGACGTCTCCGATTGTTGCTTTGATTCGGATGATTCGGATGATTTGGATACAGATGACGACTTAATAGCTCCAATAAACTTGGATCTGTTACCAATATACATTTCTCTGGATGGGCTCCAAGATATTGTTCCTTCGTTAAAATCAGTTTCATCATATGAAGAAGCTGAGATTTTGGGAATCTTTAACCAAATTAATTATCAGTTACGTATTCTCGCTGTAAACAGTAAGAGACTGGATGGGTATATTGATTCTAACAGAACCGAGGACTTTGAAGAAGATTATGAAGAAGATTCAGAGAATTACAGTGAATCTGAAAGCGAAACAACTGATGAAAGCGGGCTTGAAAACAGTCTTGAAAAGAAAAAAATTTGGCCAGACCCTTCTGAATGGACCCTTGAACAAAGTAGGTATCTCGTTGATGCTACCAAGGATGCAATATACGCTGTAAGACAGGTTTCTATTTATCAGGATATCAACATTAAGGATCTTTTACAGGATACACAAGAAACCGGTCGACGAGTATTTAGTGTTGGACTTGAGCTCCAAAGTCATGTGCAAACCGAGTGTGTGATTTCACAAGGACGGGCATTACCTTTACATGCGTCGGAAATGCAGCGAAAGTTACGGTTGGCCGTACAAGAGCTTAAAACATCGCTCAACAAGGTGGAAAGCAGTATTGTTGGGATGAAGGCGAGTGGTGGGTATGGGCAAGTAAGTGCAAGTAACCTGAGGCAACAGCTAAATGTTGTAGCACGGTGTGCACGCGACCGAGCGGCAACTGTTGCTCGCCTTGTTGAATGGTACTACAACCATGGCCAAGAGAAGGAAGAGTACGGAGACGGACGCTCACAACTAGCAATTGCGCCTGCGGAAGCAGTAAATGCTGAAATGCTCATGCTACAAAACAGACAAACAGCACCTGGAGAAGAAGGCGCTGGCGCTTTGCGAGTGTTACGTCACGCTCTGACTGGAAGTCGTCTTGATGCACTTTCTCGCCTGGGAACCACGGCAGATGTTATTGGTGTTCAACGGCGCATGGCTTCGCGATTGGCACTGAGTAATGTACTTCAGGCTCGGTCTGTAGATTCGTTGTACAATAAGCGACCACAGGAAGTTCGTGGTTTATGCCTGTAAAAAAAACTGAAAATCAAACTTTTATTCAAATTAATTGGACACTTATTTTTATTTTTTTAAAATTATTTTTAAAATTTTTGCATAAAGTACACACTTGTCTCTTTTTTTTTATTTTACTTTTATTTTTATTTTTATTCTGTCCCACAGTCTTTCTTTTTCATTACATTTCCCTTCCTTTTGGCCTTCTAATTGATGTGAGTGTTTTGCAGGGCCGACGCCAGCGGGCCCGCACTGGATTCCGGGGGCAAGTTGCTGTTGTAGTTATAGGGATCATTATCATCCTCATCACCGTTATCCTCATCCTCATCCACCCAAGCCTCTTCACTATCAGCATCAGGCCCTGGAGGCTCCTTTTTTTCCAGCATGCGGACGTATTCCTCAGGTACGAGGCCTGTTTCGCCTGTTGCAGGGTCTTCTGCGACAAGCCACCCTTGGCCATGGCGGTACGACACCCAGATCACCTGGCCGACGCGGAGAGGCGCTTCATTATCGTTTTCTGGTTCAAAGTCAAAGAGAGCGACGGCGCGGCCGTGGATCTCATCGACGGAGGCCACAGAAAATTCAAATTCGCGGCTTATGCGGTCGCCGACGGAGTGCATGGTAACAACAGGAGATGCCAGGTCTGGGTCCTCACGCCATGGTGGGCCACCGTCCATGTGGTACGAATCCGGGTATGGGGGTATTTGTCGGGGGTCATTAGGGTCATTAGTAGGGTCGTGATAATCGTGATCTAGGGAGTGGTGGTCATCATTGTGATAATAATTATTGTAGTCGTCAAGGTTGTCGTAAATGTCGTCATCTATGTAGTCGTCGTCGTCGTCGTCGGAAAATGAGTCGCTGGAGCGAGGTGTGGGACCCGGCGAGACGCCGTAGTGCAGTGGATTGCTTGCTGCGTAGGCGAAGTCGCGCACATCGGTATATGGCAGTGCAGACTTGTATGGCGGTCTGCATGCAAGTTCCTCGGCCTCAGGCCCAATGTGAGCCTCCATAAGACGAGCAAGGGCTTCGATTATGGTGTCGTCTAGATAAGCTTCTGAAACATCAGATTCTGAGATGTTTGGAAGTTCTTCGGTGGCAATGGCAGGGGTTGTATCTGTTGTGGTAGTGGTGATGGCATCAGTGAGTTCTATTGTTGTCACAGCAGATGATTCTTCTGCTTCAATCTCATCAGATTGAGCTAGTGTTTTAATAGTGGACTGATTGTCATTCTGAGATTGGATATCATCATCATGGTCTTCTTTTTCTTCTGGGGGTATTATCGGGGAAGGTGCATGTGTGGAATCTGGGGGAGGGGAAGAAGATTGTCGTGACCTCAGAGAAGGTGCACGATGTAAAGATGGTAGGAAATGATGTAAAGAAGTTGGAGACGCCGGTAAAGAGACTGCCGGTGAAGAGACTGCCGGCGAGGCTGGCGGGCTTGCTGACGGCGGACGGCAGGGACCGGTGGCGGCCATGGAGGGAAGATGCAATGAGATGCGGCGGCAGCAGAGGCGGCAGCGGTGGATGTAAGAGAAGAGAGTTCACGTGAAAAAAAAGGAGAGGAGAAGAATTTAAATAAATGAAAAAATAAAAAAATGAATGAATAAATAAAAAGGTTTCAAGCGTAAGAAACAAACATAAAGGTGTGGTGAATGGGATTGAGCTGGAGTATATTCAAGGCGGTAGAGGTGTGATGTTTTGTGGAAGGGCCTTTTGGGAAAGCCAGCAGATCCTTTGGTGGTGATTTGAAAGCGGTGGGAATGGTGGTGGTGAAAGAAAATCAGAAAATTACAAAAGTAAATTAATTAAAAAAATAAATAAATAAACAAATAAACAAATAAATAAATAAACAAACAGACAGACAAACAAACAAAGTATTTTATTATGATTAGTAATATTTATTTTTAATTATTGTTAATTTAATTAAAAAATTATACGCCACACTCTTGACACAACCTGCAAAACACACATAAACACATACAAATACAAATATAAAATAAACTGATCTTAGAGATGACGACGGCACACAGACCGACATTTGACCCAGCAAAGGGCAAGACTTCCCAAAGCACAGGCTCTATTCTTCACAAGCGGTTTTTGCCGTCTCACACAAAGCTCAAGGTTCGTGGAAAGGGCCAAGGAGGTGTGGCAGATCGTTACGATGATGGTGAGCCACAGGAAATGGACGAGCGAGAACGACTACGGGCTGCATTACTAGCAAAAGAGGAAGGATCTGGCCGAGCGACCAAACGAAAGGCATTAGTGGTGCATGGAGAATCTTCTGTCGATGATAATGATAATAATGACGATGATGAAGACAATAAAGAACAAGATTTAGAGGAACAAGGATTAGTTAAAAGGCGGCGTGTTTTAGAGGTCGATCCCGAAGATCGAGATGACGATGATAGGGGTGACTCTGGAGGGTCTGGGAAGGAAGAAAATAGTGATGATGACGATGATGATGATGACGATGATGAAGACGAAGAAGACGAAGATTCTGAAGACGAAGCTGAAGAACTGCGGCGCGAGCTGCGCAAGATTGAAGAAGAACGCGCTGAGCGCGCTAAAGCTGAAGAGGAGGCTGAACGAGAGCGTGAGATTGCTGAAGGGAACCCGTTGTTACGTGAGGGTAGCAGTGGAACAGTCACTGTGCGCCGGAGATGGTACAGTGAAGGCGTGTTTGCGGACCAAGCACGGGGTCTTGCTGTACGACCCGAGGACGCGCCGAAACATGGGTTTGTAAACGATGCTTTGCGGTCCGATTTTCACCGGAAGTTTATGGACAAGTATATTCGGTAAATGTGTTAATTTAAGTATTTAAGTATTCAAGTACACAAGTATATATATTAATATATATATATATATATATATATATATATATATTATTTTTGGAGATAGTCTATCAATGTTAAGACCATATTAAAAAAATAAAATAAAATAAAATAAAAATTGCCCAAAATGCCTTACTCAATGCGGCCGGTCCTGTGCTGGCAATTTAGCCCCCGTTAAATGCACCACCACCCTTTTTAAACTCTTTCATAACCCAACAAGAAATGACCATCTATTCATTTTGGATCTTTGACCGGCACTGTAAGTTTCCTCCCTAGAAAATAGAAGTTTTTTTTTTTTTTGTTTTTTGTACTTTCCCTAACTTTTTATAAGGCAATTGTGTCTACGCCAAAGACTGGCAGCGCCAGCGTGCTGCACGCAGACCCAACTCATATATTGGTTCATCTGCAACTGGCGGGTTGGGCTCACCCCTCGCAACCAAAGCCTCACTCGATTCGTCAGCGTCAGCTGCTGCTGCAGCTTCCGGTGCTGGGGGCTCTTCATCGTCTTCTTTACAGAGTTTTGTGCCTGGTGATTTTGTATATCGCCGAGCGCCACCGCCTTTACAGGTCGATGCCAATGTGCTCCAACCGTCAGTCGCAGTTGTTCCACGAGGCCAAAAAAACAATGGGCCTTCAGCTATTGCTGCCACAGCTTTGCACCACCCACTTTTTGACAGTGAGCTGGGGAAACTGGTGTTTGGTGTTGTGTTCAGTTTGCGCAATATGGCTCGTAAACTCACGGACGATGCAGATGGATTCACGACTTTTTCTACATCCAAATATAAGGTCCATTTCTACGAAACACCTTCAAACGTGCGTTTTGTTCTGGTTTCGGACCCAGGACTTGAAAGTCAAGGAGCAGTTCTGAGGCACATTTATGGTAGCATGTATGTCGAATATGCATCCAAAAACCCTCTCTACCCCGTTGACCCCGTGTCTTCGGCCGTACTTGCCAACGATTTATTGGTGTTGGACATTGAATCTTACATTGCATCACTTCCAGGGTTTGAATAGAATTACATTATGGGATTTACATTTATCTAAGCCATTTCCTCAATCTTTTCTTAAGATTTCTCCTCAATCGTTTCCTCTTTCTTTTCTTCTTCTTTTTCTACCTTCTCATCTTTTTTCTTTTTACGAGACTCAGTTACCTCTTCGCTCACACGCTTGCCATTTGACTTGATACCGTTGACAGTTCTAAAGTAGGGCTGGCATCGCCAGTAGGGGATAGCCTTGTATGATCCACCCCAATCCTCTAATTTTTCATTTTCCACAATAATATCTTCAACGCCTGAAGCCAAAATGCCTTCAACCGTAGCCTCGACCTCGGAGACAATTTTTTCAAACTCTTCAAGCTCGTATTTGCGCAGGCTGCCGAGTTTGGCGCGGATATCTGTATGAATAGGTAGGAACGCGTGCATAATTTTGAAAAAGTGGGACTTCATGGCAATACGCGAAGCGTTACCAGGAGTGGTTTTAACAATCTCAAAGTACTCTCTCAGAAGCTTATCAACACGAGGGAACCGGTCGTCAATCTTGTGGTAAACTGAGTTGAAAATAGCTGGGTTGTAGAGGTTACCTTCGGCTGACATGACAGCATCAACATTATTTGTATGCAAACTGCGATCAATATCTTCTTGGTAAAGCAGGTTTCCGTTTGCAATCATGACAGTGTCTGGAGGGAGGTTATCGCGGAGGTATTTAATCATGGACCAGTCGGCGATGCCTGTCATTTGGCCCTTCATTTCACGGGTACGTCCATGGACTGTAAGAAACTGTGCACCAGCAGAAAGTACATGTTTTGCATAAGCGAGGGTTTTTTCACGATCATTGTAGATGCGGATTTTGGCTGTGACTGGGATCTTGAGTTCTTTATGTAGTATGTTGATAAGGTTATAGATAAGATCCCAGTCTTCCATAAGGAAAGACCCGTAGTGCCCACGTTTAGCAATACCCTGAGGGCAACCGAGATTAAGGTCAACAGCATCGCAACGGTCCTCTACGAGGCGCGCGGCCGCAAGCAACTCTTCGGGTTTATTTGCGCAAAACTGGACGACCAAGGGTCTATCAGTAGCTGGGTCGCCATCTCCATCGCCAAACATATCAGCACGATATTGTTCGCTGGTGGCAAAAAGACGCGCATGATACATGGGGGTATAGCAGAGGTCTGCACCATATCGACGCGAAAGGATACGCCACGCGAGTTCACTCTGGTCAACCATCGGGGCCACGACGGTTTTAGGGCAGCCGATCTGCTCGTAGAGCTCACGGCCGGTGGGCTTTGTTGTCTTTTTAGGAAGAGAGTCAGCCATGATTAGACGTAGGCGGCGGAGGATGGAAGGGAATATGGAAGTTAAAGTGGACAATTTGGAAGTGTTGAGAACAAAACGGAACAGAATGGAAAAGAAAAAAAAAAAAAAAATTAAAAAAATAAGAATTTTTAAAGTTGGCAAAACAAGTTGGATTTATTTTTTTTTTTTTTTTTGGGAGGGGAGGTTCTAAAATTTTTCTATTGCAATTTAGGTATATTGCTATAATTCCTAAATTGCAACGGATATCACCGAGCTCATCCGTCAAAAGATTTGGGAATGAAATGAAAGGAAATAAAATAAAATGAAAAAAATTAAAAAATAAATAAAAAAACATGAATTATATTTTGATATTTAAAAACTAGGATTAATCATTATTACAAAAAAAAAAATTGAAATTGGATTAAATATTGTTCTTGGATAACTGGTTTTTAAAAGTATTTATTATATTTATAATGATAACAAAAGTGTGATTTGAGAAGTTTAACTTAGTAATTACTATATATTAAGCTTTTCAATCCAGACTTTATGTTTGAACTATTGTTCAAATTTCAACAGAATATATATATATATATTATATTTCTCAAATGTCTAGGCCAAATTGTAAAATCTTATTATCTGTAATTTAATTTAACAAAAGTTTCAATTTTTTTTATTGTGTGTTAAACCTGAGTATATAAAAGGTTTAAATTTTTTAATTTTGACAACTTTTTTTTTTAATTCATTTCATTACAAAAGTAAAAAAAAAAAAAAAAAAAAAAAAAAAAAGGGGACATCATTTTTGGTTTTAAAAGTGTCTTTTTTTCAATCGGTTATATTGATAGTTTAAAATGCTTTTTTTTTAAAAAAAAAATAGTATTTTAAATAGTATAATATAATTATAATAGATAATTAATGGCCAATATGGTTTTTTTTTTCAAATCTTATTGTTACAATTACAAATATTAAAGTACGGTTAGACTATTATTAATTAATTAAACAATATTGTTTTATGAAAGTAATTTTAATACTTTATGTTAATTAATATAACATCATAAATCACTTAAGGATCTTGTTCATTGATGAAGAAACAATTTTTGAATGGAAAATTCAGCTGTATAGAGATAAAATAAAAAAAAGAAAAATTAGGTCTCACCAAATCTTTTTATTTTTATTATTATTATTATTATTTTAAACAATACTTTTGTCTCTTAAAATAAAATGAATCTAATGCTATTTTATTTCTATTATAGACCAAACTCTCCTTATGGTTATCTTGTTTAATATATAGTATCTAGGACACAAGAATTTCTGACCATTTATGTTGGCACACCCTTAACTATTGATTGAATCTAATTTAAATAATTGAAATATTTCATTTATAATAAAATCAATTTTATTTGTGCTTTTTATTTTATTTTATTTTGTTTTATTTTATTTTTATTTTATTTTATTTTTATTTTAATTTTATTTTTATTAAATACTTTTATCTCTTTAAAGCTCCAACTGAAATTCTTTCATTTAATCAATAACGTCTTCCCCACATGTCATCGGACAATAAACCTATGGGATCCACCAACCATACCAATCGTTTTAATAATAGTAATAATCATAATAATAATGAAGCTTAAAAGTATTATTTATTTATTTATTTTTTTGATGATATATATATATATTGATATTAATGTTTAATTTCAAATCTTTCACTCAAAGCCAATTCATTTTTTGGAAATGTCCATGTAAGGCTTAAAAGTGATAGTAATCTGAATTATAATGTGAACAAAAGAATGAGATCTGAAATTTTATTCAAATATATATATATATTTAATTGTGTACCAATATTATTTCAAATTATTACAAACATACCATTAAATTTTGAGTCTAAATGAAATTAAATTCTTTTATATATAAGAAAATGATCTTTTTTTTTTTTTTTTTTTTTTTGAGTTCCAATACTTCAAATACCACAACCACAGGTTAAATCTTACCATATAATAACTAAATTACTTACCATTTAATAACCAAAAAAAGAAAAAATAACAATATATCACATGACCTATGACATTACAGCCCAGCCAATTACAGACCCCATGAAAAGACTGCTGCTTCTACTGCTACTACTACTACTACTACTACTACTACTGCTGCTGTTATTTTACGTTCTAGAGCCGCTCCTCCAAAAAAAACTCTCCGACAAACGAAAAAATAAAAAAAAAAAAAACCTCTCCACTCACCTTTTTTTTCTCTTTTTTTTCTTCCCTCCTTCTTTCTCCACCCAATCACCGGCCATTTTCTGTTGACTACCACCAACAACACCCACCCACACCTACATACATACACACACACAATCCCTCCACCATTCACAATGCTCCGACCACAGACCCTCCTCAGAGCCTCCAAGGCTGCCGCCATGGCCCCCCGTGTTGGCGTCAGAAATGCGTCCTCCCTTGCTTCTATCCCAGCTAAGGCTGCCGGATTTGTCAACTGCACCATCTTTTGGGCTAAGGTTGTTGGCGAGCTGGCTAAGCAGGTCTACATCAAGGAGGGCCTTGCTCCTCCTACCCAGGCCCAGATCACCTCTGTCTTTGAGCTCATCAAGAAGTCCGCCATCGAGGCTGCTTCCCGCCCCAGCGCCTTCATTGAGTCTGTTTCTCAGGTCAACAAGGTCCAGGTCGCCGTCAAGGGCACTGTCGCTCTTGTCCAGATCCTGGGTCTCTTTTCGCTGGGCGAAATTGTCGGCCGCCGCCACGTTGTCGGCTACAAGCACTACTAGATGTACAAAAAAAAAATAAAAAATTTAATAAAATGATAATAATGTGTGTTTAACTATTTTGTAAATTTTTTTTGTTGTGAATGGAAATGTTTATTATATAAAAGTTTTCTATATAGCCCTGCAGACCTTTTTCTTTTTTTTTTTTCATTATTATTATTATGCGTGTAAGATTATTTTTCACTTTCTTTAGACTTCTCACCAGTTCTTTTCTTTTTCATGGTTTCATCAGTACCATCATTGTCATTATTTCCATCCTTTCCATCCTTTCCATCACTTTTCTTCTTCTTATTCTTCTTCTTATCTTTTTCATTGTCCCGCTTGCGCTTGGCCACTGTTGAAATTTCATCTCGTTCCACTGGCTTAAACCGAAGCCGTTTCTTCTCATCATTAGTCGCCTTGCGCATCGAAAGCATCCATTCAGGAACATCGCTGCCACTCTGCTTCATTACATTAACTACTGCCTTAATTCCCACAGCATCTTCCTTGGTGTAGAACGTAATGGCCTTACCTGTACGGCCAGCACGACCCGTACGGCCAATTCGGTGCACGTAGGCTTGTGCGCTCTCAGGCACATCGTAGTTTATAACCAGACTAACGCCACGGAAATCAATACCACGAGCAAGTACGTCTGTACAAATAAGCACCCAAATGTCACCATTCTTGAACCGTTCAATTACCCGGTCACGCTGTCGCTGGGTACGCTCACCATGAATCACATCAACGTTAACACCGTCGTAAATCAGTTCATGATAAAGAGCCTTTGCACGTGCAACAGATTGCAAAAATACAATCACAGGTGGTTCTAGCTCTCCCTCTTGTAACATCCGTCGCATCTCAATCAGCTTACCATGCTCAGATCCGGTGTACACAATGCGCTGCTCAATTTGGGTATTGGCACCTTCCTTTTTACCAACAATTACCCGTACAGGGCTTACCATAATGTTACCTGCAATTTCCTCAACGCCGGAAGGAATAGTGGCAGAAAACATGGCCCGTTGTACGTCTGGTGCAGTGCACTGCTCCAAAATGCTATCAGTCTGTTGAATAAATCCTTGCTCAAAGAGCTTGTCGACTTCATCCAGTACCACGTGTTTCACGCGGCTCAGGTCCAACTTTCCCTGGTTCGTCAACGCAAGCAGCCGCAGCGGTGTTGAAATCATAATGTCGAATTTGCGTTTATTTGTTTCGTTGGCAAACTTGGCAGCTTGCGACTTGTTAAGAACACAAATGTGCAAGTCGCGGCCTTGTGACAGCTTGACAAACTGTCCATAAATCTGGGTTGCCAGTTCCTTGGTCGGAGTCACTACCAGACATCGGATTCCACCACCTTCGTGCTGTTTCAAAGCTTGTACGATTGGCACGGCAAACGCCAGCGTTTTTCCTGAACCGGTGGGTGCACAGGCCACAAGATCTCTACCGTGCAACAAAATGGGCATGGCTTCTGCTTGGATTGGAGTGGGCCGCTGGAAGTTTTGGCGCTCGAGATTTCGCAGCAGATGTTTATGCAAATTAAAACGAGTTCTTAGATCTTGGAAAGAGCCAATGGGTAATGGAAGGTCATCACCTCTGACCTTGGTATCAAGACGTTGTCGTTGTTCTTCGGCTTGTTGTTTTGTTGAAATGACCAGCGGTGCCTTTTTATCTTCAGAGTCACTGTCACTGTCATCATCATCACTATCATCATCATTATTTTCATCATCATTTTCATCATTTTCCCTTTTATCTTGAACTTCTTGGACTGGTGTTTCATTGAAAAAGTCGAGTGTTCGAGCTAGATCAGCCTTCTTCTTCTTTTCTTCAGCAATATTACTAGTTGCACTTTTTCCCTAAAAAAAAGTTAGGAAAAAAAAAAAGTAAATTATTTTAAATACTTACCATCAATACATCAAAAGTCTTTGCATCTTTCCCGCGGCGGTTTATGGACGCACCACGAGACAGTAAGTTGAACATGTCCATTGTTGATTGATATTAGTAGTGATTTCTAACGAGATGTTAAAGATGTTGATGAGGCTCACCAATTTTTTTTTTTTTTCAAAATTTTAATTTTTTTTATTTATTTTTATTTTATTTCAATTTTTTTTTTCAAAACAGGAATTTATTAATATTTGACTAATCATTACCAATTTACCCGGCCTTATTTAATTTTTCACATCCCTGAAAATTTTTTTCTGCTCTACGCTTTCACCACCACCACAGTTGCCCAATCGCCGGCCTTCCACTCGCAATTTTCAATTTTTTTTTTATCCCTCGCTTTCTCAGTCCATTTCATCATATTATTGAAACTATTAGAAAGAAATTTCAACATCCTCTTTCCCTCCCCCACTTCTTTCGTTCCCTGGGAATCTCATCCATTTGAAGACGCTTTCCATTTCTTTAATAATTTCTTCAAAATGCTGCGATCATCGCTAAGATCTTCCACCAGAACCTTGACCCAGCGCTGCTCGGTTAGTTGTGCAATCTCCGTCCAGTCTAGATCACTCGTTTACGTCAATACATCTTCTTCAGCATCTTCATCTTCTGCTGCCGTATCTTCCACTAAGACTGATAAAAGACCTGCTCGTGGTATCAAGAAGAGCTTGGATGCTATTCTTGTAGCCAATGGTGTCCGGTACCCGGGAAACGCTGAGACTCTGGCGGCTGTCGAGTCATTTCTCGGAACTGAGTATGCACTCCCACCAGAGCTTGTTCTCCAAGTCCTGACACACAAGAGTTTTGCTCACGGTCTTAAGCCTTACAATGAGAACTTGGCCATTATTGGCCGTCATTTTCTGCGTCTTGTTACTGTTCGATATGCTTCTCAACAGGAATCATCAAACCCTGGCGCCATCAATGGCCACAATCTTGATGTGGCTCTTGCCCGTATCTCATCTCTTATGAGCGGTACTCCTGTCACTTCTGAGCTTTGCACTCGTCTCGGCATTGACAAGCACATTTTCTGGAAAGACCCCAGTATACCTGAAGGCAGCAGTAGGAGTGCTCCTGTTTCAGCCACTGTCCGCGCCAAGTCTATTGATGCTTTGGTTGGGGCTATTCTGCTTAAGCTTGGGCAATTCAAGGCCCAGACTTTTGTTGAAACTAAGCTTTTGACTGGACCAAACTCGTTGATTGCCATTGCAAAATCAGTCTACGAGTAAAACCTTTCAACAAACAAAAACAAGAAGAAGAAGAAGAAGAAGAAAAAAAATTCGAAAAAGAGGGAAATAAAAGAGGATCAACATCATTAGGTCCGACGAGCCTTTTTTATTTTTTTATTTTTTTTATTATTATCGCCTCACTCCTCTTTTGTTTCTCCACTTTTTCTCTTTTTTGTTTTTTTTTCATGATGTGATATGATGATTATTCCTGTAAATATTTCGTTTCTGTTTTTTTTTCACTTTTTTTTTTTTTTTTTTTTCTTCCTCTTCCTCTTTCTCTTTCCCTTCCATTTTCCCATCTTTTTCGTCTAATGATCAATCTCCTGTAAATATTGTGTATATTTTTTCATATATAAAAATAAAATAAAAATAAGAGTGATGAAAATAAATAAATAACATAAATAGGTCTTCAACTTTAGAAAGTTGATTGTATAAACGCGTGCACGTCGCGTGTGGTCGTGTGTGTAGTATTCAGTCCCATACTTACTTAGAGTAAGCGTATTTTTGGTCATGATTTTTATTTTTATTTTTGTCCGCCCCACTGTCAAATAAAAAAAAAATAAAAAATAAAAAAAATAAAAAAAATAAAAAAAATTATATTTTCACAGGGTGCACCCAAAAGGCGCAGGCGGCTGGGCTGCTTTTTCTCACAACACTCACACACCACCAAAAAAAAAAAAAAAAAAATTGCTTCTCTACCTCCACCCCCTTTTTTATATATTTTAATTTTTTTTTTTTTAATATAAAATCCTTGCCATTACCACCACTACTACTACAACATAACACAACCCTTTAACATCCCACTTAAAACTATTCTACCCAAATTACTCCCTCCACCTAATATTCACACACACTCTCTCTCTTTACACTATGGCCTCGTCTATGGCTCCCGGATTGCCCCGCCAGCCTGACCAGGCCCAGCAAAAGGTTTACAATGAATCTTCACTTTTCATTTTTTACAAGGCCTTTTGCCAATTCCTTAATATTGACTCTGCGTATGCCGAAGCACCCAAAAGACGCGTCCAATCCGGTCGTGCTCAACAAAAACTTCGCCGACTATCCGCTCAACAATTCCACGAGCTATCAACAGATGTCCATGACGAACTTCTTCGCAGAATCGCATTCCATAATTCTGAAATTGCTGCAGGCGGACCTAATGGTGCTCCCGAGACAACTTTCCTGCAGCCTAAAGACACTTTCCACCCTAAGCGTAACCAGGCCCGTCAAAAACTCTCTTTGCTCTCATCAGCTCGTTTCAGCGACCTTGCCTTTGATATTCTCTTTGAAATTGAGCGAAGATTAGGCAAACACCCTGTTTCTCCAAATACTTCTGATAATGGTGTTGCTTTTCCCAGCGCGTCTTCTACTGGCTCCGGTATTATTGCTCCCCCTTCTATTGGAACTGCGTCAATGGGCCCACCTACAACTGACCAACAACACCAGCAACAACAGCAACAACGTCTGCAGCATCTTTCAATGGCCTCCTCTACTTCTTCTTCAGCCTCTTCTCAGTTCCCAATGAGCCCTCCTGCACGTAACTTAACTTCTGCAACCCCATCTTTATCACCACTGGGACCGACTTCCCCATCGACTTACCCACCAGCAACCCCTTCAACGCCAGGAGTCTTGGGCTTTTGGGGCCCTTCTGAAACTGAATCGCCAATTTCCCCAGTTCTCCCTGGAAATACATCAGCTGTCACCTCCTCTGGTGTAGGTAGTGCAGGCCCTGATGTTTCTTCTGCAGCTAACTCTGCAGCTAATGCAACAGGTACTCCTAATATAGCTACATCAGTTAATACTCCCACAACGGTACCTCCGCATAATTTGGGCCATCATGAAATTCGAAAAGAGCATTCACTTACGGATCTTAAACACCCTGACATGGACGCGAATATGCCAAATGCTCGCCACATTACACCAGCTCCAAAACCTCAGACTTTGGTAACCACCGTGCCTACAACAAAAACAATCACACCCCAAAAATCAACGCTTATTGAGTCGGATTCAGAAGAAGATGAAGACGAAGATGATGAAGAACAAAAAGTGAATAACAATAAAGATGAATCTTCAAGTGCATTTGTCTCATCTATCGAACCTCCAACTTCTTTCAGTCCTCAAGATGATCCTTACAGAAATGTCCCTACTACAGCTGTTATAACTACTACCACCAGCGAAAATGGTCTTGTTGCTACTACTGATGGTGATTCTACCAATATTGGTGGGGGTCACACAACTGAAGACGAGTATAGCGAAGTCGACAGTCATGGCAATGGCGATGATGACGACAACAACCCGAACAATAACATGTATCATCATCATACTGGCCAACCTGATGTTGTTGCAGCTGCCACAAAGGCTTGGACAAGTAAGAATAGTAGTACTGCTGACTTGGGCAGTTTACGTGGTCTCTCTTCATCAACAATTGGACCCACGGAAACGGCCATCACGAATGTCGATGACCCCAGCGACTTGGAAATGTCTCCCCAGGTTAATGATAATACAACTCCAACTTCCAATGCGTCTTCTCCTCCAATTGGAAAGCCACAGCAGCAACAAATTCAACAGCTTCAGCAACAGTACATTCAGCAGCAGCAGCAACAACAACCACAACAACAGCAACAACAGTATTTTCAACAACAACAACAACAATACATTGAACAGCAACAGCAACAATACCAACAATATCAACCACCATCGGGATTCTACGAAAGCGATGTGGATTTGCAACGAAGTTTACCCCTTCAATCTATTGAGGAAGAACACTCTCCTTATATCCCTCCGGGCCTTTTTTCCAGCTCTACCAACGTCTCTAGTGACCGCCGTCGTTCTCTCTCAGAACAGATTTCATCAAGCATTGGTGCTGGTGTCCGATCGCGTTCTGCTTCTAAACAAGATCTAGAACTCTCCTCTAACTCTAAATATGATGCAGAAATCCAAAATCTTAAGGGTCAGCTTGAACGAGTGACAGCCGAGTCGAGCAAGCTCACGGAACAAATCAAAGACCGTGATGAACAAATTCAAATGCTTGTTGAGGAAGGCTCACGGATGGACGAAACTATCACAGGACTCGAGGCTACCAAAACATCTCTTGTTGAAGAAAATGGGCGTTTACACCAGGCTCTAGGAATTTTGGAAGAAAACAAAACTAAATTTGCCCTGGAACTGGAAGAAACTCAGCGCCAACTAACAACTGCAAACGAAAACCATGTTGTTGAGCTTGAAGACAAACAGCGAGAGTTCGCCAGCCTAGAGATTCAGCACCAGAAACTTAAGGAAAAGCATACTGAAACCATGTCGAAGCAAAGCGAATTTGCTGGCAGCTCTGCATCACTAAGCAGTCAAATTATGCTGCTCGAGGGCCAGCGCTTGCAGCTCGAAAGTGTAAGTCTGAGAATTACTTAAAACGGCTTTTTTCATTTTATCATTTTTCAATCTAACCTTTTATAGACAATCACTAGTCTCCGTGAGCAGCTCGAAGCCGCACGTGCAGAACTTGCACAGCGAGACGCAAAGATAAAGGAGCTCTCGGAGGCCAGCAATAACGCACGAAACCTGCAGCCAGCCGCATCTATTGGTGATTCCAACGACGAAAAATATCTTACTGTAGTCAAAGAAAACCAATCGCTTAAGCAGCAATACGACCAGTTACAATCTGAGCTGGAGCAACAGCAAGTAGTAACAGAACAAGTCCGCCGTGAGGCTTCGGCTTTTTTGGAAGAAATGCGTACTCTGGCTGAAAGCGAGGGCTCTTGGGCTTCTTCCGAAAAACACGCCAGAGAAGCAGAAGCTCTCAGGAAAGAGGTGGCCGAGTGGAAGGCCCGGTACTCAAAGGCCAAGTCTCAAGTTCGCAACTTGCGTGCTTCCACCTACGGAGCTCCAAGCAAGGCTACTGCATTCCCCCACCAGCAAGTCGCCATGGGGTCTGTCGACTCGTCATATGTATCTCCCACTGGCCGTATCCTGGATGTCAATGTAACCAAGTTCCAAGTAGCCATGGACGATTTTTTGCTAAAGACGCGTACTACACCACCCAAGCAACTCATGGATCACTTGCATAACTTAGTGCAAGCAACTCGTCTTATCACTCAAGATGTGACGACCAGCGAAACTGGCGAAAAACAGTCCAAGATCCGTAATGGTTCCAGTAGTGACGGATTACAAGCGGAAATTGCTCAGGCCACATCAGTAGTATCAGCCACGGCCACCCATTTAATCACCGCTACTCGCAACCACTCTGTGGCCGGCGGTTTATCTCCCATCTTTCTTCTGGACTCTGCAGCTACAGATTTATCTGCTGCTGTAATTGACTTAATTCGGTTGGCTAAGGTACGGCCTGCTGGATTAAGCAGCCCGGTGCCATCTTCAGGTTCCGTGGAAATAGTTTCTGAAGAGGCACCCAAAACACGAAGCACCCATACGAGAACACACAGTAGAACACATAGCAGAACGCATAGCCGAACACAAAGTGTGAGCAGCAGTGGTGGTGTTGGAACCGCACTTAATACACCTGTGATTCCAAGCTCGGCAAGTAATTATAATGGGTCACCATCGTCGATAGGTACGCCTGGGTCTGCAAACTATATTCGGTCTACGTCTCAAAACTCCCAGTTTTTACAGTCACAATCAACACAAACACAAATACATCAACATCAGAAATCTATTAGCAGTAGTAGTGGTAGCAGCAGTGGTACACACCACCGGCGCCAATCTTCTGCTGCTGCAGCTGTACCACCTGTCGCAAACGGGATTTCAACTTCTGCCAAGCACGGGACACCGGAGTTTGACTACACCGTCTCGGAAATTTCGCCAATAAAGACCAGAGACCACGTGGCTGCCGCACAAAACGTCTCGACTTCTGTGTCTCCAGTTATCGGGGGTATACCCAAGCAGCCACAGCAGCAGACTCAACAGTTACAGCCACAAGAGCAGACTCAGCAGACTCAGCAGCCACAGCTTCAGCCACAGGAGCAGACTCAGCAGCCACAGCTTCAGCCACAGGAGCAGACTCAGCAGCCTCAATCGCTACAGTTTCAGCAGCAATTTCAGCAGCAACAGCAGCAGCAACAGCATCAGCTTCAGCAACAGCAACAGCAACAGCAGCAACAGCAACAGCAACAACAACAACAACCCCATCATCACCATCACCAGCCACCACAATTGCCACAATATGCGGCCATTAGCCGAAGCACGACCATGGTTGACCCTGAAAAGAAAACAGTTGGCGAGTTACAAGAATACCTTGAAACCCAAACAGCTTCTGTGATTGATTCAATTCAGCAACTATTGACAGGAATCAAGGGCCATGCAAATTATTCCGAAGTGAGAGCTTTGATTGGGATGACCATTGCTACAGTGCAGCCTGTCATTGATGCGACAAGTCGGTCTATGACACAGACACGCAATTGGCGACTAAAAGACCTGGGCAAGTACATTGTGGACTCACTTGAAAGCTGTTGTGAGCGAATGGATGCTCTGGCAAATGACGCCGCTGCTGCATCTATAGGTGATGGTGAGGACATTACAGTTGCAGTGCCAGATAAGCACTTTAAGCAGCGTCTTGCGGGGATTTCATTTGATATGGCGCGGTGCACCAAGGAACTTGTCAAGACGGTAGAGGAAGTTTCACTCAAGTACGAAATTACAGAGCTGGATCAGGAGATTGAGAAGGTGAAGTAATAATATAAAGAAAAAATAATAAGATAACTTTTGCGTTTGATAAAAAAAAACCGATGTCAGAATGAAGTATGTTTTTTTGTTTTTTGTTTTAGTCCGTGGCATTCACCTTCGGAATATTAGACGGCCCGCAAAGGGGGTTTGAACCTGAGTACCAGATTATACAGTAAGGCTTACAAATGTTCTCTTAGGAAATTAGTAACACACGCCTACAACATTGATAGTATTGAAATAATTTAAAATAATTTAAAATAATTTAAAAAGGCCATAGAATCCCCAATATGTAATTTTGAATTTTCCATAATCCATAATATATTTCATAAAATACACATTTTATAACAATTTTCAACATCAATAATCTCTTATCAATTCTTATAATCTTTTAATACCCAACAATGTCTTTCCTCGCTACTCCTTCTGACTTCTCCTACGTCCTTGCTGCTCTCAGCACCGTGCCATTTGTCAACATGTACATTGACATTTCAGTTGGCAAGCTCCGTAAGCGTGCCGGTGTTCCTTATCCGGCCCTCTTTGCATCCGAAGAAGAAGCTGCCAAAGATCCTCTTAAGAAGCAATTCAACTGTGCCCAAAAAGCTTCTATGAACTTTTCCGAGCATGTCGGCTCTTTCCTTGCTGCTGCTCTTGTTTCTGGCTACCATGCCCCAAAGCTCTCGGCCGCTCTTGTTATCGCCTGGTCTCTTGGTCGCGCTATTTACCACCACGGCTACTCTTCCGGTGACCCCAAGAAGCGTATGCGTGGTGGTTTTGCTACTCTGTCTTTTGCCATCCTCATGCTGACTGGTGCATTTTACTCTGTCAAGTCTCTTCTTTAAATTGTAAATAAATAATAAATAATAGATTATCGTATGTAATAAACAAACACAAAACACAAAACACAAAACAAATAACAAAAAACAGACAACAACTTAACTACATGTCAACCATATCCTCCAATCATATCGGTGTGTACTGAGGCAACTCATCAATGTGCGACTGTTGTAGAGTCCGAGCTTCAAGTGCCCGTTGAAACAATCGAGCAAAATCCAAAGCTCCTCCGGTCGCAAAACTAATCTTCATCTCCCACATCGCCAGCTCAGGGTTTAGTCCCCCACCATTTGTCGGGACAAATACACCCACCCAGGCGTTGGGTCCGATCCAAGGCTGGTGAAGACGTGCACCTTTGAACCCACTCAGTGGCACCGCTAGATTGTCAAATAACGCATCACCCTTTCCTTCAATATGATATCGTGAGTCAGTCGACTCTGCAAGATAAATAAGTCGCTGGGTGCTTAGAAAAAGACGTCCGCCAGCTGAAGAGTCGATGGTCGCACCAGGTGTTTTGTCGATTGTTTTACACGAAAGCGAGAGACGTGCATCCGAATCGTTTTGCTCAAACACAAACTCCTCGCCTGGAAGAGGCACAGGACGCTGCTGATTATCAAGGGTAACCCAGTTAACACTCATTCTTTTGGTATATATATATATATATATATATATAGTTGCTAATGTCTCGAAAGTTTGGATGAAATTAAGGTCTTTTTTTTGATGGCGGTGCACAAAATGTGCGGCTGGAAAATATTTTAAGAATATTTATGCATTGCGGATATTTGTGTCTGCTGATAAAATTAATAACCCTTACCCTTAGATTATATAATTTTTTTTTAAAAAATTTTTTTGAAAAGAAAAAAAAAAAATTAAAAAAAAAAATTGAAGAAAAAAAAAAAGGGCCTCTCCCTCTTTTCTCTTTTACCAAAGAACAACCCTTCTTTCCACAACCTTCAATATCCATACATATATACATCATGCAGCTCACATGGAAAGATATCCCGGTGATTCCTAACTCTACGGAGTTTTTGGATGTTGTGCTTAACCGCACTCAGCGAAAAACACCAACTGTGATCCGTCCTGGTTTCAAGATCTCGCGTATCCGAGCTTTCTACATGCGCAAGGTCCGTTACACTGGCGATGGCTTTTGCGAAAAACTTCAAGAGATTGTCGACTCTTTCCCTAACATCAACGAAATCCACCCATTCCATCGCGATTTGCTCGACACTCTTTACGAAAAAAACCATTATAAGATTTCGCTGGCGTCTCTTTCTCGCGCAAAGTCTCTCATTGAGCAAGTTACCCGTGATTATGTCCGTCTCCTCAAGTTTGGCCAGTCTCTGTTCCAGTGCAAGCAGCTCAAACGTGCTGCCCTTGGTAGAATGGCTACCATTGTCAAGCGTCTTAAAGACTCGCTTCTTTACCTCGAACAGGTCCGTCAGCATTTGAGTCGTCTGCCTTCCATTGATCCCAACACGAGAACCCTCGTTATTTGCGGCTACCCTAACGTCGGCAAGTCTTCTTTCCTGCGTTCTATCACTCGCGCTGATGTCGAGGTCCAACCCTATGCATTTACCACAAAATCTCTCTATGTCGGTCACTTTGACTACAAGTACCTGCGTTTCCAAGCTATTGATACTCCCGGTATTCTGGATAGACCTACTGAAGAAATGAACAATATTGAAATGCAGTCCATTTACGCTATTGCCCACATCCGTTCTTGCATTCTTTACTTTATGGATCTTTCTGAACAGTGTGGCTTCTCCGTCGAGGATCAAGTCAAGCTTTTCCACTCCATCAAACCTCTTTTTGCCAACAAGAATGTTTTTGTTGTCATTAACAAGATTGACGTTGTTCGTCCTGAAGACCTTGATCCTGAGCGCAAGGCCATGTTAGAAACCATGACAAATATCCCTGATATTCATGTCGAGTTTTCTCAGCTCTCTTGTATCACTGAAGAGGGTATCATGGAGGTCCGTAACAAGGCCTGCGATGTTCTTCTTAACACCAGACTTGAGCAAAAGGCTAAGTCTTCCACCAAGATGGCTGGTCTTCTTAATAAGATCCATGTCGCTAGACCTCAGCTCCGTGATGACGGTATTGAGCGCGAACCTTTCATTCCTGAAGGCGTCAAGGATCTTAACAAGTATGACGTCAATGATCCTAACCGCCGCAAGTTGGCTAAGGACATTGAAGCTGAGAATGGTGGTGCTGGTGTTTTCCAGCCTGACTACAAGGATGCTTACATTCTTGATGATGATGCCTGGAAGCATGATATTATGCCTGAGATTCTCGAGGGTAAGAATGTTTACGATTTCTTAGATCCTGAGATTAGCAAGAAGCTGCAAGAGCTTGAAGAGGAGGAAGAGCGACTGGAAAAGGAGGGCTTCTACGACTCTGAAGAAGAGGTTCTGGATGACGAGGAGGAGGAGATCCGTGATAAGGCCGAGTGGATTCGCCAGCGCCAGCTGCTAATTAAGGAGAAGCGCAAGTCCCAGCGTTCTCTCAAGAACCGTGCCATCATCCCCCGCAAAAAAGTCAAGCGAACTGTTGGCGATATGGAGACTGCCATGTCTGACATTGGTGTCGATGCCTCTGCCGTTGTCAACCGTGGCCGCCAGGCCGCTGCTGCCACTAAGCGCCGCACTCCTGTTACTGGCTCTGATGTTGTTATGGCTGAGCAATCTGGCGAGACCCGCGATGCCGCCAGAGTCCCCGACCGCAACCAGCCCAACAGACTTACGGATGGTGTTGGCATTGCCACCAGAACAAAGGCCGAACGTCTGGCCAAGCTCGACCTCCGTGACCGTGCTCGCAACAACCGCAGTTACGAAACTGAAAAGACAAAGACTGCTATGCTGCCCAAGCATTTGTACACTGGCAAGCGTGGTGTTGGCAAGACTCAGCGTCGTTAATTTGGTTGGATATTAATATTGTATTGGAAGGAAAAAAAAGGAAAGGAAAAAAGAAATGGAAAAAAGAGAAAAGAAGATACCAAAAAGAACTTGTATTTTTGTTTTTATTATTGCGTGTATTGTTTTTATGCTAAATTATTGTTCAAATCTATAGTCCATGTTGCTGGCATCTTTTTGTAGTCAGCTTGGGTCAGCTCAGCTCCTTCTTTAAGTTGCAGCCGAACAAGTCCAGAATCGGTAAATTGGTATTCATGAGAAAAAATGCTTGAATATCGGTTGACACCTCGTCTCAAATTTACCGTACCAGTATTGACTGCCCACTCTTGAGTGGCACTTAACTTTCGCGTGTTATTTTTTGCACGCAACCCGGGAATCTTGACATCAATATACTTTGTGACTTGACGATTTGCTGGCTTTTCAAATTGGATAGATTCATTGAGATTTTTATCTTCAAAGTGAACTCTTTTTTGAGCTGGCCCTGGTTCATTAATAGGAATAATATCTAATTCTGGTTCCTTGACTTGAGTATTTTCAGTTTCTAGTTCTTCAGTGAAAGTCTCTTCTGGTTGTGATTCTTTCTTAAAAGTACTTTCTTCTGGATCTTTTATAGAAATTAACTCTTGTTTCAGCAATTTTTTTGAATTTTCAGGTATTTGTTTTTCTCTTAGTTCCCATTTAAGTCGTCGCACAGTATCATTGAGAGCCACGTACTGATTAATAAAAAATTCATGGCTTGTTGATATACCTTGATTGTAAATTTTCTCATCACTGACCAACAGCTCCAATTCATTGCAAAGCGCAACAATTGATTCTGTCCAAGTTTCAACTCTTTCAACCGATAAAGCTACTAGATCAGTGCATTTATGATTTTGCTTATTGCATAAATTTGTTGTAACTTTGTGGCGAATGTCGCATAATGATGCCTTTATTCGAGCATGGCGTTTTTCACTGCTCATGAAACAAGAGGGAGGTGCAAATGTAATATTCTCAGCGTTTATGAAAGCAGAGTAAATTATGTAGCAATTAATGAATAAAATAATAAATTAAATATTAAAATGAACTTAGCTGCTGATTAAAAAAAACCATATATAAAAAAAAGTGACTGAATAATTGTTTCTGAATCAAAAACTAAAATATATTTTAACAACAATGTTTCAGTTCACTTTAATAAACTCCAAATTTGGGGTTTAAAATTTAAAAGATATGAATGAGAATAAAAAAATAAAAGCTAAAGCAATAAAAAGTCATAGACATTTTTGTAACTTTTTTATTTTAAAGTCATAGAATCATATAATATCAGCAGCTGTGCTATAAAAACTTAAAATTGTTTGTTTGTTTGTTTTTATTCAAGGGTTATAGAATTATATAACATCAGCATCTGCGCTATCCTTCTTGTCCATACTATATATCTTTTCATTTTAATAATAAACTTTTAATTTTGGCTTCAACATTGCATCTCCAACAGCCCGAAAACAAGTCCTGATGCCAGCTTACAAGGAACAGGGGGTTAAAAATAACCAAACCTTCCCAACCTATCTCCACTTGTCTTCATCAACGCTGTAATTGTCTTTCTTAATCCCTCCAAGCAGAGATAAAGCTTACAATCTCTTGTAAGCCAGTTAAACTGTTTAAGAGAGTCGACATGTCCATCTCTGGAGATATCCGTTTGAGTCCTTTTTTTTCCTCTTCAAGCAAAGGACACTCAACTAAAATGTGATGAACTGTTTCCAGCTCTCCACATTTGCAGTTGTAACTATCCTTTTCAATTCCAAACTTTTTAAACCATGCGCCAAAATTGCCATGGCCTGTGCGAAACTGAGTAATATTACTCAAGATCCTTCGACTATCTTTCTTCATGATCATAAAAACTTAAAAATTTGTTTTTTTTTTTTATTCAAGGGTAAAACTTAAAAATTATCGTTAAATTCTAAAGAGAGATCTGTTGGTTGTCTATATATAGGTTTAAATAATTAATTTTTTAAGCCGTTGTAGTATAGTGGTTAGTACACTTCGTTGTGGCTCTTAAAATCGAACGATTCCGAAGAAACCTCAGTTCGATTCTGGGCAACGGCAAATATTTTTTTACTTTTTTATGTAAAACATACTTGTTTGAATGAGTTTTGATTTTGAGAAATTGTGGTTCGTAGAGGCAATGTTCATTTAAGTTCTGGTATTTTTATGCTAATGTAGATAGGAAACCAACAATTTAGCGATTTGATGTTACAAGGTTTTTTTGAAGAAATTCATGCTTCTGAACTCCGAAAAAAAAAATTTCTTAAAAACTTTTGATATTTCATACTTCGTTCTTTTAAAATAAGTTATAACTAAATACTTTTAGAAATGGTATCATTGATATATTTTGTTAATTGTTTTACAGATATTATATTTTTTTACTGCAACCTTAGAAATTGCAATGTTTTGGCTGCTTTTAATATGACAAGATGAAACTATTAAATCATTATTGGAACTTTTTCTAGACCAAAAAAAAAAAAAAAGAATTAAAAAATTGGGTTCATTCTATTTAAGACAATTGTAAAAATATGTTGCAATAATTTTTTAATCATAATGTTCAAATTCTTTTTAGTCTACCTGCAGCTAGATATATTTATAAAGCCTTTAACGCTTTTTAAAGATTTACTAATGTAATCAAAGAAAACGATTATAAGTTTAAATATAAATATAAATAATTTAAAAAAACAGCCATTTTAACTTTAATTTGGTTTAAAAGAAAAGGTTACTTCTGATTAACGTGTTATTTCTGTGACCTCTTTGCGTAAATGTTTATTGTTCCCTAGATTAATACTTTATCACATCAGCCATAAGACGCATTCTATTTACCAATCTTATAAGTTTTAGATTCATACCATTTTATCACTATAGAGAATATGTAAATTTAAATTTAAGTGATGTATTTATACTTTTGATAGTTTATAATTTGAATTAAGAGCATCTTAGTTGAAAAGAAGGCTGACATTATTAGATGCAATCAAGCATTTCATTTCAATGAATTATGCATGTAAAGGATTTTTTTTCAATGCTGAATTCAATTTATAGAAAAAAAACTTACAATTACAATCAAAGGTTATCACACATTATATTTTTGTATATTTATTTGAATAGTATGAATTAGTATATCTCTTACATGTATGGGGAAAATAATTGGTAGTATAATATTTGAAGAATACCGGGATTTAATGGTAAAGCTATTAAAGACTATTAATATCCAGACTACACTTGTTTCAAGTACCAACCAATTTCAATACCAAAGAAAATTTGTTGAACCACTTCTAAAGAAGCCAAGTTATGCTTTAAAAAGTATGAAATCAATTTAATCAGAGGATGCCAAAAACCAAATAAATGCCTAATTGTTTAAATAAAAATTTTTGATTTATAGAAATTGGCGTTTTAATGAATAATATTATGAGTGGTCATTTAAAATCAACTGAAAAAAAAAATTAGATAGACTTGATATTTTAATTTATGAATAAATGATAATACTCTTTTAAACTATCTCAAGATATTAAAACCGAAACCATTCTAATTTTCTATCCATAGAATATAGAAAATAAAAATTACAACTAAGTAAAAACCCTAGATTTATTGATCTATAAGCATGGTAAGAGTTTTGATGAATTATTATAATGTATATACATTGTTATTTTCTCATATCATTTGGATTCATAAAAAAGTGCTCTTCATGTTGTAAAGCCGTACACTAAAAGCTCACCTTGACCAACATTTGTCTAAGGATCAACCCTAACCCTACTTATACCAAATGACCTTTTCTACGCCATCCAAACCAACCAAAAAAATCCCGATTTTTAGGTCTCCACTACCAAAAAAACAAAAAAAAAAAGAACAAAAAAGACAAAATGCTAACACTTTTGAGGAAGCAAGCTATCAGGGCTTCGTCAAGAGTATTGACTCGAGTTGTATCGAAACCTACGATTGCACTTGCCAGTTACTCGCACACATTGTTTAAATCTCCTCGTACTTTTTCCCGCAACTATAACCCAGGACAGCAACCACCTCCGCAAGCATTCCCTGCGCCACCACCCCAGCCGCCACCAGGATATGCGAAGCGCACTCGCAACCGAGTTTTTTTTGCAACAGCTCTTCTTTTCTTGACATTATATGCCGGTTGGAAGTATTTGACATTTCATCGGTATCCCCCCACAGTTGCGGATAAGTTACGCAAGGCATTGTTTGAAGAGTACAATGAAAACTATGCTGATGCTTTGAAGTACTTTTTGGAAGCACTGCAAGAGCTGGACAGATTGCACGAAGAAAAAATGAAGGAAATTCAGCCTCAGAAGAAAGGCCAGCAGCCTGGTACTCTTCCTGCGAATATTCGCCTCGACAATGACTTCTTTTATATTAGCGATGAGTACACTGGTCTTCAGATTCGAATTGCACAAGTTTATGAGAAGCTTTCTCTTGAAGAAGATGCTATCAACATGTATCGTGAGATTGAGAGTGTTTACATGCATGCACTTAGGGCCAATATGATTCCTGAGAACAAACGACTTGAGATTATTAAGCGTAGTTTGGGTTTGTCGCTGACTGCTGCAGCTCTTTCTACTGGTTATCCTGACAGGGTTTTGGAAACTTCGATTTCGCTTGCTGCCCACTTTTCTATTGCACAAAAGGAACTGGAGAAACTGCATCCAGAACTTGCTCCTTTGTTTGAGGAGGAGACATTGCGGGTTTCAATTCCTGGAACACTGCCCAGCTCTCCTGAAAGTGTTGGAGTGCGCGCTGAATCATCTCAGGCCGAAAAGGATGGGAGTACTCGTCGTGTGAGAGTGAAGATTTCTATAAACGTTTCTGATACGCCTGAAGCAGTCGAGGCACGCTTGAAAGCAGCTGAGCTTTGGGAGCCTTTTAGAGCCGAGCTTTTCTCTGCTCGTTTGGTTTTTGCAATTCTCAGCATAAGCCAAAAGGATTATCCTACTGCAATTGAATCGACATTCAATACTACCAAATGGATGGTTGCTGCCGGATTCCCCTTGGATGATGTTTTGACGTCATTTTTTACAGCAGGGACTTATCTTTATTTGCAAGCTGAAGAGATTGAAATGCAAAATTGGCTTTCGGAAGAACATAAAAAAAATGAAAAGGATCCCATCAAGCTAAAAGATTTCACTTACGATGATTTTAAAGATCAGTTTAGACAGGAACTTGAAACGCCGTTTTTCCCTAAACCGCCTCCAGGATCTGTCTCTAATGAGTCTTTGGACAATGCTGGAATCATTTTCCAATCGATTATGACCATCATTAATAACTTGCCTAGTAGTGTTCGACGCAAGGGTACGATTGACGAGATTTATGCTTTGGCCATGTACTCGCTTGGAGTTGTGAACCTACACTCGGGAGACTTGGACAAGGCTCAGGAGCTACTTCGCGAGGCTCGTCTTCGAGCCAAGGGATGTTCGTTTGAGGTTCTTGCTGATCAGGCAGACAATGAGCTTGCAACAGTTGACGATTTGCGCAAGTATAAGGAGAGTGGCAATAAGGATGAATATTTGAATGGATTGTATAATCGAATGGGTGGCCGTCACTTGGTTATGGATTACCGTGTGGTACCGTTGCCGGATGATGCACCATTGTCTTTGTCTAGTCTTTCGAAGTCTTAAAGGATTTCTTGAAAGAAAAAAAAAAGAAAAGGTAATTTAAGGAATAATATTTCCAATGTATATATGAAAAAAAAAAGAAAAAAGAGATGTTTAATCAGGATTGTATTAGGACACACATATACACAATTTTGTCTAATTGGTAAAGAGGTAGAAAAAGGTAAAAATAACGAAAACACCATCCAAAGTGATTTTAATGGTTTGGAAACTTCCAAGTTTTATATATGAAGCTGTTTTAAATTTTTTTGTAAATGCAAATATAACATTTATAGAACCTTAGTCTTGGGAGTTTAAAGAAAACTGCATGAATTACGGAAACTATGGTCCAAATATAAACATGACAAATCAGGACTGGCGATGAACGGCTCGGCAGGCCTATTTGTTTCTCTCCATTAAAAGTTTGTGGAGCGCGCGGCTGTAAAATTATCTAGTTTTTTTTTTTTTTTTTTTTTTTAAAAGTCTCACAATTAATAAAAGAAAAGGGATGTAAAAGTTGGTAAAGAAAATTGTTTCGAGACGATGAAGTTAGTGAATACAACGATATTAATGCATTTCAAAAGGCTTTTTTTTTAAAAACACATTTCTTTAAAGTTAGTTATTTTCAATAATCATTTATAGCTCTATAGGATTTATGAATCAACCAATTTCAAAATATTTGAAGAGAATTGAGGGGTAAAAAATAGATGGAATTTTCAAATATAAAAGAGACTACAAATCCCTATCAAGTTCTTTTTTTCTTCTTCTTTTTTTCTCATCATCATTCTATCTTCATTCAATCATTCCAACTATTTGACACTCGTTTCTTTCTTTAAAAAAAATCTCGCATTCTTTTCCTTCAATACTAATCAAAAATGGTTTCCTTCAATACTATCCTTGCTGCTGTTGCTGCCACCTCTGTTGCTGTTGCCCAGCAAAACACCCATGCCAATGCCTGGGTTGACGGTGCTCATGAATCCATGGTTAACCACCAGCAGGTTGTTGAGACTTACAATCGCCAAATGGCCTCTACACCTCGCCAACCCCACAATGCTGACCGTATTATTGCTGCCATCACTGGTGCCGATTCTCAGATCGACAATGCCATTGCCACTGTTTCCCATGCTTTGGCTCCCTTCACTGGGGGTCTTTCCCTTGCCGTTGGAAATTTCCTTCTGGGTCCCTTTATCCAGTCTGTCACCAATGGTGCTGAGGTCATGATTGGCAATCTCGTTGGTGGTGCAGAGGACCGCATGCAAACTGCTGCCACCTCTTATGCCTCTAACTTGTCCAACCTTAGAGCTCAGGCTGTTCGTTTCAATGTTAACACCAGCCGTCTTGACCGTGCCATCAACAACCTTCAGGGTGCTTTGGCCAATGCTCACTAAAGGATTTTTGTCTTTTGGAAAGACATTTTTTTTTTAACGTTGGCTTTTTTTTTTTTGATTTCAAACTATTTCATCGTATTGTTTGATTTGATTTGATTTTTTTCTTTATATTTTTGTTATAACAACTCTTTTTAATACTGCTGGCGGTATTAAACCCAATATCTTTGAATTGTTTTTTTAATATGTATACGCTGAATATAATATTGTCAAAAAATAGTGTCAAAAATTTTTTTTTATTAACTCTTAACTGGTGATATATATATATATATATATATATGTACTTTAAGTATATATACATTTATTGTAAGTTTTAATTTCTATTATTTTTTTTTTGTCTCAACCCGCTTCCGCAAGCCGTCGAAATCCAAATTACCTATTTAGGACATGATTCACGTGACTAAAATTTCATATCGCATCGAGCTGCCTTCATCGGTGGCTCTCCCTTTTGGCTTCTCTGAGTTCGCCGCATCCCATTTGCTAATTGCAGCCCTGAGCGAGAGAGCGAGAGAGAGAGTCATTGCGATAAACAAATTCACACAATCAAATGCGGAGCAGAGAGAGGAGGGGAAAGAGGAATGGGCGAGTCTTACAAGCAGCCTGTCAAAGTCGTCAAACGAATTGCCGGTAAGCCATCCCAATTAGCTCTCTATCCAGCGGCTATCTGGGTCGCTACATCCGTACTAAAACATTTAATGAAAAGTCCTCCTAGAGGGGTCGAAGTGGTGATCTAGACCTTATTACAATATATATTATTATTATTATTATTATTATTATTATTATTATTATTATTATTATTATTATTATTATTATTATTATTATTATTATTATTATTATTATTATTATTATTATTATTATTATTATTATTATTATTATTATTATTATTATTATTATTATTATTATTATTATTATTATTATTATTATATACAATATATTTAATATATTCAATCACCAAGTCTGGTATAGTGTGGCTCTGCGTGCTCTATGATTGTGAAAACATTGGGTCCGCGCCTATAAAAAAAAAACCCGCCCTTAAGGATTTTCCCCTCCCCACAAGTATAAATAAAGACTGATTTCCTCTTCATTTACCATTTTTTTTCTTTCTTCTTACCATTCACTCACTTAAACAAAAAAAAACTCCCTTTTAATATTTTTTTATACAAGTTTAATACTTATCTTTCAATTCTATCCTAATCACATTAACCCCTCTCTACAATTACCAATTCATAATGGTATTCGAGTACTTCAAACATAGACGAGATATCAATCTCAAGAGAAATGAGCGCGCAGATAAAATTTCTACCCTGGAAAAAGAAGGCTTTGGTGAACCCCTCACCGCCCAGGAACGCGCCGCTATCAACCTCTACACTGAAGATGCTGTTGCCCAGATCAAGTCCGGTGCGCTGGACGCGTCGGTCCTCTTCCGCGCATATTCCAAGCGTGCTTTGCAGGCACAGCACGATACAAACTGTCTGACAGAACTACTTATTGACCCGGGTTATGCCGAGGCCAAGGCCCTGGACCCTACTACTGAGGAAAACAAGTCTAAGCCTTTGCTCGGCTTCCCCGTTTCCGTCAAAGACACCCACAACATCAAGGGCTACGATTCTACCATTGGCTACACTGCAAATGCATTCCACCCTGCTACCAAGGATGCCCCCATCATCAGAATGCTCCGCGATGCTGGTGCAATCCCCTTTGTTAAGACTAACGTCCCCTACACCATGCTTTCCTTTGAGTGCTACAATGACCTGTGGGGTTACACCGATAACCCACACGTTGCCGGTTACGCCCCTGGTGGCTCTACCGGTGGTGAGGCCTGTCTCCTGGCTTACGGTGGTTCCCGTATCGGTGTCGGCACAGACGTTGCTGGCTCTGTCCGTGTCCCCGCCCACTTTTCTGGCTGCTACTCTCTTAAGTGCTCCACAGGCCGTTTCCCCAAGGTTGGTAACACCACTTCTATGAGTGGCCAAGAAGGTATCCCTGCCGTCTACTCACCCATGACTAGAACTCTTCCTGATCTGGGTTACTTCCTCAAGTCTGTCATTAGCATGAAGCCTTGGGAGTATGACTACACTGTCCATCCCATGCCTTGGGATAACTCTGTTGAGCAGGCTTTGAAAGACAAGGCTAAGAACACCCCTAAGGAAGTCAAGGTTGGTGTCATTTATGATGACGGCGTTGTTACCCCCTCTCCTGCCTGCCGCCGTGCTTTGGATCTTACTCTTGATGCTCTTAAGGCCCAAGGCTATACTATTTCCGAGTTTGATGCCCCTGAACCTCTCCAAGCCCTTCGTATTGCTTCTCAACTTCTTGTTAGTGATGCTGGTAAGGTTGCTCTTCGCAAGCAGCGCTGTGGTGAGCACAATGATGCTGGTGTTGATCGTTTCATGAAGGGTGCTCGTCTCCCTCGTTTTGTTAAGAAGATCTGGGCTTGGTTCTTAGAAAACATTTGGGGTGACCACGTTTGGGCCACTCTTGTTCGCGACTGGAATGAGAAGACCATTGTTGAGCGTTGGGATCTTGTTGCTGAACGTGAAGGCTACAAGGCTGCTTTCTTTGACAAGTGGTCTGAGTCTGAAATTGATTTCTTGATTACTGTTCCTAATGCCACTCCTTCTTTCCCCCACCGTGGTCTTCTTGAGAGTTACGCTTCTTGTGGCTACACCTTTATGTTTAACCTTCTCGACTACGCTGCTGGTATTCTCCCCGTTACTAAGGTTGACAAGGAAAAGGATGCTTTGCCTAAAGACTTCAAAATTAACAAGCTCAACCGTGTTGCCAGAGGTGCCTATGTCAACTACAATGCTGAAAAGATGCACGGTCTCCCTGTCGGTATCCAGGTTGTTGCTCCTCGTCTCCGTGAAGAGACATGCCTTGCTGCCATGGACCTTGTTTCTGATGCTCTCCAGGCTAACGGCACTACTTATGAATTGCTTAATGCTTAAAAAAAATGAAAAAAAGGGAAAAGTATATTGGTAAAAAAAATGAAAATTGGGTATAGATTTTGTAAACTAGAGAATATTTAACATAATGAAATGGTTATTGCTTGTTTAAAAAATACCGCCGCACGACAAAATTGGGAAAGTCTAAAAAAAAAAATAAAGATTTGGCACCAAAACTTGGCTTCTATAGTTGTACCTGAAATATTTCAAAATATATATATCAGGGGGAAAAAATGAATCATAGGCAATCATGGCTTAGTTAGTATATAAGTATAAAATTTGAATCATGTTTGTCAATTAGCTATTAGTTTGTGAAGAAATCAAAAAGCTTTCTAATCATAGATTCCCAAAGGTTCGCTACCGGCTAGATTTGCCTAATTTGTATTTGAATCCATAATCTCCCTTTAAGGTTATCTTTCTTGCAACTTACTGGCAGCCTCTCGTAATCTTTCAGATATTGTCGCTCACCCAGTTCGTATTCGGCTTTGTACAGTAGGTCTTGCCATATTTTCCACCACTGGTATCTTATATACACACTTGACAATTTCAAACCTCTCAAGTCGCTTTATTTCAATTCATTGACAATTCCCTCTGCAAGCCATCGCCTACCTTTTAATAATTATTATAATAATATAAGAAAAGTTTTACAAGACTAGTCGACGCACAACTTAATTACTATTACTTTTCAAAAGACCGTCATTTAAACATCAAATAAATCATATAGGCTTAATCATTTAGATCAAGTGCTGCAACGACCAAAAAACTACTGTAATCTTGTGCATCTGCTTCTAATACCGCTAAAGTGGCAATATATTGGACAATCAATTAACTGATATTGTTACTTAATTAAGCAATAATTAGACCTGGCCAGCCGTGGTATATATTACTTTACTTAATTAAGTAATTATTTTTTATAAACTGAGGGTAGCCTCCAAAATATTTTTAAAAAAAAGCAAAATAATGAATGATGATGATGTGAAATGTAACTTCTTTCAATTAAAAAATCTCTTGCCTTGTTAATTAAATCCATCAATAAGCAAAAAAAAAATAATCTTTTGAACTAACCAAAAAGAAACTCTCCCGAGCGTGAGTCGAACACGCGGCCTCAGGATTACAATGAGCCATTACAGTCCCGCGCTCTACCAACTGAGCTATCGAGAGTTCTTAACTGTTTTGATACGATAAGAAATGTGGCTAATTTAAGCTTCATTTCCATTAAAAGAAAAAAAAACAAAGCCGGAAGAGAACTTCTAGGGGAAAGGGCTGGATGGTGTAAAGGATAACACGTTCGCTCGATAGCGGAAGATACTGGGTTCGATTCCCAGAATACCCCCTTTTCCTGAGGATGTGTACGGGAGTATACACCTAGACTGAAAACCATAGGCTACCCTGGTTACAGGAATGCCGACTCTTCCGTACAGTCTAAATAGCCTGCAGGTGATTGCGGGCCGTATCTCTGACGGAAGAGATTTAGAAATACATGGGCGTCCGTGAAGATAAGTGGAAATGGGTTGGGAAGGTTTTGGGACCGACAGACTGGTTCTCCCTGTTCCTCGTAAGCTGGCATCAGGGCCCATCTTCCGGGCTACCGGAGACGCACAGAACAGAAACCACCCGTACTAAAAAGGTACAAATGAAAACCGGCAAGTCACATAGTCAGACAATAAAAGGATAGCGCAGATGCTGATGTTATATAGTTCTATAACCCTTGAATAAAAACAAACAAACAAACAAACGAAGAGAACTTCTCTCCAAGCTTGTGTGAATTTTAGTAAACAAAAAAACCTTTTGGTGTAATTTGGCTGCAGTCAGATCCTATATATTGCTTTTGTACAACAAATTGTGGAATATGTCTTATGAATTAGGAATCATGAAATCTTAAAAGAGTTGCTCCCAATGTTGAAAGTGATGCAAAAATATTTCCCTGAAAAGATTTGTGGTGAGAATCCTATTGCACAATTCCAGAGAGCGGCTGGAATTATAGCCAACGATTCTGTTTACAACTCAAGCGACCATTCGAGTAAATATTTAAAATCAAAAGATAAACTAAATTTTTTTTTATTGAATCTACATTAAATATAATCTAGCTGAAAAAAATAAAAGAAATTAAATATGCGGTGATCCGTACAATATATCGACATGAAAACCCAAACATGTCCCAGCTATAGAATTCTTACCAAGAATAAGAACCTGAATCTCATGCACAGGCATCGACTTACAGTGTAACTTAAACCAGCAAGAAGTTTACCAAAATCAAAAAATCTAGTACAGTATAACAGAAGTGGGTGAAATACAGTGTCCTCATGGACTAGGCTTTTATTGCTATGGATAGTGAGGTCAAAAAAAAAGAAAAAAAACACACATTTATAAGTACATTTGTTGAAGAAACCTTATAGAAAAAAAAAATAGAAATAAAAAAAATGCACAGTAATTTAAGGAACAAAGATTTTTGAAAAAGATTTGACTTTGCGGCGACAGCAGACGCAGCTCTTGAAACTTTTCATTGCCAGGGTCAAGCGGCAGTCTTCACAGAGAGCAAAGCATTTGCATGGCCATAAGATAATTTCTCGCGAAGCGCCCTGGCACACCACGCAAAGAGTCTCACGGACCTCATCATCAGCCACGTATTTTTTCCGACGCTCGTTAATGGTTTGCAAAAGGGTTTGCATATCGTCCCATTCGATTTCCGCATAACGTGACCTTGTCACAATGAGATGACGTTCTGAGCAGCCTTCATGCCCAACATCAGTAGGGGTAGGTGATGCACATGAAGAAGATGCTGCAGAAGATTGAGACGAATTGGCACCATTGGATGCCAAAATACTTGAGCGTAAAAGACCTCTAGTGATAGATGAAATATCCACACGAGGTGCTTCTGCACCAGAAACTAAAGATGCGGCTCCTTGCAAATGTGAAATAAGCATGCGTCGTCTTTCAATCTGTTCAGAGTTTTGGGGTGCTAATAGCGCCAAAAGATCCTCTTGTGTAGGAATCAAAAGGTCGTATAGTTCGCTGAGTGTGGAGCGAGAATCGTCAGATATCACAACTTCTGTCTTGGTTGTAGCATCTGGGTCACTGAAAGCAGATAGACGTTGTTGTGATACTTGGTCAACATAGTTTTTAACATTACGTCGACGTAATTGACGTACACGTTGACGAGACTCTTGGTGTTGGCCGTCATAGTCACTCTCATATTCGTATCCATACTCATCAGTTGAATAACCATCATCGTTTTCAAGATTGTCAAAATTTTCATCAGGAACATAATCTTCTGAATCATCACATTCGGGTAAAAGATAGCCCCAAAGTAAATTCATATATGCCTTGCCTGGCTTTTCAGATTTTAAAGTTTTGCGGACCTTTGATTTAGAGGTATTTTGTTTTTCGATAATGTTGCCATATTCATCAATGTCCTCATAGTCGTCATCATCATCTACAGCCTCTTCGTCGAGATTCTGATAGAGGTAATCACTTTTAAGTTTTTCATAAAGCTTAAATCCCTTTTTCAAATAAGCTGTCATTTCATCATCGCTCTCATTTCCATCTTCAGAGTAGCTGTTGTTATCGCTAACTTTTCTAAACAATTCTTTGTTTTGATTTTTTAAGATGTTTAGCATTCTTTGAGTTTCTTCTCTGTTGTTATCTTCATTATAATCACGACCAAAAACAAACTTAAAAAGATACTTAAGGCCCAGGTATCTCATGGCAAATCTAATAACCAAAGAAGACAAGATAATAGTTACTCCACGAAGCATTCCAAAAACAATTAAAATGCGGTAGGTTGTACGGAAACGATCTCTTCCCTTATCTGCTTCAAATGCATATTCTGCACTCGTATTATGGTATTCATTTTCATCCTGTTGGTCTGATGAATCATCTAAATCGATCTCAGCTTTGAAGTCATTAGGAGGAGTTTCGACGTTTGCAGGAATAGGAACTTCATTGTCATAAGGGGACTTTAAAGATCTCAATTTACCAGCCTTGCGGAGTTTCAAAATTTCAGCTTTTGCATCTGGTCGATCAACAACAGTCTTACCATCTGGAGCAACAGTTACCAATGGTGGACACAAAATATCACCATTTTTATCTCCAAAAGGCCATTCATCAACATTTGATTTTTTCCCAGAATCTTCTAGGGCTTTTTTGTCAACCCAAGTCATGAGAGGATGTGTAAGTGTGACACTTTCATTAAGGTAGGTAGCTTTAGTAGCGGTCGTAAGAGCAATTACACCAACTTTAACCAAGCAAGTGTAAAAGTCTTCGCTTAGTGAGATTGGTACTGTTCTGAAGGATGTTCGTAGATTGCGCTGACCTCCTGAAAAAAATGAAGCGAGGCCGTAAATTGCACCACAGATTGCAATGATGGTACACAAAACAAGCTGTGGCAAGTAACCAATAATGCAAACAGTTGGAAAATAAAAGAGGCGCCCAATAACGATGGAATATCCAAAATAAGAAAGAAACAACAGACCGAAAAAAGTAGAAGGAATCAGACGATAATCTTGGAGGTTGAATGCACCAAAAATGTGTGAAGTGATTAAGGACAAGGATAAAATGAGAGAAAGAACCAGAGTTTCCATTGACATATAATGAGAAGATTGAACCTCCTGAAAAGCCATGGAATATTCAAAGAGGGTCATTCCGGATTCCGAGTATGGAGGCAGGCCCTGGATAGCATTGGAAAAGGTTTCAATGAAGTGACCAGCACAAATACTACCATAAAGATTCCAAAGAATAGATGGGGATGGGCAATCTTGACCAGGCTTTAATGCGAAATAAGATGGAATATAGGTTTTAAGTTTGACATAAGTTGGTGAGGTAGATCCAGTTTTTGGACATGTCATAGCCTGGATCAAAGAATAAATGCGGCAAAATAAAAGGTAAACGGCAAGAGATCGGAGCATAAGACGAGATGCTAAAGACAAGACAACTGGGCGGCGGGTTGTTGCAAAGGCAATGGTGCGGTTGAGGATAAGTGCCATAACGATGCAAAGAATGGAGAAAGGAGAAATAAGATAAAGCATAAGGGCCCCAAGTCGGCCATTGCCAACATCGGTATCATGAGCCTGGTTAGTGATGGCTTGTTTTAAGGAAAAAAAGACACGTTTAAGAACAAAGCCAGATTGATTGGTGGCGGTAGAGTTTTTCTTTCCCTTGGATATTATGACAGTACGGGAAGTAGTGGGGGTATTGTTTTTAATTGCTGATGGTGAAGAAGAAATTGACTCAGCTGATTTTAAAGTATTAGACTGGGTGTCTTGCATAAAATGCGCAGCCTCGGTGGCATCAGAAAAGTTATTGTTGATATCTAAAGTAGCTGATGGAGATGGTGAAGGAGATGGAGTTGGTGATTGAAGCTCCATCTGCGCTGGAGCAGTTGGAACGGTTGGATCGTCAACATTAAGCGTAGGACTAGCGACGGAAGCTACGGCTTCAGCCACAGATTCGAGAACGGAAGAAGCGACAGCCGATGAAACAACTAGGGATGCCGACAGACTTGATGAAGAAAAAACCTGTGAGTCAGGATCCAGCTTCTGAGATATATACCGGTAAAACTGGTAATCTTGAAGGGGTTCTAAAAAGTTCATTTATTAAAATTTGAGAGTTGTAAAAGCCATTCCAAGCACAGGAATATGGTGGTATTTTTTTTTTTTACTCAAAAAGAAAAATAAAACAAAAAAGGAAAAAAAGAAAAGAAAAGAAAAGAAAAAAAAAAAGAGGGGGACAGTATAAAATAGAAACAAATGAAATGAAATGAAAAACAAATGAAAATATCAGGGAAATTTACTTAAATATATAAATATATACAGTATGAATATGGTGTTAAAAAGAAGGAATAGACGAGTTTTTAATTAAAAATGCAAAATTGAAGATTTCAGGGTACAAAAGAAGATGCTGGACAAAAGTGGAGAGACGGATCCAGTAAAAGACAGTAAATGGGTTTGGGTTAAGCACGTGATATGTTACAAAAATGTGAAATATTGTAATAACCAGATAATAAAAATAAAATAAAACGCATGTGTAAATTGTAACAGACTGATAAACATGAGGCTGCTCAGCAAAGTAAAGTCACCCCTCTTTTATCCTTATCGCTGCCATTTTTTTTTTCAAAATACCCAGAAATTATATTAAGAACCCAAATTTATATATATATATAGTACATTTAAGGAGCAGTGTAACCACCGTCAACTCTGATATCGGCACCAGTGGTATAAGTGGAAGCATCAGATGCCAGATATAAGTACGCGCCAACAAGCTCTTGTGGCTCACCTTCACGGCCCAAGGGAGTATAGCTCCACCATTTTTCCTTTGTCTCTCGAGGGACAAAGTCAGAAATCTCAGTAGCAATATAGCCAGGAGAAATAGAGTTAACACGAGCAAAACCAGCCCATTCGACAGCTAGAGACACAGATAAGTGGCGAACGGCAGCCTTGGCTGCATTGTAACATGCCTGGAGTTGAGGAAAGTTAACAATGTGACCCGACATGGAAGATGTGAAAATCAGGGATCCAAAGCCCTGTTCCTTGAAGATGCGACCTACAAACTTAGCGCAGTAGTAAGCACCATTGAGATCGAGGTTAATGACCTTGTTCCATTCTGAGTGGTCTTCAGGGTCAATTAGAGGACCAGCTGTCCAAGGAACGCCAGCATTGGCAACGAAAATGTCAATCTTGCCAAAGTCTTCCTTTGCTTGCTTAATAGCCTTTTCTACGGCATCAGAGTCCGTGACTTGAACCTTATATGCTTTAGCCTTAATACCGTACTTTTCAGCTAAAGCCTTGGCCTTATCGTCAGCATTGTGCGAATTGTACCAAATGGCAACGTCACCACCTGCTTGAGCATAGGCCTCAGCTACAGCATAGCCAATGCCAGTAGAAGAGCCAGAAATGACAGCCACCTTATTCTTAAGAGAGAACAAGTCAAGAACGTTGGCAGCTGGTTTAGGGGCAGGACGAGGAAGAGGTCCCAAACCAGTAAAGATAGTCTTAATTTCAGATGACATTGTATTTATGTATGCAAGTATTTAGTGAAAAGTTAAAAAAAAACAGGGCAATTGGGTAATTTGACAAAAGTTATAATTAATTTGAAAAAAAAAAAAAAAAAAGTAAATGAACAAAAAGAAAGTTAAGAAGAAAGGGGAAATTTAGGTGTTTATATAGTTTTTCGGGGAGACGCCAAACTTGCGGAGCAGAAAAGTGCGCAGCAGTTTTTACATCTGGCAGAATCGGAATAAAGAGCAAGCAGCAACAGGAGTTACTAGGTTTGGCGATATGGGCGGCCCTTTTTTGTTTTTTTTTTTTTTGGGCAGGTCTGCTTATTTCTACAGTAAATATTTGTCAAACTTATATAAATAATTTAGTTTTTTTTTGGTGAATAAGATATTAATAACAAATGAAATCTTTAAGATGTCTTTTATTTTTTCATCAAATATGATTGATAATTTATAAAATATATATATATATATATATATATATATATATATTGAAATTGATATTTTTTTAAAAATGTGTTTATTTTTTTTTAAAGTTTTTTTTCAATTTTAGGTGAAAAAAAATAAAATAAATGCGGGGCCCAACTGGAACCTCTCGCGATTCATTTTTGAGTTGAAGAACACTTAGAGCAACAACAACAAAAGCAGCAACAACATAAGATGTCCCTTTTTTTTTATATATCTTTTAAACTATATAAGCTTTAAAGAATGTCTTGAAGATAGAAGTTACGAGTAATGTTCATTATTGCATGCGATTTGCAGTGGACTGACAATCCAATTGAGTTTGCTAAATGTTCAACAAATGGACTTTTGTATTTCTAAAAGGATAGCACGGAAACTTTTGGTCGTAATAATGACTTACGTCACACCTTTTTTTTTTTTTTTTTTTTTTTTGGACTGAAAATATATTTATATATATTTCTAAAAATGAATAAAATAAATAAAAAAAAACAAAAAAGGGAAGACTTATTCTCAGTATTGGCCCGCCACAAAGTCCGTCATCGTCTCCCTTTGCAGATCGGTACGCACCCCCCAGGCTTTTCCCGTAGCAGCTCCGTGCCATCTATGACGTCGTTGCTTTTCATTTTTTATATCCTGACAAATGTCTAAGCCCATACAGAATCTTAGTTGCTACTAGCAACACCTTACCCTTACCCTGATATTCCTAGTAACCTGATTGTTAGTTTCTTGGCGTCCATACCCCTTGGAAGCTACTAGAAATAAAGACAAGCATACCCAATAGTAACTGGAATCAAAGAAACAAAAATTGTCTCCGCTACATATCTGTAGCCGTAACAACAACAACAACCTTAGATTCCATCGGACTTCAAGCAATCAGTTTTGTAAAAACAAAAAAAAAAAAATCTTATGTTAAGGTTAACTTCAATTTTTTCTTTTTATATTGACTTTATCTCAAGTTAGGTAGATTTTTTTAATTCTTCTTCAAAACACTCAAATACCTGAGGATTATTAAGTTTTTTTTTTAGAGGCATTTTTTTTCTTTTACCACCTACTTTTACTTTGTTTTAAGGTGCGCACGTGTAATAACACCAAGTTGAGTGTTTCAAGCCCCTCTTTCTTGTTAAGACCTCTTCTGCTTAAAATTATGCACTTTCAGGATACCGGCTATAGTACATATTACAACTCTGTAACCAGTTTCGACCTGCTTTAATATTACTAAGCCCAACCAATATAGTACAAGTTCAACCGGGGCGATTTTTCATCATTATCAAAATAATATAAAATTTCTCTTTTAATTACGAATGATGAAAATCAATATAAACATTTGTCTTTTTAGTCACTTTTAAATTTTTTCTACATTTCCTGAAACTCTTTAATTACTACTTTAATTTAAAAGAAATCTTGACTGTTAAGTATAAATTGTGATTCCAATCAATGAAAACAAAAAAGAATTATTATTAAATAATAATAAAATATAACAAAAGGTTAATATTTTATTTATTTATTTATTTTTAAATTTTAAAGGTAAAGGTAATATTTACATTAAAGACTGAAAATACCTTTGAAATTAATCAGGTCAATACCATTTAATATTCCAATGATATCTTTAGAATGAGTGTAATAACAAATTTTAAAAATGTGAATATGAATTTTGAATTTTGAATTTTGAATTAACTTATAGTATTGTTAAAGGGAAAAAAAAGCATACAATGAATTCTATGAGAATATTGCCAGGCCTTTCCAACATTCATTACCCCTTCTTTCCTTGAATAGAGACCATGAACCACTAAGAACTTATAAACTAATTCCTTACTTTTGGTTTTATTTTTATAAAATGAAATAAGCGGAACCTTATCCAAATTAAAATAGGTTTTTTATAAATCCATAAAAACTAAAAGATCCAAAAGATCCAATAGAACCAAATTGGAAAACGGGAAGAAACAGCTTATTTTATGCCTTCATAAAAAAATTATTAATGTTATACTTTCGAGAGCAATCTTACTGAGTGCTAAATCTTTTCCAAAAAAAAAATTTTTTTTCAAGTAATTTAATTGCCTTTGCTCTATTTTATGTTTATTGACAAACTTTGTGAATTAAAAAATTCTAGAAATAAACCAATTGAAAAATTTAAAAAATGAATTAAAAAACATTCTTCTATTGAAAAAAAAAAAAAAACTCGGCAAAACTGATGTTTCATGATAAACAAACATGGCTTAAATTGACTATATATTTATATTTATTGCATCACTAAAAAGAGGAAAAAACCCTTGATTTGATGATCATCTTATTTCATGTATTTTTGAGTATTTATCCAATATAATGGTTGACAACTAAATCTAAGATAATGAACTTTTCAAAATATACCTACACTTAAAAAAAACAATTCAATTCAATCAATTGTTATAATATAAAGTCAATTCATTAATTTATTAATAGGGATATTATTATTAATTATGGAAATATAATAAGCCAATTAATTTTAAGGGACATTCTTCTTTAGCCAATTAATTGCTGATAGGTATAAGCGGTCAAGTTTTAAATGAAAAATGTAAAGGCGAAGTTCTGAAGACTGCTCATGTCTATAGTAATGTGCTGTAACACAATATCAAAATCAAATAAGATTTAGCATCAGCGAAAAGTTTTTGGAACCTCTCATCTATTTATTTAACTAAAATGTTCCGAATCTTGTTCTTCTAGTGTTTCCAGTCTGGCTCGGCAAAAGAAAAAAAAATTAAAAAAATAAGGGTCTTTTTTATTATTAATCTTTTCCTTTTGTTTAAAAATTTTTTATAAAATTGATAACTTTTTTTGTTTCTTTCAGAATCCTGATTATATATCACTGATTCCAGTGTTGTGGTTCACACCATCTGCTCTTTTGGTTGCTTCTTTGAATTAAAAGTTGAGTGTCAAAAGGCAAAGAGAAAACAGTTGAATGTCAAAGTGGAAGAAGAAAATATAATATTAGATGAAAAAAAAAAAAACAAATCAAGGTACAGTACAGAAGTACAATCTTTTTCATCATGTTTGCTACTTGTATTAGGGAAGTATTTAATTGATAATTTGGTAAAGATTTTCTTCTTTTAAAAAAAATAAACCGTATTTTTTTAATTATTTTAATTTGTATTAATATTAATACATTAAACATAACAATAGTGTTATGTTTATAATTAATTATTAATTTAATATTTTTGTTAATCTAATTGGATATTTTGGAATCTCTCTCTCTCTCTCTCTCTCTCTCTCTCTTTGAGATTCAGTATGCTTAAAACGTGTAAATTGAAATTTCATAGCCTAGAACAAGCTAACTATAAATATATTTTTTTTTTTTTAAGTTTATTTAAATTTCCACAAAAATGAAGAAAAAAAATATTTATTTTTAAGGAGATCACTGAAATCATTCTTTAAAAGCTTTATAATTGAAAAGATTTAAGAAGGAAATGTCCAATTGAAGTCATTTCTCTTTCGGCAATTCTTTTAATCTTTTCAATTCTCTGTTATACCATAAGAATGTATTTTTCTGGCGTTATTTATAACCATTAGAATGGATATTAAAAGCTAATTTTCATTACTTAGGGGTTACTTTGATATTTTGATTAATAAATATTTTATTTTCAAATTTTATAATTTATTAAAATTCAACTTTTTTTTTTAAAAAAAAAAAAACTAAATTAATGGTATTATGAGATTGATTACATTAATTATAAAAATAATGGTAGGATGATAAAAGATGCCGAAAGACATTGCTGCAATATTTTATATGGTAGGCAGATATCTATATAAAATATTTTTTTTGGGGTTCTTTACTGGATTAGTCAAACATCAAGCCAAAAAAAATTTGTTCGTATTTCGAATAAAATGCTACAATAATTAAACAAAAAAAAAAGAACTTAACAAAATATTGGTTGGATTAAACATAAATTTAATTAAGTCTTAGTAAACTATTGATGGGCAGTTAAATTAATATATTACTTATATGTAAGTAACAAGTTAAAAAAAAATTATTAGTAAATAAACAGAACATACAATGTAACAAAATCAACAATTCATTTTAATTTATATTCTTTATTTCTCCCTTCTTCTCTTTAAAATTTTAAAATAAATTTCATCCAATGAAAGTGCATCTCTTTTATTATTATTATTATTATTATTATTATTATTATTATTATTATTATTATTATTATTATTATTAAAATAGATATTTATAGAAAAGAGTTAATTTTTAGCGGGTTTATGTTTTAAGCAGTAGTTTTTAAGTTTAATGCAGAAATATCATGGGTAAACCTATAAAGAAGAATTGATGAAAACATTTGAAAAAAAAAGAAAAAATTTTAAAAAAAAACTTACTGAAAAGAATAAATCAAACAAATTTACTTTAACTGTTTTGTTTTCCACAGTAAACATTTGCTATGCTAGAAACTTTAGAAATATCTGCAGAACATCCTTACAGATGATATTTTATAGAATATTTTTTTTTTCCAATATTATGGTAAAATACACTTCTCATCTATGCTCATGTGGAATAATTCCTTTTACAAATATATTACACATCGTTATTGTAAATTATATATATTAAAGGATAATGTCGAATTTTTTCATGTATTTTTATTTTTTTACTGTATAGTTGAATAAGTAAACAAAAAGAAGACTCAAAATTCCATCATTTCCTTACAAGCAAATATTTTAATTTGATATTAATAATAATAATAATAATAATAATAATAATAATAATAATAATATATATATATATATATATATTGGTAAACATCAAGACGGTTTAACAACAATTGATCCGAAGCTCTAAATTGTCTGTAAACAGAATTTCGTTTTTACTGATAAATTCCATTATTTAAATAAAGCAAATTAACTTGTTCCAAAAGGTTTGAACCAACTAATCTAGTGTGTACTCTTGAGTTGAAACAATATTTAGTTTTTATTGTTTTTTTTGCTTAAAAAAAAGACTTTGAAAGATCTATAATTCAATAATGGACTGATTTGAAAAGCATGCGATTAGGAATATTTTTCAAGATAACTTACTGTTGATTAATAACCTGGGCAAACAGTCATGTTTATTGATTGAAAGTAGCTTTCTGTTAACTGTAAGATATAGTTAGGCGATTTACAAATAAATTTTATATCTTCTTATTTTTAAAGAAATATAGTTATAAATTCATATAATAATTTTTTTTTTAAAAAAAAAAGTTCTTGAAAAAAAATAACTATTAAAAATTGTGAAACAAAAAAAAAAAGAAAAATCATTAATGAGAGTTTGTTCATTTCTTTTAATTGTTTAAGCTTAACCCTGGTTGCGGGTAACTTTTGACTTCATACTTTTTATTCAGGGGATTATTCAGTATCACAACGTAAAAACCTTTATTTAAAAGCTTTTTTTTTTTATTTACCATGACTTTTGAAAAAAAAAATATATTTTTGCTTAATTTTAGTCAAAGTTTGATAATTATGTATATATATTTTTGAGAGAAATTATTCCAAAAAAAAAAAGAAAGAAAAAAAAAGAAAAAAACTTTTTTTTCTTATACGGCTGATGACAAATTCTATGGAAAAAAATTTTTTTTTAGAAAAAAAGTTTATTCCGACCCATGAGACACACATAGAATGTTCTTACATCAAATAAACAATAGCCTTTTTCCAATACTTTCAAAACCTTCTAAACTTGTGCATTTTCACAGAACTCTGTATTTAAATTTTGATGGGCCAAGTTAAGAAAAAGCGCCATAGAAGGTTTATTTTTTTCTAAAAAAAAAAAAAAATAAATAAATGTTTATTCAGTCTTCAATATCTTATTCAAAATAAATATATAAATAAATAAACAAAATAAATAAATATATATAAATAAAACTTCTAGTATTGGGCTCTCACATAGAATAAGGAGTTGAAAAAAATTTTGGAATTAAAAATTTAGGCGTAACGCTTCATCATAATAGCCAACCTCTATGAAATTTTTCTATGAAAAAATTTTTTAATTCTTGAGTTTACTGTTAGGTCGGACAAATAATTGCCCCTACTTTGCTAGTAGTAGTCACTTTATGAAAAAAATTATATATATATATTTCTTTTCTTTTCAATAGATATACGATAAATAACAATTTTTTTTTAATAAAGAAGCTAATCATTTTGAGCTTAATGCGGATTGGGTTGCTGTATCTTTTTTTCTAACGCAATCTACCTCGAAACTTTTATATTTTTTAAAAAAAAAAATGAACTGCTATAGGAATACTGTAATCTATTTAAATCATTGAGTCGTAAACTTTGGTCATTGTATATCCTAGGTTTTGTTGTAAATGTAGCTTAACAGTCTCATACCAATATGTAACTTCTAAAATATTCATAATAAAGAAAGGAATCTAATATAGTTGTTGCAACCGAAATAATTTTTGGTTATATGTATTTTATATATATTTTAGAAAACAAACTCGATTAATAATGGATAGCAGTCGCAAGGATTGAAATCAAATCTTTAAAAATAATATATATATATATATATATATATATTAAATTTAATGTATTTTTTTTAAAGAAAAGGAAAAATCTATGAATTAAAATTATTAAAATTATTAAAATCAAGTTTAGGAAAAAAAAATTTTTTTAGTTACTTAATAGGGTAGAAAGAGAGATATAGAAAAGCAAACTTCTGCAATCACTATCGGTAATTCTGCGTAACCGTTTCTTCTTTTGAGCTTTCTTTTTCATTAAAATATTTTTCAACGGAATTTCATGTTGCCGATAATAATAAAAATAATAATAATAAATAGTAATAATAAATAGTAAAAAATAATAAATAATAAATAATAAATAGTAAAAAATAATAAATAATAAATAATGAATAATAAATAATAAATAATAAAAATAATAAAAATAATAAAAATAATAAAAATAATAAAAATAATAAAAATAATAAAAATAATAAAAATAATAAAAATAATAAAAATAATAAAAATAATAAAAATAATAAAAATAATAAAAATAATAAAAATAATAAAAATAATAAAAATAATAAATAATAAATAATAAATAATAAAAATAATAATTGCCTATCCAATTAAATACAAGTGCTTTCAACGAAACAACTTCGGCAATCTGGCTAGATACATAAATAATTTTTTTTTTTTTTAAAAAACAAAATAAAATAAAAATTAAAAATTAATTTAAACTAATTTAAACTAATTAAAACTTTTATTTATTTTTTTTTAAATCATCATGATGGAAGCTTGTTTCTATTTAGCACATTTCTCCTGACACTGGCAGCAATAGCCATGTTTAATTTATTAAAGGTTAGGGGGGGAAGGAGAGGGATGTGATTTTAGAGTTGCACTGCGTCAAAAAAAAAAAAAAAAAAATTTCAAAATGATTAGGTAATAATATTACTGTTGAGTTTTTTGCTCAACTCCTTGAACATATATTAAAGTCCAGCCATTTTGAGAAGCCAAAAACGGGTAAAAGTATTTGATGATCCTAGTTTGGCAAAATGCATATTATAATTCATCTAAAACCGTTCTGTCATTTGACTTTGTCATGGAACCTTTTTATTTTTTATTTTTATTTATTTTTTAAATAAATAAATGTATAATTATTATTGGCAGAGAAAAGACAACAAAAAAAAAATATGCATATATATATTTATCATAAAGGTGTTTTATAATATTTTAAATAAAGGAAAAAAAAAAAAAAAAAGAGTATCAAAGAACAAAAAAAGAGATTTAAGGAGACTATCGTCATTATATTTGAAAAGTTTCATTAGTTTGGGAATTTAGATTTTTTTTTATAAAGAAAAGTTTGTAAAATGTTAATAAACCAAAGATCAAGAATATCTTCTATTCTTTTTTTTTTTTTTCAACGGATTAAGAGATTTTTTTTTTTATAATTTCCAGAATTAACAACAAGGGATGCAAATTCCTTTTAATATCACATAAATATTTTATTTTATTTTATTATTTTTTATTGAATATAATAAATAAATAAAAATTTTATAAATTTTTTGGCAGTTGGTTGGTTGTGATGTTGTTGTTGTTGTCGATGATTGATGATGATGATTGATACATAATAGCTTTTCCCAAAGTTTTGGTAGCGTACTTTACTTCATTCCAGGATTTTAAGCTGAGTAAAAAAAAAATTAAAAAAAAAAAAAGATAAAAAAAATAAATTTCCGTGTTTTTGTTTATATTATCTCTTTCTTCTTTCTTTTTCTTCCTTTCTTCCTTTTTTTTTTTTTTCAACACCATCAGTTATATAATTTGTTGAATATCCCTATCTCAATCAAAAGATTTTTTTTTTATTTGTTTGTTCTCTCATGGGATAATATTTGTTTTTTTTTTGTTACTTTTTCTAGCTCTTTATTTACCCTTCTTTTATCATTTTAACAAAACTTTTTAAAGTCTACCACCACCCAGGACTTAATTCCAAATATGCACCAGAACTATGACCCTAATCAACAATACCAGTTTCAAAACCAGCAACAGTATCCAAATACCAATGCCCAGCAATATCAACAGTTTTCACCGCAACAGCAACAGCAGATACCGACTCAGCAAGTTCATTCTCAACCAATCTTTCCTCAATCAGTTCCACAGCAAACTTACCAACAGTATGTACCCCAGCCTGCACAACAATACCAATTAGCTTATACCAAAGCTCAACCTCAGCAACAGCAGGGACAAGGACAAGGACTTCCTCCTATTGAAGGATCTACAAATCATGGCCAACAGCAGCAAAATCAAAATCAAAATCAACATCAGCAACAGCAACAACCTATGACATACATTCCATATCAGCAGCAACCTCCACAACCTCCACAACCTCCACAACCTCCACAACCTCCACAACCTCCACAACAACACCAACAACCTCAGCATCAACCTCCGCAACAACCCCAAACCCACTCCCAAATATATATTCAAGCATACCAACATCCCACCTCGTATCTTCCTCCTCCAATGTCTCAACAAATACAGCAGCAACCTCAGGTTAGAACACCTCCGTATCAACAGTATACACCGCAACCAATCACTACTACTACCACGTCTTCTTCTTCATCCTCTTCCCAAGAAACAATAGCGCCAATTTCTTCTTCATCTCAGACAAACATCTACAGCTATGCTCAGCCACAAAGTCAATATATCACTGGTTTTCAGCAACCACAAGCCCAAAACACATCGTTTGTCTTACCCCCACCTTCTCAAGCATATCCACAACAGACTCATTATGCAATTCAAACACCATCCCTGCAACAGGCACCGCAACCCCAGACGCAACCGTTTCAATATTCTGATACTTCTCTACAATCTCCTATTGGTCAAGGCTCTACAGCGTTGGATACAGCAGTCACAACAATGGTGCCAGTACCACCACTGGGATCCACTCAGTCTTCAGTAATGACCACCCAACAAACAACAATTGACCCGATGATGCAGCAACAGCAACAGCAACAACAACAGCAACAGCAACAACAACAACAACAACAACAACAACAACAACAACAACAACAACAACAACAACAACAACAACAACAACAACAACAACAACAACAACAACAACAACAACAACAACAACAACAACAACAACAACAACAACAACAACAACAACACCATCATCAAAACATTCAAGCATCTCTACAAACCCACATGTCTACTCCTATGGAAGTAACAATTCCACCCTCCACAACTTTATCTGCTCCTCTATCATCAATCCCTGCACAAGTACAAGCTACACCGCAAGTTTCTGTGTCGCCTATGGCACCAGTCCAAATGCAAATGAATGCTCCTTTACAGACGCCCATCCAAACTTCTGTGCAAACCCCAATTCAAACCCCATTGGCTGCGCCAATATCAACTACAGTTCCATTATTACAGCCTTCAATTCCAGGTCCTTCATCAATTGTTACCCCCACATCTTTACATCCAACTAAACCCATGCGTCCATCATCAAAACGACAAGCTCATTCTTATTCGGAAAGATCATATAGTCATGATAGTCATTCTCGAGGTTCAAGCAGTTTTATTCCAGCTTTTGGATCAAGTACTGCTATACAAACTAGTAATTATCGATTTTCTCTAGAGGTTGCACAACAGCCTATTCGTGCTCGCATGTGTGGATTTGGTGATAAGGATCGACGGCAAATTACACCACCTCCTTGTGTAAGACTTAGAATATTTAGTGCTCAAACAGGACAAGAAGTCACAGACTTGATGTCAATTGATTCCTCGTTTTTTGCTTTGATTGTAGAGTTGTGGTCAGTCGATATGAATACAAATATGTCTTTAGTACATCCCTCGGGTCAAATATATAATCCTAATAGAGGCCCTGCACATGGACGTACTGCTTCAATTCATCAACAGCAACAAGAGCAGTATCAATATTATCAACAGCAACATCAGCAACATCCGCAACATCCGCAACATCAACAACAACAACACCAGCAACAAGCAACCACTCAATATTATGCTCAACCACCAGGTGGTCAAATGGTACCCCATGTTCCTTCCGTTTCAACTGCAATTGGATCACAGGCTCCAATGGTCTCTGCATCAGCGGCTCCTCTCACTCGAAATTTGATTGGAACTTTGGTGGCAATGGCAAATAAATTACATGATTTAAGCGATAATATGGGTATTTGGTTTATTTTACAAGATTTATCTGTGAGAACTGAGGGTGAATTCCGTCTCAAGTTTTCATTTGTGAATCTAGCTGATGCAGTCATGCCAAGCATAACTTCAGACCTTTTAGATCAAATTGCAATGTCTGGACAAGGACAAATGGTACCAGGTCATGACACTCATGGCCAAGCCGAAAAAAATATAGACCCTTCTTCTGCTCCAATCATTGCTACAGTTTTCTCCGAGCCATTCCGATCTTATTCTGCAAAGAAATTTCCTGGTGTTATTGATAGCACCGATTTATCTCGATGCTTTGCTACGCAAGGCATTAAAATTCCCATTCGGAGAGAACACAGACCTAAAGAGAGACGAAATAACGAATAGGAACAAATAAAAAAAAACCCATTTTTTACTTAAAACTCAATTTTAAATACGATAGACTAATACTTATTTATATATATGGATTTATATTTTTTATTGTTTTCCTTCCCTATATCATTTAATCGGCATTAACTGATTATTTAAAATGATGAATAAACGGTTTTTACACCAAAACTTGATTACCAGTAATCTATAATAGTTTTTTTTTTTTTTTTTGAAAGTGAAATGAAATCAGTTTGATATTTAATGCTAAAGAAGTTTTATCCGAACTTGACAAAACTCGGCTTTATCTTGCAAGATAATCAATTGATTGATTCTTAATCTTAGCTAAAAAAAACTGTTTCAGGACTTAGTCCAACATTTATGGATAATCCATAAATGTTAGTCGGTTAGTGATTCAAATATTAATAAGTTTGTTAGATTCATAGACAGCCAAAGTTTTTTTTATTAACCAATTAATATTAAATAAATAAAAAAGATAGTCAAATAGGATGAAATTATGATTTTCCATTTTCTCCATGTTTTAAAGAAAACTGATATTAAACGATTGTTTATCTATTACAAGATTTTTTATTTCCAGAGTTGTGGTTTTTATTCTTATGGCTTCATTAAACTTATACAAATAGTCTGCAACTTATTTAAATAACAAGCAATTTTTTTTTGTTTACCGATATCCTGTATAAGTCCATGTAAATTAATAAACCAGAGAAAAAAAATTTCTCCCCCTTGAATAATTGTAAAAAATAACAAAAAAAAAAAACTTAAAAGTGAATTCCAATTAAAATAATCATAGCTAAATGGTTTATTTTTTTTTAAAGTGAGTGAAATAATGGAAAAAAAAAAGCAAAAATATCAAAAATATCGAAAAATTATTTCAATTAATCAATATTAAATGCTTTTATCATTTATTAGTTGAAGTTTCATCATCAAAGTTAGAAAGTTTTAGCGCACAAAAAAAAGGCATCTGCATGTTGCAACCATCCCTCATCATAATATTTCCCCAAACTGGATTCAATTGAGAATTCAAGAAATAAACATTTGCGTTTTTTTTTAGTCGTTGAATAGGTTAATAATAATCATTTAACTAAAAAAAAACTTCTTGTTCAACAACTGGTTAATGCAAGTTTTGTTTATATATATATATATATATATATATATTTTTCAGTCACTAAAAACATTTAATATTTTTATTATTTCAAAGATTTCCCTCTAAGAAATAATAAATTCAATACTCATTGGACACTCAACAACATAATTGATTAAATGATCACGAAATACAGTTCTCTATAACAAGTTTTTTTTTCACATTCCTAGTTCAATCTCTTTTTTTATTTTTTTTTTAAAAAGGTTGACCAAAAAAATATTATTAAATATAAGCAAAAAAAGTTTGTTGCATAGCACCCAGGAGCATCTGTGATTTAGGTATTGATTTAAAGCTTAACAGGAAATTATGTTAAACTGTCAGAAATAAAAATTGTCTCATTGTCTCAATAATAATCAACTTTTAAAGAGCCAAGTTTCAATTTTTTTAACTATATATAGTTACATTGCTACGTAATTACCAATTATAATATGATGTCTAATTCTGGTATATTAATGAAGAAAAAAAAAATTTTTTTATTAAATACACATTATATACAATTTTTTTTAATAAAAATTTTTACTCCATTCTAAAAGTATTAGTAATGTCCCAGCCTTTTTGTCCCAAAATTCCTGTTATAGGAGAAGTTCCTCTGGCGTCTCTGCGGCCAGCCATATAAGTGACATATCCGGGAGGCCCACAAACGATAGCCAAAGATGGGCCTTGTTGATAAAGTTGGGCATCGCGGCCAGTAACCTTACGATCAACAACTTGATCCAAAATGGAGCGATATTTGATTCGAGGATTTTCGACAATCGGACGTTCAACCGTTTCAGATACATCCTCATTAGTGTCAAGTGTGTTACCATTAGATGTAACCGGAGATTCCGGTAAAGAAACAACTGGTTTCATAGTTTCTACAATTTCTTTGGAAACTGGTTCCTCAATAGTTTGAGATTCCTTAAACTCTTTAGATTGCTGTCGTTCACGTTTTACCTCGGCAATGGTTTCCTCTAGCTTCTTTTGTCGGTCCATTTCAGCCTTTAACTTCTCGTTAGTATAGCCTGTGTATTGTAAAGGGGATGGTGTGGGAACATCCGCCTCAGTCAAAAACTTATTTTCATCATCAACGAAAATGTGGAACTTAGCACGACCTGCCTTTTCCAAGAAAAGTAAAAACCGAGAAAATGGAACCTCGTTTCTGCTTCTAACACTGTAATAAACGTCAACAAATCCTCGGGGAGGATTCTGCGACAATAAAGACTGCAAAATTGGCGCAATACCAGTACCTCCAGCAAAAAATGCAATATTTTCTGGAAGAGGGGTCTGTTTTCCAGAAGGCGAAACAAATACTTGCTTTTTATTTTCTTCCAAATTCTTGGATCCGCCAACAATCTTGTTCCAGAAACCTGCTTTATTCTGTGTTTCTTCAGGTTTTTCGCTTTTGGTTTTGGTTTTGACAGAAACTGCATATTCATCGGGGAAGTCTTCAGGAATCATACGACTAGGCAAATCCTCCATAGGAGGACGGGGTGGCATTTCTTTATCAATAGGAGAAAATGGGAATCGGTAACTAACATAGGGGCCTCTAATATCAACAAGGGTTCCAATAGGTAACTTGTGAAGCCATCGACTAACCTCACCATCATTGTACTTCTTAACAAGTAAAACAAATCGACCTTCATCCTCATCCTTGCCAATCATTTTCAAAAGAGCAGGTTGTTTCTTGCTTGGATCATCGCTGGAACTACTGAGACCACCCTGCATAAAGTAAAGAGGAAGTGGGGTATACTTTCGGACAACTTGAATCTCGGGCTGCTTAACATCAATGCTCCAAAGATTCTTTCCGTTCCAAAGAGACTCCTTAGCCTTGAGAACCTTACGGTACTCTTCGTAGTTTCTAGGTGAAAGCTCAATCAGCTGTACATCAGGGGCAACGTCTTCCTTGTAAGTGATTTTGAACGTTGTAAATTTATCAGGTTCCAAAGCTTGAGTGTCGCCAGTCTTTTCACCGCTAACAAAGTATTTATAGGCATAAAGAGCCCACAAAACACCGGCAGCAGCAGCAATATAGGGGAAATGGCGTTTCCAAGGGCTGCTTTCCTCGGGTTTGGGAAGCTTGATTTTACCACCACCGTCGCGCTCCTCACCAGCAGAATTAACTGAGGGAGAGGGTGGGTATTCGTAAGCCACACGTTCATAAGTCAATCGTGGGACATAACCCTTAGAGCCTTGTTCAGCGGGTGCAGTTTTAGAGTTTTCAGAGTGATAAACATCGCTACTAGCAGGTTCCTTTTTAAAAGAAGGAGTTGATTGAGAAGATTCGTGGACTAAAGATGATTCATTGTCATAATTTTCGGTATCTTTGGGCTGTCTTTCGTCCTGTTCTGGAGTTTCTTTTTGGAAAAAGCTTTGAGAGCTGGAAAAAGATCTGCAATTATAAATAAAAAACTTTGAAGCAAATCTCTTTCCTGGGCGATTATAGCGAACAGGAAGCTGATGAAGTTTGAGTTTCAGCATGCTATAGAGACAAGATGAGAGATTATGTTTGGTTGTAAAGAGATAGGAGCTTCTGTCAACTGCTGCAGACAAAAAAAAAAATATTTGCAAAAGAAACCCATCCACGTGACTCTTGTGGAATTTTTTACTCGTTCTGAAGAATCTTGATTTTTTTTTTTTTTTTGCCTCCCAAATTATTAATTGAAATACAAACACTTGAAAATGCCAGCAGAAGAAAATTCTCACAAGCCTCTATTTGTTCTTACAGGTCATAAAGATCGCGTTTGGGATCTCTCAGTACACCCCAAGCTTCCACTTCTTGCAACATGTTCAGGAGATCGTACTGCTCGAATCTACGCACTTAACAAACCCGGGGTTCCTCTGATTGCTAGTTTAGAAGATAGCCATAAAAGAAGCGTTCGTTCTGTAGCATGGAAACCTACAGGAGGAGAAGATGGGTACCCATCTTTGGCACTTGGCTCTTTTGATGCTACTGTCAGTGTCTGGGGTCGTGAACCTCATGAAGGCAACGAAGACGAAGGATTAGATAAAGATGGCGAGTGGTCCTTTTTGGCGACAATTGAAGGACACGAGAATGAAGTTAAGGGTGTTTCGTGGTCTTCTGATGGTTACTTTTTAGCAACATGCTCGCGAGACAAGAGTGTCTGGGTATGGGAAACAGACGACACAAATGAAGAGTTTGAATGTATTATGTTTCTACAAGATCATACTGAGGATGTAAAGCATGTCGTTTGGCATCCTTCTCAACAAACATTTGCTTCCGCATCCTACGACAATACTGTGCGACTTTGGCGCGAAGATGATGATGAATGGGTCTGTGTAGCCAATCTCCAAGGTCACGAGTCCACTGTGTGGTCATGCGACTTTGAAACTGATACAAAACACAAGAATACCGAGGAGCCAGAAATTTTCTCCCCTGCAAGGCTGGTATCTGCTTCAGACGATCTTAAATGTATAGTTTGGAGACGAACTGAATCAACTGGAGGTACACCAAAGGGTGGAATTCCATCAACTTTCCGCAATGATCCGTTATCGGAAACCTGGATCAAGGAAACGGTTTTACCGGAATCGCACACACGTACTATTTACAGCGTTGCATGGAGTCCAAATAGTGGGAGAATTGCTTCAGTAGGATCTGACGGGCGGATAACTATTTACAAGGAAAAGAATGAAGGATCTGGAGAATGGGAAATTGAGACTGTTGTTGATAAGGCTCATGGTGTTTATGAGATTAATTCGGTGGCATGGGCTCCTGATTATCAAGGAGATGGCGAGCTTCTCATTACAGCTGGAGATGATTTTACAACTAAGATTTGGAAACTATAGACTATTTGAATGAACTTTTATAATTTATGGCGTTAGAAAAGCTTTTGAACAAAAAAAAAATCCAGAATTTAAAATGTAAATTTCCTGATAGGAATAAACCCTTGCCCTAAAAAAAATTTTTTCTGATTCCTCTTTTGAAATTTTTTTTTTTTTTTCAATACTCAGTATTCTTTTTTTTATCAACAAAACTAATGGCACCGACAAAAGAAAAAGGCGGGTCAACTAAGCCCGTCACTAGTGATCCTCGTTTTGCAAGGGTTCATAACGATCCTAGATTTCGCATCCCCAAGCAACGACTTCAAAAAGTTAAAATCGATGAGCGTTTCCGTGAGCGGTTACAAAATGATGAAGACTTTAAAAAGCGACCAACAGTTGACAAGTATGGTAGAAAGAAGAATGTTGAAAGTGCTGAGAAGGAGCTTAGCAAATATTATAATTTGAAAGAAGGTGATGATGAAAGCGACGAAGAATATAGTGAAGAGGAATCCAGTGAAGATGAAGACGAGCAAGAAGATAAGGCTGAGAAGAAAGTTTCAAAACCCAAAACCGACGAAGGAAACGAAGATGAGGCCAGAGAAGCAGCAGAAAAATTAAAAAAGTTTCGACGAGCTCGTGGTGAAATTGTTGATGATTCTTCTGAAAGTTCATCAGATGAGGATTCTAGTGACGAATCAGAAGAGGAAGATCTGGTTATTGAAGAAAACGAGGTCCCCCTGGGAGATGAGACTACCACATTTGCTGCTGTTAACATGGATTGGGACAATATTCGTGCTGTTGATTTGATGGCTACCTTTTCAAGTTTTGTTCCACCTAATGGACGGATAGAGTGGGTGAGAATATATCCCAGTGAGTACGGCAAGGAAAAAATGAACCAGGAAGCAGTTTCAGGCCCGCCACGAGATCTTTTTAAAAGTAAGAATAAGAAAGAAGAAAGTGACAGCGAAGACGAAGAAGAGGATAAACCCCTTTTTGAGGTTGATAATGGTGAGGATGTTGAAAGCAATTCTTTAAGAAAATACCAGCTGCAACGTCTGAGATATTACTATGCAGTAGTCAAATGCAACAGCATTGGCACCGCACGCAGCATTTACGACAACTGTGATGGTGCCGAATACGAAGCTACAGCCAATTTGTTTGACTTGAGATATATTCCTGAAGGTGAGACCTTTGAAGATAAGCCTCGGGATGAGTGTACCCTCGTTCCCGCAAACTACCAGCCACCAAATTACGCAACCGACGCACTTCGTCACTCTAAAGTTCGTTTAACATGGGATGAGACCCCAGTTGAGCGCATGCAGTTTGCAGCCAAGGCATTTAGCAGGAAGGAGATTGAGGACATGGATGTCAAGGCATACTTGGCAAGTGACTCTGAGGAAGAAGAAGATGACGACAAGGAGCAGAAAAAGAATCTTTACAAGTCGTTATTGGGTCAGAGTGATTACAGTGCTGTTTTCAATGGTGAAGATAAGGACGATGTTGACATGGAGATTACATTTACTCCCGGCCTGGACGAAAAGAAGAAGACTGAAGAGGAGGTCGAAGAGACGACGATTGAAAAGTATAAGCGCAAGATGAAGGAGCGCCGCAAGAAGCACCAAGATAAGATCAAGGAAGAGAAGGAAGTTGAGAAGGAAGAAAAGTCAAAGAAGAAGGGTAAGAAGGGTAAGAAAGAAAAGGAGGATGAAGAAACTAGCAAGGAGACTGCTGAACTTGAGCTTTTGATGACAGAGGATGGCGGTGAGAAACGTTTGGATCATTTCAACATGAAGGAGATTATGAAGGCCGAGAAGCAGCTCAAGAAGAAGGGTAAGAAAGGTAAAAAGGGTGCTGAGGAAATGACGGCACCAGCAGGTCTTGACTTTAAGCTTGATGTGAATGATGAACGTTTCCAGGCTCTTTACGAGGACCACGATTTTGCAATTGATCCCACCAAGCCGCAATTTAAGAAGACACAAAACATGGACCGTCTTATGGATGAACGACGGAAACGTGCAGCGGAGCACGCTGAGGACGATTCAGAGGCTGCGCCGGCGCCCAAGAAAAAGGGCAAGTCTGCGTTTGATGCTGAGAAGAAGCAGAAGAAACAAAAACTGGAGGCTGGCGACCAGTCGTTGTCGGCGCTGGTAGACAAGGTCAAACGGCGTGCACGAGCGGGGAAGTGAGACTTGAGACTTTGGAGATAGAAGATAGAGCCGAGCTTAGTCATGTGCATGTGACACGTAGTGGCCACGTATTTAATAACAAAAAAAATAGTGCAAGTGTAGTCTAAAAAAATAATCAACAACACAACAATAACAAAATTTTGATTGACCAAAATGAAAATCAAAAATATTCAAAAATTCAAAAAAATAAAATAATAAAATATTTTTTTTTTTGTCCCTTGAAACTCCCTTGCCAGACTTTTGCTGTCAACATTCTTCATCATCAACACTCATTATGGTTGCCAAAATACCCACAACCATTCTGGCTCTTGTTTTGGCTGTTTTTGCGCAGCTGACAACAGCGTTCCACTTTTATCTAGGCGGTGATGCCCCAGCACAGCAATGCTTTTACATGGATCTGCATGAGGATACCGTGCTAGTGTGTATGTTTACAAAGCCATTGATCCAAGCGATAAGACTAACGGGTACTTAGCTAAACACAACGCTCTCGAATTTGATGAAACCACCAAGACTTACACTCGTCCATCGACCCTTGCTCTTCAAGTGACAATTGAGGTCAGTTTGTTTATTTTCAATTTTTTTTTTTCTTTTGCTAACATTTCTCAGGAAACTTTTGATAACGACCACCGTGTCCGCAACCAACGCATGGAGTCGCAAGGAGACTTTACCTTCACAGCCGCCGATTCTGGTGAGCACCGCATCTGTTACCGTGCACTTTCTGGCGGCTGGTTCCATCCCAGCAAGGTCAAGGTGTACTTGGACGTTGCACAGGGATCCGGCAGCCATATTGACTCGTCCAACTCCAAAAAGCTTAACACGCTGGCTGATCGTGTGCGGGACATCAATAATAAGATGGGCTTAATTAAGGTTGAGCAGCACCTGATGCGTGAGCGCGAAGCTCAATTCCGTAACCAGAGTGAGAGTACCAACGCCAGTGCTGTTAAGTGGTCCATTATTCAGCTGGCTGTACTTGGCCTGACGTGCGTGTGGCAACTCCATCACCTGCGTGGCTTCTTTATGAAGCAAAAGCTCGTGTAAAATCAGACCCTTAAAAGTTTAAATAATTTCGGGATACAATATTAATATAGGGGTTTTTTTTTTTAATTGGGGAAGTTATTTAGTTTCCATATATATGTGTAATTTTTTTTTCTTACTTAATCCATCCACACTCCAAACATGTCTCTTGATCTTGACGAATATTTGCGATATGGCCGCCAAATGATTGTTCCGGAATTTGGCGGTCTAAATACCCAGCTGGATCTCAAAAATGCTTCTATCCTTATCATTGGTGCAGGCGGTCTTGGGTGTCCTGCTATTGCGTACCTTGCTGGCGCAGGTATCGGCACACTCACCATTGTTGATGGTGATACAGTCGAGGCTTCCAATTTACACCGACAGGTGGCTCACAGTACGGCCACGGTGGGAGAGTACAAGGTCGTGAGCGCAGCAAAGTTTGTGGCCAACTTGAATCCTCATGTTAACGTAAGGACTGTGACAAGCCACTTAACTTTGGACAATGTGTTTGATGTGATTAGAACCGAAGATGCAAAGACAACGGAAACCGGACCATGGGACTTTGATGTGATTTTAGACTGTTCGGATAACCCGGCAACAAGGTATCTTGTGAATGACGCGGCGGTTTTGGCCAAAACTCCTGTTGTTTCAGCATCTGCGCTCAAAACAGAGGGCCAGCTGTGTTTGCTAAACTTCCAAGGTGGGCCATGCTATCGGTGCTTGTTCCCAGTCCCGCCACCTGCCAACTCGGTGGTTGCTTGTGGCGATGGCGGGATTTTGGGGCCTGTTGTTGGTATGCTGGGTGTGTATCAAGCTTTGGAGGCAATTAAGATTGTGGCCAAAATTTACGAGGGCCCCGAGCCAAAGCAGCAGTATACTCCAGCGCTAATGCTATTCTCTGCATTGTCTTTTCCATCATGGAGAAACATTCGCATGCGCGGTGCAAAGCCTGGGTGTGCCGCATGTGACCCTACCTCACATGTAACGCGTAAGGATATTGAAACCAGAGACTATGTTGCTTTCTGTGGGCACGCCGATGCCCCACGGATACTACCCGAGGAGCGTATTTCTGCCGGGGACTACGGTGAAATTGTGAAATCTGGAGAGCCACACGTTTTAATAGATGTGCGGCCGCGCGCGCATTTTGAGATTTGCAATTTGCCTAATTCTATAAATATTCCATTACATGAGTTACAGACTATGGATGGCACCAAGCTTAAGGAGGTGGCACTATGGGAAAATGGACCCGTTTACGTTGTTTGCCGATATGGCAATGACTCTCAGCCTGGAGTCACTGCGATTAAGGATAAGTTGGGGGTGACAAAAGTCTGGGACATTATTGGAGGGCTCAACGCATGGTCAGCTCAGGTGGACTCCGAGTTCCCACGATATTAAGTATCATATAGACGTTGGAATCGAATGATGCCGCCAGTAGATGCGGCTGCGTACCATTCTGCAGTGTCAAAACAAGTGCTCCAGGCCAAGTCCTTGATGGTGACATTTTGCGGGAAGATCTGCTCAATGTCAAGTGCTTTGTGTTTTTCCAAAACTGAAGGTTTGTAGAGGTCGTGGATGCGGTACTTTTTTTCCTTGGAACTAAAGTCGAGGGCCCATAACAGTCCTTGTTCATATGGAGAGATCTTGATGCGCTTGCGGGCCATAAGCTTGCGCACGAGGTTACCGGTGATTACAGTGCCATCAGCACCACCGCTCAAAAAGTATGGGTGATATTTGGAAACGGCAAGTGCCATAGTTGTTGATGCATGGTTTGCCACAGCATTTGTGTAGACATGGGATTTGAAGAGACGAATGTAAGTAGCGTAGGCAAAATGACTATCGTCTCCGAAAATTAGACACTCGAGATGGGGTAAATAGGCCACAACAGCGGCCGATCCTTTTCGACGGTGGTTGTAGATACGGTGGAGAGGGTTGTGGACGTCAAAGATACACATGTGACCATCTGTTGAAGAAAGAATTAGAATGGTTTTGTTATTTGGGTATCCAGAAGTCATGGTTATTACTGCCGATTGGAAGATGGTTTCGAAGAAGGACGGTTCAGTAGAAAATTCCGAGGTATCTGAAATGTCGAATTCGGCAACTTGGCCCTCGGTACTTGCAACAGAAAGAGCTTCAGAAGTACGCCAGCAAAAAGTAATGATTTTATATGGATCTGGCAGAAAATATTCGCGAAAGGGTGTTTGAGCATGAAGATGGATAGGCGAGGAAGATGTTGTTGGTAGGGGCAAATTGTACACGCGAAGACCTCCGTCTTGTGAAAGCACAGCAAGAGAACCCAATGAATTGTTTGTGCGGTCTTGTGGGGTCACAAGTGGACGCCAAGCCACTTTTAGTGCACTTCCAAAGTCACCGGAAAGCGTGAAAACCAGAGAAGCTAGGGAATTGGTAAGGTCGACGCGATAAATATAGACAGATGAAGGGTATGAGGATTTGGCGAAAATTGAAGTCACTTCAGACACAATTGGCGATGACACAGGGTCGCGGCCTGGATCGTCCAGTAGACCTACTGCCAGGTATTGGGTCTCTGGGTTTGCATGGGCTTCTGCCCAAGAAATTGAGGTGACTACACCGCCAGCATTGAGAAAAAAGCTGTTAGGAGATTCCGTGGGTTTACTTTCAAAGAGGGGGATTTGTTGGTCGTCTATTATGAGGGGGGTTGATGGATTAACGAGAAATTTTGCAGCTTCATCAGCCGAAAGAGTATTGAGGGACTGCTGGGAAAAGTCCAAAGCTATGGGCGCGTCGTCGTTAGTTGGATATACCATTCCCTGGCCCATTTGTGAGGCTTTGGGCATAAAGATTGAGTTTTCCCAGTGTTGGCGCATCAGCACGGCCCGGGTCAGGCTTTGCTGGTCATGGCCCACCAACAGATGCATTTGTATCATGACGGAGCCCTGCATTTTGCGCTTGTTGGAGGCTGTAAGACTTTCACCTTTATGTGTATTTGTAGCAGATTTACGCGTTGGCGTTTTAGCGGTGGTGCTACTTCCGCGTGAACGGCCACGACGTCTGCGTGGCTTCTCATCTTCTGCTTCAAAGTCATCATCCTCTTCATCCATGGGCTCGTCCGGGTCATCTTCATGGTCGGGTTCTTGAAAATCATCGTCATCGTCATCATCGTCATCGTTATTCTCTTCATCCACATACTCTTCCTCGTCTTCGCTTTCTTTTTTCGCACGTCGGTAGGCTCTTCGCAATGGTTTTTCTTTAGGAGTTGGTTTTGGTGTTTCTTTAAGAGTTGACTTTGGTTTCCTTTTGGAAGTTGTTGACTTTGGAGTTGATTTAGGTTTCGGTTTCGGTTTGGGGGGTTCGGGTGCTCCTGGTAAAGAAGGCTTGCTGTTTTTTGGGGGCCGTCCACGGCGCCTTTTAGGAGGATCTGGTTGTTGAGCAGGGATTTCGAGTTGTTCTACAGGGATTTCAGCAACTTTTTCTGATTGCCTAGGAGGGATTTCGGGTTGTTCCAATTGCTTTGAAGGATTTTCGGAGTGTTGTGATTGCTCAACAGGCAGTTCTGTTGGTTGTTGTTTTGGTGGGTCTTGTTCGGATTGTTTTGAATTAGGTTTTATTTCTTCCAGGCTACTTTTCGCGTCGGGTTTTGGAGAATTGGTGTCCCGGGGAGTCTGTGGCGACGAGCTCCGACTGAAATACGCGTCGAGAGTCGGTGTTGAGGCCGAGCTTCGGGACCTTGTTGAACGTCTCGGCGGCATTGTGAAGAATGGCTGGCAGTGATTACAAAAAAAAAAAAAAAAAAAAAATTGGCAGCAGACAATAAAAAAATAAAAAAACAAAAATAAAAAAACAAAAATAAAAAAAAAAAAAAAACCCTCGTTTAGCCCTTCACATTTTTTTTTCTTTTCTAACCATCTATTATAACATTACTATTCACAGCCCCCCTAAAATGCCAGTTCCAGATGAAACCGATACAAGCTTCTCTCAAATGGAGGCAGACGATTTTGCAGAACCTACAGCTTCAAGTTCACCAACAGATCCATTTCTTGATTTTAGCAGCATTTCAGAGCAACAGCATGTGAGCACAACGTTGCCACAATACTTTAAACGGGCCGATAAGAAGCCCGAGCCGGTGGCGGCAGACACTAACTTGGACGACACCGCAACAGCGGCAGACGATCTGGGCCCTGGAGACGATACATTAGATGAGATTCCATCTGACGTTGAAAACATTGATAATGTGCCATCACCAATGACACGCACGCCAGGCGAGTACCGGACATTATCACTTGGAGACGCGTCTGGACTACAAGTGAGGTCGATAGACCAACGGTTCCAAACACGACTAAGCTCGCTTTCATCTGTACGCAGTGTTTCGTCGTCTTCGTCATCTTTGCGCAGTAACAGACTGCTTTCCGGGAGAGCATTGACAACTAGCGAAGACGAATTGTTTCTTGGAGACGAGGACAAGCGACCATGGGAGACAGTGCGGTGGAGCAAGCTACGAAAGATTTCAAGTCAGATTTTCAGTGAGTCAGCACAGCGGGCCTACGGCAAGCCTACATGTATAATTGCAGCGGCACGCATTGTGCTGGGCATGTCTCACGGGCATGTGCTTGTGTTTGATTACCACCAAACACTCACGGCTGTAATTGGCAGCAAGACCAAGGCTGTAGAGTGTGGGCCCGTGACAGCACTTGCAGTTTCGGCCGATTTTAGTTATTTGGCGAGCGGGTACTCGTCAGGCCACATTTTTACGTGGGAGCTTGCAAAGCCTTCTGGGCCGAATATTCATATTTCTCCGTTAAATAAGAGCCTGCTACTCAAGGCGAAGCATGCAGACGGGCATTTGGAAAATTCGGAAGTGATTTACTTGAATTTTATAGGCAAGCGACACTCTGCACTTGTTTCTGGCGATGTTACCGGGATGGCGTTTTCGCATGATACTGTGCGCTCTATGGTTGGGCGGACAGTTATTACTCGACGAATCATGGGGAGGTACCCTGGGAGTGTTTTAGGGGCTACAAAAAGAAAGCCTACAGCATTACTTGCGTGTTCTCCTCTGCCACTGGGCAATGTTATTCAACCTACAGACAAGTGCTGTCTTGTTGCAATCATGACACCGTATTTGCTTGCCATTGTGTCTGTTCTTCCAACGCCACGAACGGAGTTTAAAACTGGGCGGCCCAAAAGTGTTTCGAATGACATTGGGCTGTCTGGGTGTGTTGCATGGCTGCCAGCTTTAAAGGGTACGGCTGGTGTAGCTAGTGAGACCAACACGAGGCTTGCGTACTCTTGGGGGAACGTTTTAACAATTATGGAGATTGTTGCTACGGCTGGAGTTAAGAAGAATGAGGTTGGGCTAAAGTTCAATTTCCAAAAGCGATACGTTGGGGATGAGGCCATTGTGTCTATTCAGTGGATCAGCCGGCAGGTGCTTGGGCTTGTGACGTCGACGCAACGATTTCTTTTTTTGAATGAGGAGACCATGAAGGTTTCTGCGACGGTTGATTTGCTGAGCAAGCACCTGATGCATACTGATTATTTTTCCGATATTCTCAAGGACTTGACTGTTGTTGATTCTGAGACTGGAGATGTAAGGCCTGTTGTTGTTTGTGATGGGTATTTTAACAGTGTGCGTGGGTTTAAGGGGAAGATATTTTTGCTTGGCAAGTATGAGCTTGTTGCAGGGACGGTATCGAACTGGGCTGACCGGTTGCTAGACACTATGGAACTTGGAGACTACATTGGAGCGATTGACTTGGCTACAAGTTATTATTTGGGGACTCAAGATTTGGCGATTGTGGGGCTACCTCAGGATGATGAGGAGCGGCATGCGATTGTGATTAAGAATTTACCTGGGATGATGATTGCGTCTATCAAGTATACGTTCAATGGGTCTGGGCATGGAGAGAATGTGGGAGGGGTTTCATGGGAGGAATTTGTTGGAGAGCTGTGTGAGGTGACTCTTGAGGCTTGGATAGCAATTGGCAAGCCTGGAGAGTTACTTGAGCAAGTGTTTGATGAGTTTGAGGAACACCATTATGGGCGAATATTTTTTGAGACATTAACACGACAAATTTCGAGCGGCCGGGTGACACAGCTACCACCGACTGTATTTCGGGAGCTTGTGAAGACACATGTTGGAGATCCTGAGCTTGCAGAGCGGCTTGAAGAGGTGATTTGTTCGCTTGATATCCGGACGTTAGATGTTGATGCAGCAGTTACACTTGCACGACAGCACCATTTGAAGGATACTTTGATTTACATTTGGAATCATGCATTAGGAGACTACGTGACACCACTTGTTGAGTTTATTGAGACGATTACAAGACGTGGTGGAGATGGACACTTGAGTGAGGCTGAGAAGGTGTACCCATACTTGTCATATATTTTGTCTGGAAGAGTATACCCTACAGGGCTTTCTTTTGAAGATGAGCGGGTTGCATTTCGGGCCAAGTCTTATGTTTATTATTTTTTGTTTGCTAGCAGCAACATTGCATGGCCACAGGGAGGTCCTGTAATTTATACGAGTGATTCTGGGGTGGATGAGCCTGTTTATCCTTATCTTACGGTGTTGTTACGGTTTAATACAGCTGCGTTTTTCGCTGCATTGAATGAAGCGTTTGAAGATCCATTTTTAAATGAGGAGGGGAGTGGTAGTGGTAGTGGTAGTGGTAGTGGTGGTAGTGATAATAGCGGAGGAGGGGTTATTGCTATTGATGGTGGAGATGAGGCGGAGACGTTTGGAGCTACAGTGAACCGGCAGTTGATTGTCAACATTTTGCTTGAGGTTTTTGGCAACCATGGGGAACTACAAGAGCACCGGATATTTTTCAACATTTTCCTTGCCCGCAACTATCCCAAGTATACACAATTTATTATACTGCCTGGTCAGGTATTGACACGGGTAGTTGAGGAAGTGTGCAATTGTGGAGATCCAGAGTTGAAGGATGAATGCGAGCTAAGTTTGGAGTCGTTATTGTCCAAGTATAAGCCGTATGATCTTGAGAGGGTGATTGGGATGTTGGAAGAGGTGAGGTTTTATGGTGTTTTACAGTATGTGTTTCGTGGGGAGCGTCGGTATAGCAAATTATTGGAGACTGCTGTACGTGCGTTTAAGGAGAATAATAGAAGTGTGAATGTGAATGTGGATGGTGATGATGGTGATGAGAAAAAGAAGAAAATGCTGGATGTTTTAGGAGAGTGTTTAAGGAATACCAGAGAACGGGGGAATGCTGTTATTGAGAAGGAACGGGTTGCAGTTGAAGGGTTGATTCGGGAAAACTTTGGGTTGTTTGTCGGGCTGAATGCTCGGCGGGTTGTTCGGTTATTGTCAATGAATGGTGCTGGGGGGTTGCATGATGAAGTATTTAAGCTTGGAAAGGATAAGAAGAATCTTCAATTTGATTATTTGGATGCATTGTTTAGTGTTGGGAGGTTAGGTGGGACCAAATTACCTGGGAAGAAGTTTCGGCATTTATATGTTGAGCTTCTTTGTGAGCGTGGAGAGATTGAGAAATTGTTTGAAGTTTTTAAGAGTCAGTTGACAGGTGCTGAGGATGTTGATTTAGATGTTGTTGGTGATGCATTGGAGAGAGCAGGAGCAGTTGATAGCTTGGTTTTATTATTGCAACGTCAGGGGAAGCCAAGGGAGGCATTGGAGAGCGTTGTGAGTAAAGTACGGGAGGTTGTTGCAGATGGGGAGGATGCAACACGATTTGTTGATTTAGGAGTTGAGGTTTGTTTTCATGGAGGTCGGGGGAGTTTTGGGGAAGGATTATGGATTAAGTTGATTGATGGGATTGTTGAGTTGAGAGAGCAGCATAAGGATGCAGGGCCATTGTTGCAGAAGGTTTTATCAGCGTTGTTGGATAGGGGTGGAGATAATGGGACGATTGTTAGGATATGCAGTGGATTATTGCAAGATAAGGTTGAAGGAGAAAATGGTGATGGTTATGGTGATGATAATGGAAGGGTAGTTAAAACTTTGTCATCTTTATCTTCGAAAAGGACTGTTGGAGCTGTGCGTCCTATTTTGAGTGAGTTATTTGCAGCTTATCGATATCAGGAGCGAGTTGTGACAATTGCTCGACGGCTTCTTGATGGGGATGCATATGAGCGATTACAAGAACTTGTTAGTGCACGGCGACAAGGATGGCGAGTTGCAGCCTCTGGTGAGTGTGAGGGATGTGGGCGAGCGGTTGTTGGGTTAGGGGTTGATGCAGCTTGGGTTTATTTTGAGTGGGAGATGAGGACCAAGGGAGAGCTTGCACGGGCGGCTGTTGCGCGGGTAGAGGCAGCAGCGCGTGGGAAGGCTGGGAGTGGTCCAGATGGGGCTGCAGTTGTTGCAAGGCAGGCGCGAGCGTTGCGCAAGGGGAAGGGGAAGGGTAAGGGTAATGGTAATGGGGGTAGCAATAATAATGGAAATGGAAATGGAAGTAGTTGTGGTTGTGGGAATGAAAGTGTTGAGCAGACGGCTAAATGGCGGGCGATAGCGGCCGGACGGAGCGCAGGAGAGGATGGAAGGGTTGTTGTTGTTTTTCGGTGTGGCCACGCATATCATTTGGGATGTTTGAGGAATCTTGGGGTTGTTGGTCAAGGGTTGAAGTGTGTCATTGATGGGTGAGGTGTAATAAATATATATAAAAGCGTGAAGTTATGTAATTATTTATTATTATTATTATTATAATATTATATATTAAATTATTGAATTATTAATATAAATTAATTATAATAAAATTATTATTATTATTATTAACCGGGGAAATATTAGAATTGATCCGAAAGGGTGCCAAGAAAGAAAGAAAAAAAAATGGCGATTTTTATTTTTTTTGTTTGTTTGTTTGTACAAAAGACAACGCGGTTTAATAAATCCGGTCGGGGCTTTAAGAGAGGCCGAAAATGCGATGTTTTAGATTTAGTTTAGTTTAGTTTAATTTAATTTAATTTAATTTAATATGTGTGTGTGTGGGGGTATTAATACAGATAATTATTAAAGGAAAGCCAAAAAAGATATTTATTAGTATTATTATTACAGTTATTATTGATATAATTGATATAATTGATATTAAACATAAAAGAAGAAGTTCCAGACGTGCGTGGGAAAGAAAGGCAAAAGCGGGGGAACGGAGAATTAAAAAAACAAAAAAACAAAAAAATTTAAAATTTCGAGGTTTTTTTTTTTTTTTATTTTTAAATAAGCGGGTTATCTTTTTTAAATATATATATATATAAAATTATATAATTAATTTGAAATAGATTTAAAAAGAAAATTGAATTAATTGAAATAATTGATTAATTGAAATGATTTATGAGATTTATATTATTAAAAAAAAAACTAAAAAGGGGCAAAAATGATAAATAAATGTGAATAAATAATGGTTTAAATTTTTTTTTTTTTTTTCCCCAGGATTTTTGTTATTTTATTTTATATTTTTTCCATAAAAAATTATAATAAAATAAAATAAAAATAAAAATAAAAAAGGCTCGGAGAAATGGAGAAGGAGGGGAAAGGCGGCAGATTTAATTTTTTTTTTTTTTAAAGATAATATGTCAAAAAAGATATATACAAAAGTCAGTTCAAATATATATATATATATATTTTTATATATAAATATAAAATGTCAATAGAAAAAAAAAAGGATGTCAAAAGATTCTGGGGAAAATAAAAAATAGAAAAAAAATATAAAGATTAGTCATAAGATAGTAATGATTAATAATTTATCAATTATTATGTAATATATATATATATATTTTTTTTTTTTTTTTTTTTTTTTTAAAGTTACGGCTGGAAATATCCATTTTTTTTTCAAAAATTTCTTTGGGGCTTTTTAAGAAAAAAAAAAAATTGTTTCTTTTTTTTCAACAACAACCCCCGGAAAAACCCCCCAAAAAGAAAAAAAGAAAAACTAATTACGTCAGAAATGAGTCATCTCTGGTCTCCCCACACTTTTTTTTTTTTTTTTTTTTTTACTACTACTACTACTACTACTACTAATATTACTATTACTGACTACTGCTGTTACTGGTGGTGCTGCTTTTTCTTTCTTTCTTTTTAGTAGTACAAAAAATAGAGATTTTATTTATCCGTTAGTTAGCAGCACTAATAGTAGTAGTAGTAGTACTGAATAGTACTAATTAGCAGTACTTTGGAAATTCAAAAAAGGTTTTTAGAAATTTAATTTTTTTTTTTTTTTTTATTTTTCTGGGGAAGAAAATATCTTGCAGCCACACACAAACAAAATAAATAAATAAAAAAAATTTCAATCAATCAATTAATTTATTTTAATTTATTTTAATTTAATAAATAAACACATCTTGTTGGGAATTTTTTTTTTTTCCTTTTACCCTCTCACGTCAACAATATATATATATATATTTATTAAACAATATAATAATAATAATAATAACCATCAACCCCTTTTGGTCTACACATAAATATATATATATATATATACACATACATACAACCTACCACCATATAAATAAATACAAATAACAACAACAACACCCGCGGGTTCCGGCCAATCAGCCAATATTGAAACAAACAAACAAAATATATTTCTTCTAATTATTATTATTTATTATATTATTATATAAGGACATTTATATTTATGTATTTATTTATTCATATATATATTTATTTAATTTAATACAAAAGAAACAACCTACTACTATTGTTTTAATAACAAGTATAAATATCAAGGAATTTCCCCCCCTTTTTTTTTTAATAAATTTATTATAATACATTTTTTTTTTATTTATATAATTATTTTTTTTTTCTATTCTATTCAATTAATTTTTTTTTCTTCTTATTCTTCTTTTTTAAAAAAAATATATATATAATATAATATATATATATACTACCCTCTATTTATCTTTTAATCCAAAAAATCATCTTCACTATTCTAAATGTCTGGCATTGCTGAATCCGCCATCAAGGGAAGACCAACCCCTCAGGCTTTCTTTGAGTATGTTTAATCAATCAATCAATCAATCAATCCAATAAATATCTAACTTTCACTTTTAGTAAACACCCCGCAGAACCACATCTTAGTAACCTCGACCACTACAAGGAACTCTACAAAGAATCCATTGAAAACCCAAACAAGTTCTTTGGTAACCTCGCTCACGAACTCCTCTCTTGGGATCACGACTTCACCACTGTCTCCTCAGGTGGCTTTGAACATGGTGATATGGCTTGGTTCCTTGAGGGAAGACTCAATGCTTCTTACAACTGTGTCGATAGACATGCCGCAAAGAACCCTGATAAGGTATGACCTTTAATTTTTTTTTTTTTTAATCCTAACCAAATTCACACAACTAACTTTTTTCTTTCTTTCTTTCTTTCAGGTCGCAATCATCTACGAAGCTGATGACGCTAAAGATTCCCGTAAAATCACCTACGGAGAACTCATGGCCGAAGTCTCCCGTGTCGCTGGTGTTCTCAAGTCCTTTGGTGTTACCAAGGGTGACTCAGTCGCTGTTTACCTTCCTATGATTCCAGAAGCTCTTATTGCCCTTCTCGCAATCTCCCGTATCGGTGCCGTCCACTCCGTCATCTTTGCCGGTTTCTCTTCGGGCTCCCTTAAGGACCGTGTCAATGATGCCAAGTCAAAAGTTATCATCACTACTGACGAAGGTAAGCGTGGTGGTAAAACCGTCTACACAAAGAAAATCGTCGATGAAGGTCTTAAGGATGCTCCCTCTGTCGAAAAGGTCCTTGTCTACCAGAGAACTGGCAACCAGGTCCCCTGGACTGAAGGCCGTGACTTTTGGTGGCACGAAGAGGTCGACAAACACAGACCTTACCTCGCTCCTGTCCCTGTCTCTTCTGAAGACCCCCTCTTCCTTCTCTACACCTCTGGCTCTACTGGCTCTCCTAAGGGTGTTGTCCATGTTACTGGTGGCTACCTTCTCGGTGCTGCTGCTACATGCAAGTACGTCTTTGATATCCACCCTGACGATATTCTCTTCACTGCTGGTGATGTTGGTTGGATCACTGGCCATACTTATGCCTTTTACGGTCCCCTTCTCCTTGGTGCCACCACCATCATCTTTGAAGGTACCCCTGCCTACCCTGATTACTCTAGATACTGGGAGATTGTTGAGAAGTACAAGGCTACCCAATTCTACGTCGCCCCCACTGCTCTGCGTCTGCTGAAGCGTGCTGGTGAGGAGTTTGTTAAGAAGCACGATCTTTCCTCTCTCCGTACTCTTGGCTCTGTCGGTGAGCCCATTGCTGCCGAAATCTGGGAGTGGTACAATGAGCACGTTGGTAACAATGACTGCCACATCACTGACACTTACTGGCAAACTGAGACTGGTTCCCACATCATTGCCCCCCTTGCTGGTGTCACTCCTATGAAGCCTGGTTCTGCCACTCTCCCCTTCTTTGGCATTGACCTTGTTCTTATCGACCCTGTTTCTGGTGAGGAAATCAAGGGTAATGACGTCGAGGGTGTTTTGGCTATTCGCAAGCCTTGGCCTTCTATTGCCAGAACTGTTTATGGTTCCCACAAGAGATACCTTGAGACTTACCTTAAGCCATACCCTGGCTACTACTTCACAGGTGATGGTGCTGCCCGTGATAAGGAAGGTTACTACTGGATCCGTGGCCGTGTTGATGATGTTGTCAATGTTTCTGGCCATCGTCTTTCTACTGCCGAGATTGAGGCTGCTCTGATTCAGCACTCTGCTGTTGGTGAGGCTGCCGTTGTTGGTGTTGCTGATGAGCTTACTGGCCAGGCTGTTATTGCCTTTGTTTCTCTCAAGTCTGGTACTCCTGCTTCTGATGAGCTCCGTAAGGAACTTATTCTTCAAGTTCGTCGTGAAATTGGACCTTTCTCTGCTCCTAAGGCTGTCCTTATTGTTGAGGATCTGCCCAAGACTCGTTCAGGTAAGATTATGCGCCGCATTCTGCGCAAGATTGTTTCTGGCGAGGCTGACTCTATTGGTGATACTTCTACTCTGAGTGAGCCCCACGTTGTTGATGAGATTATTGCATCTGTTGACAAGCAGTTTAAGATTCCCAAATAAAGTGTAAAATAGTAGGTTTTGTTTTATCATAAAATAATAATAATGAAAAAAAAATTAAAATAAAATTAAAATAAAAATTGTATTTTGTAGTTTAAAACCAAAAAAAATAAAAAATTAAAAAAAAAGAAGAAGAAGAAGATAAATTTCCTGATTTGGAACTGAAATGGTTCTATGTGCACCCAATAGGTCATAGATAACAGCCGTACTATGCACGGCCCGACTGCTTTATCTGGTCTTTGAGGTGGATTTGAGGAGAATTTTTTCATAAAAAACAAAATGGCGGGTATTGCAAGTTTTTATTTAATTGTTTATATATATATATATATGTTAATGTATTAAATTTATTTGAATACTCGGGTCTTGATGGGTCCCGGCTACTTTCGGGTAATGACGCTTTTATTTTTTTATTTTTTATTTATCTCTTATCTCAAAAGGCGCCTTTTTTTCTTTTTTTATTTTTATAATTTTATAATTTTATAAAGAAGAAGAAGAAGAAGAAGAAGAAAAAGAAGAAGAAGAAAAGAGAGAAAAAAAAAAAGGTTTTTTTTAAAAAAAATTTATTTAAATGAAAAAAAAAAGATAAAAATTAATATTAAAAATTATAAAAATAATAAAAAAGTGTATTTAATTTTTTAAAAAATCTGAAAAATTTTTGAATATAAAAAATTTTGAAATTTAAAATGGCGGTTTTTTTTTTTTTTTTTTTCTGTTTACAAAAAAATAAAAATTTTTTTTTTATTCATTTTTTTTAAATTTCTGCTTTGTGGCAACGCTGGCCTTTTTTTTATTTTTTTTATTTTTTGGTGGTGGTGGTGGTGGTGCTGCTTCTGCTGCTTCTGCTGCTTGTTAAAAAATAAATAAATAAATAAATAAATAAATAAAAAATAAATTCCCCCAATGGGCCAACTAGTCAAAAAACTCATCTGAATTTACATATAAAAATATTTATTTATATATATATATAAACAACCCATTTCGCCCTTCTTTAAAAAAAAAAAAATTTTTTTTTAACTTGCTACAGCTACATACTGTAGTACTTTAACAAACAACAAACAACATAAAATAATATCTATCTTATCACTACCACCACTACTAATCATACTCTTACTCTTACTCTTACTCCTACTCCTACTCCTACTCCTAACTCTGTCTCATGTCTGACAACTTTAACGACATCCAGGCCCACCTCGATGGGCCTTCATATAACTCAATGTCAGTTCCAAGATCATCTGGCGGCCCTTCTTCCTCTTCCACTGACCGTAACAATTCTTTCTCAAACCGTTCAGGATTCCGTATCCCCATTTCTTCTCCAAATAATGCTTCAGCCTCCGGAACTGGTACTTTCCCAAGGCATGGTATCCCTATCGGTCATTCAACTGCTACAAATATAAATAACCCAGCAATCAACTCTTTCGGTCACTTTGCATCATCTTATACTCGCGCCCAATCTTTCCTTACAATCGAACCTCTCACAGATGCTACAAGAGCTCGTTCTTACTTTGTAGATGAAGAAGAAGCTGCAGGACAACCCTCTCACTTGACTGACCAAAGTGCTTCTTTTGTTTCAACAACTGCTCCTTCCTTTTTTACCGCACCAGGATCCCGTAGACAATCCTTTTCTGCTCGTTTCATTGATGCAGATGCTGCATCCTTTATCAACAACAATTATAATAATAATAATAATAACACCGCCATTGAAGACGAAGATGTCATTTCAGAATACTCGGGCTTACTCCCACAAAAACCTTCAGCTTATTTGGCTTCTAGAAGAGCATCCTACGTAGTCCCCCCACAACATGGAACTGTCCTCCTTCAAGAAGGTGAAGCAGTCGCCCCAGGAACTGAATCAGAACCAGTCATTGTCCGCACTTTTGAAGACAAAAATGGTAACGTTTCTACAGAAGTCGCCGGCCAATCTACCGTCCCTCAAACAATCTTCAACTCTATAAACGTCCTCATTGGAGTAGGCCTTTTATCCCTCCCACTCGGCTTCAAATACTCAGGCTGGCTTGTCGGATCAATCCTACTTACTTTTGCCGCTTCAACAACTTATTACACTGCTTATCTCCTCGCAAAATGTATGGACACTGACCCTACCCTAGTCACATATGCAGATATTGCCTATGCAGCTTATGGGCCTCGTGCTCGTCTTCTCACTTCCCTGCTCTTTACCCTCGAGCTTATGGGAATGGGTGTCTCTCTTGTCATTTTATTTGCAGATTCCCTCAATGCCCTTTTCCCCCAAATCTCAAAAGATACTTATAAATATATCGCCTTTGTTGTTTTGACCCCACCATGTTTCCTCCCCCTTCGCATTCTCTCAGTCTCTTCCATCATGGGAATCTTCTCTACCCTCGGCCTTATTGTTCTTGTCTTTTTCGATGGTATCTATAAAACTCAAGCCCCAGGCTCTCTCTGGCAACCAGAACCAACACATATTCTCCCAACTAACTGGATGGCTGTCCCCCTTGCCATTGGCATTTTCATGGCTCCCTGGGGTGGTCACGCCGTCTTCCCTAACATTTACCGTGACATGCGGCACCCACAAAAATACGAAGGAGCTCTTCTTACCATTTATAAAATCGTCTTCCCCATCGATACCATCATGGGAATCCTTGGCTATGTCATGTTTGGCTCCAAGGTTGAAAACGAAGTTACCAAATCTATTCTCTTGACTAAAGGTTATGCTCCACACCAAGACTTGGTCATCACTTCACTGGTCTCCCTCATCCCACTCGCTAAAACCCCGCTCAATGCAAGACCCATTGTTTCAACAATCGACATTCTCACAGGACTTGACAAGTACCCTCTCGGGTTTGACGGTGTTGCCGGTATGCGTGATACACTTATGCGTGTAGCCAAAATCTCTGTCCGTTTGCTTGTTGTTTTAAGCTTTGTTTGGATGGCCATTGTGTTCCCAGACTTTGACCGCATCATTGCCTTTTTCGGAGCAACCCTCTGCATCACCATTTGTATTAATGGACCTGTAGCCTTTTATCTTAAAATTTATGGCGATAAGGTCCCCAAATGGGAGCGTTACTTTAATTATTTCTTGCTTGTTGTTTATGCTATTCTTGCAATCTTTGGAACTATCTGGTGCTTCATTCCTCCAGAGAGATTCCAATAAGGACCTTTCTTTTTTTTTTTACTTTTTATTTTTATTTTTATTTTTTTTTAAATATATAATATAATCTTCTATAGACTCCAAATGTAATATTTTTTTTCTTTTTTTCTTTTTTTCTATTTTTTCAACTTCTCCCAGAAAACTCAGCAGCAACTTGCCGGTACCGTTCCAAATAAGTCTGCACAAAACTCTCTGAATAATGCGAATGAGCAGCTCCGTGTCCGGCAACCATATTATGTGCCAATTCATGTGCAGCCACCGTAAACCAGTAATCCAATTGCGCTTGAGGTTGCCATTCATTGCTCCCGGGCTCTCTAGCTGCCACCATCCCGGACCCTCCAACAAAGTATGCCAAGTTAAAAAATAAACTCCCACCACCTGCATTAAATGCAATCACTGCAGAATTCGGGTCCCAATATGCATGTATCGCTTGCCATAACTTTCCACCATTACTACCTCCATCATAAATCTCGGCAACCGCACGTAATACCAAAGCAAACCGTGAAAGCTCTAGTCCCCATCCACGCAACCCATCACTTGCAGTAGATGTATTCGCTCCTGATGCTGCTGCAGTTGCTGCTGCTGCCATACCCTGTGCCGCATCAAACACGCGCGGGTCCCCGTGAGGTGCAAAAAACCGAAGACCAGGTCCTCCTCCAGCTCCAGGCGCCACTGAAAATGGAAGCACGGCAACTTGTACAAGCGAGGCCAATACTTGTGTATTACATTCCTGCTCCGCCGCATGTTCAGCTGCTGAAGTACGTGCCGCATCGCCCGTGTTTATGCTTGAAGATAACGAGCCTGAAGAATATGCGTGCGACCGTCCAATAACCGCTGACAATTCGGCTGCAGCTTGAGCTGGAGTTGTTGCATGTGGTGAGGAAGCCCCAGGCCCCCGCATTCCACCACCAGTACCAGTACCGGGTCCTTGAAATACACCGCCGCTGCCAGGGAACTGGATTCCGCGTGACGACGGAGCCGGAGTTTGAGGTAGAGCTTGCTGTTGAGCCTGTGGTGCAGGTAGTTGGGTTGTAGGTTTGGATGCGGCTTGTGCGGCGGCCTGCGCGGCTTGTGCGGCAGCAGCGGCTGCGGTTGGCGAAAAAGATTTCCACATTTTGCTAAAAAGTCCCTTGGAGTGCTGCTGCTGTTGCAGCTGCTGCTGTTGCTGGGCCTGTTGCATTTGCTGCTCCCGTGCAACCTCCTGCTGCTCCTGTCGCTCCGCACTCTCAAGAGCCTGCTTCACCTTGTCCCATCCTTGAACACCTCCAATCGCTCCTCCTGAACTATATGGCGGCGGAGGCGCTCCTCCATCTTCAGCCTTCTTCGGGCCTGCCCCATCCTCAAGAATCATACTCTTTTGTCGTCTTGCTTCCTCTTCCTTGCGCCTAGCAGCCTCTTCTCGACGCTTCGCTTCTTCCACTTGATGCTTTTCCTCTAGCTCCCGCCGCAACGCCTCCGCAGCCTCTCGCTCCGCCTGCACCTCCTCCTCTCGGCGCTTTATAATCGCATTCACATTGAATCCCTTGCGCTGTAGCGCCCGCAATTCTGATGCAAGCAAACTCTCCAACACAATCGCGCTATCAGGCCCAGCCCCTTGACCTAAAAGTTGGCCCACAAGTGCCTGGCTCACGTCAAACCAGTCCAGACCAGATGGTTGTACGTACAATGTCGCCACTCCGGAAACTGTTTCCTCACCAGGACCAATATACGCCGTTACTGTTTGACGCACAGGAGGTGGCAACACACCACCTCGCCCAGACACACACAAGTTGGCGTATCGTACCCTATGCTCCACTGTTATGTGAGTCAGCGCTACAATGTGCAGCTCCGCAAGCAGCCGCTTCGCCGCCTTGTACCCGCCTCGTGTGCGCCGCAAAGCATCCCTGTTCCCGTCCAGAAACAGCCCTGCACGCTCCGCAATATGAACCTTGAGCTGTCGCCCGTCATACCCAGACACAATTCTGCCCAGCATGGTTTTGGTCTCAACTACCTTGCTAAGTGCGCGGCACCCCAGCTCCCGATATAATCGTTCCAGGTCGTTTATCTGCGGCGCAAGTAACAAGTCATTGCGAAACATGTTGGCGTACAAAACGTTATCAGCAATCACAATTTGTTCTACTGATGCCAATTTATACCTCAGCCGGAACTCGTCCTCGTCGTCGTCCGCGGCCTTTGTTTTCACATCGCTTGTTTCTACTGGCTTCTTTTCATAAACATACCCAATCAGAAACCGAGCCTTGCGCATCCGCGACACTAGTGCATAGTCCCGAGAAATGGCATCGTCCCAGTGACTCGAAATCCTCAACAGCAGCTCCAAGTATTTTTGTGCTGATGCCGCCAGCGTGTACATCCGTTCAGGGTCTGCCACAAGAGTGCGCGCAATTTCTGTGATGCTTGGTTCTTCGCGCACTCCTACAAACGTCAAAAACCCGCGCGCATCTTGAGCAAAATCAACAAAGTGGAAAAACTGCGCGTATATCTCACTTCCAGAGGCCGTACCCTCCTTGTTGTTGTTCTGTGCAAAATATACCATATTGGGGTACTCATGATCTACCGTTTGAACCTCCACAATCTTGCCCTTTTCATCAAACCGCTTGCGCACAACTGGAACCGGAATGTATTGAGTCTCACGCAACCGCTTGCGCATGGGCCCTGAAATCTTTCCCAAAAACCCAGACATAAACCCAAACATCTTGTTGGCCGTTGCAACGTCCTTGGAAGGTTGAGTCATTAGCACATTGGCAAGCTCATCGGCCTCAGGCCACTTGCGTATTCCAAGCTTCCATGAATGGTTTTCCAATGAAGCGTCCACAATGGGAAACCCAAAAAGAGCCACCGAGTGATCTGTAAAACACTTGCTGGGGGGTCTCTTTACTGTCTTTCCATCTGGAAGCGTGCACTTGACGCATGCCGACGTGGTATTGAAAGCTTCGCTAATTGAGTATTTGTTTGTTTCAAAGTTTTTCAAAAAATAGGTAAAAGCTGTGTCGGATTTGGGGTTTTTGTCATTGGCTAGCTCCAAGATTTCGGCAAGAGGAGGGTGATGCTTAAGCCCTAGTTTAAAAATCAACTTGGCTTCCGGTGTCGACTCGTTCCAGTACTGCCACTTAAGACACCGCATCCCCAAGGTCTCCAGCTCGGTGTTGGGTGGATACAGACTGGATGCTGTGTAGAGTTTACCATCCATAGCCTCAAAAAATGACGACGTTTTAAGGGTTGCCCAGTCGCTCTGCTTAAACTTAGACTGGTTTGCAGTCAAGTATTTGATGACATCAAATGTTGACCACTTTACTTGAGGATCAGGGTCCGTTAGCAGCTTTAAAACAAAGGCAACATCCACAGACTCGCGCACACCAATGGCCAGTAAAAACTCTCGTGATGTCAAAAGCGTAGGCGACTTAATGGGCAGATCCGGGAACAAGTCAATTGCCTGGAGATACGACTCGGATGGTTTCTTCATGCCTAGGTTGGTTGGAATCGAGTCCGCACTTCCAAGCAGTTCCACCACTTTAGTCTTATCAAGAGTGCTCATCCCATCGAAATTCGACGAAAGCCGCATTAGTACTTTTTCGGAAAAGTCCGGCATCAAGTACATGTTTTTCTCCAGCTCAATTGAATCACGGTTGACCGTCGCAAACGTAAGCCAGCCAAGTAGGGTTAATGGCCGCCATCCAAACACTTGCTCAACCTCACGCGTGTTGACTGACTCAAGCAGCTTGGCCGGCAAGCATGCTGGGGGGAGCGGGTACCCGTTGGGCACGCGCAGAACGTCCTGATACGATGAGATAGCTTTGAGAGCGTAAATCGATCCGGTAGCTGTATCGGAATCGGCAACAATGCCAGCAGCTAAAATAAGCTGGATTTCGTACTGTCCAATTTCACTGTTAAAGGCATGCGAAATACACCAACGAACTAGTTTTTGAAATCGCGCCGGTGTTAGGGTATGTTCCTTGAGTTCTCGTTCAATGTCAGTCGCACCAGTGTATTTCAACAATCCGAGTTCCACAGCCCGTTTCAAAAAAGTTTCAGAAGACTTGGCCACAGATTTGGGGACAATAGCAATGTTTTCAATCAGCTGTGCTGCATTGTCATCATCGGCCAAACGTACCTCATCCGACGTTAAAATCAGACCACGTTGTGTGGGCAGAGATAGTTTATTAGATGATCGCCAAAATCCATGGGCAATGTAATTGCCAACAGAGACGTCTGGTGCAGATGTGCTAAACTCAAATCGGTTCATGATATAAGAGGCATCATCAAGAAACGGCTGCATAGTCTCAGGAGTCACTTTAGGGTACTTGGCCCTGAGTTGCGTAAACTCATACTCATACACGGCTCTACTCAGAATACCCGCCATAACAAGGATTTGTTTGTTCCAGTCTTTGACATAAGCATTGGCCATGTCGACAGCTGTACGCTCCATGGTTGGGATTAACTGATTAATTGCAATGTGTGACTTAAATGAGGTTGACTGTTTTGTGGGGAACCCAATAAATATTTTTGCATCATTGAAATTTTTAGGAAAAACATAATCTGATAATGGCGGCGTCAGCTTTGAAAGCTGCTTTTCATCTCTATTGTCTGTAAGCATGGAAATGACTGCTTCTTTTGGTGGGGCTTTCAAGACAGTTTCTTTCATCTTGCGTGAAAATTGCGATGAGACATTAACTGCCAACCGCCCTGTTACTTTGCGTAAATGAGCCGAGACCGTGGTCATTTCGGAAGGATCTTTGGAGCCCGGAAGAAAGGACGAAAATGCCTTGTATCCAAACGAGAGAAAAGAATTGTTGGTAATCTTTTCGCTTAGTTGTGTGACATTCATGTAATTAATTTCAATAGAAAATGACTCAGACGTCCATGATTTGAGTGTCAGTGTTCGGTCAGGCGAGACATAAGATAACCCCTTTGGTAAATCAAGTGATACTTGAGGAGAAATGGTTTTTTTGAGTGAAAGAAGAGTAATATCATCTACCTGGAGAGTGATAGACTCGATAGGAAGAAGAATAAAACTTAGGGTCAGAAATGCAGTAAACGATGAAAGAGTGGGGAGGTTTTGTGGAACACGATATGGCAAGTCTATCACAGTCCAGGATTTACTATCCGGAACAGTTTGTCTGCGGTAACACAGTTGGTCGCCGTCGTAGTAAAAAGACATTACCGAGGTCCCTGAATGAACCAAAGGTTCGTCGGTAAGTTCGAACACGGAGTAGAACCCTACTCCAAACGCGCCAATTTTATTTTCGTCAGGATTGCCCTTTGCAATTTCTCTAAGTCGGTTCCAGTCGTCTTCTTGAAAATACAGGCCATTGTTTTTAACTGTCAACCTGTCCACAGTAATAGACCCAATGTCAGTAATGTGAGACTTGGAAAGACCTCCAGGAATAGTTGATTTAAAGGAAATAACACAATCTTTAGCTTTGGCATCGGCCGAGTTTTGGATAAGCTCGCGAAATAGTGCATAGTCTACTGGGTATTTTGTAAGTGTACGTGTAATTAAACTAAAGATGAAAGTTAAAAAATGGATTCGCAAAATAAAAAAAAAAAAAAAAAAACCTACGCTCTATGATTAACAGTGACGGCCTCCTGCTGCGATGTAGCTTGGAGATCCGATCTGATTTTGGAATAATCCATGATGGTGGCGTTGGTGGTTGAAAGAAAAGAATGAATGAACTGGAAGGTCTTGGACGGGACTTAATGCACAATATCAAAACACCTTAGATGCAACGTCATTGTAATAAAAGTTGTAACACTCAGATTGAGACACTCGTAACAGCCCAAGACAATCAATTACGTAACTGAATTTGTTATTTATATTTATATATATATATATTTTTTTTTGCCAAGACTTTATTTTGGGCGGCTTGCAGACCACTTGCAGGCACTGCATTTTTCCTCGTCAATAAACTCGTCACGTTGTTTTTCAGCTTCGTATAAAAGTCAAGCGACTTCCCACTTCAAAGGTTTTTTTTTTTATTTTTATATATCTTTTAATTTTTTTTATTTTTTTATTTATTTTTAACATTTCAATATTGATATCAAAATATGATCACAGCAAGCATCCTTACAGGCGCGCAGCCTGCTTCCTCTTCTTCCTTTGATAAGATGTTTTCATCTATGCCTCTTTCAACATCTCTATCTTCGTCATCTTCATGTTCCTCCTCTGACTCTGAAGTCGAAGTTACGTCACAGACATCATCGGCCCGAACCTCTATTTCAGACGAACCTTTACCTGGCTCATCCAGTCAAGATTCACCTATTCCAACAAACCCATATACCGACCTCATTCGCCGATGTCCTACTCCTAAAGACATGGCCAAAGCCTACGAAACTCATCGCAGAAATCGGAATGCCGAAAAGCTTCGCCAAATGTCCCACTTGAAAACAGTCTCTCCAGACTCCATTCTCGCCGGCCTGGTGCTGCACGATCTCCCTCAAGAGTCTGATCCTAGAAACAACATTACGATATGGTCGCGACCGACTGTGCGTGTTATGGACCTCATTGCTATAATTCAACAGCAACTAATAGATACTTTACACAAAACTGCACCCTCACATGCATTACAGAAACAGCCGCCTGTTAAGCCAAACGACCCGGCTAACAAGGGGCCACTGTGGCTCATGCCTAGGGAGTGCCTACACCTATCAGTGCTAGAAGTTACCCACTCTGCACCCCCAGACGTCATCGATTCTCAAATAAAGCAACTAAAACCGTACCTTAGTGAGATTCTGACTTCTCGTGATAATGCACCAATTCTCGTAAAACCCCTGGTATGCTTCGACAGCGCAGCTTTCGCGCTAACATTTGCTCCTCTGGATTCCTCTCTGCAAAAGGAATATGGAGCTCATTCGGAAGACTACACATACACACACTACCGCGCTCATCTATACAATGCCATCAATAAGGCCCAAGTATATTGTGCAGCTAGATACGAAGTCCCCTCGGCACATGTCACAATTGCACGGTTTATTGAAGAGGTTTCTCCAAATGTCGTTGATGCACTACTAGAAACTATACAAAACATTAACACATGGCTGGAGGATGTTTACAGCAACCCGGAGTCCTTTAGTTGGCAGGTGGGCTCCGAGAGAGGAACAGAGTGCCGTTGCGGCCGCATCTGGTATGGTGGTGGATGGACCGAAGCTACCGGAGAGACTGTGGAAGAGCTCAAAAACGAGGACAGCTGGCAGTCCTAATTGACGAGAGATTAATCTTCCTGAAGTAATTACACCAACCTTGCATATATATTATTTTAATTTAACGTTTCGATGTGAACCTTTTAATACTATACTGTGGATGATGCTTGATGGAAAGTCAAAGAAAAAAAAACCTTCCAGCCCATTTTTTCTAAAGAGTTTTAGCAAACTACCAATTAATTGGCAAAACAATATTGTTTTGGAAGGTGGGTTGACTTTTTTAAGTTATTTTCTACTTTGTATCCAGTTTTCTTTATTTTTTTTTCTTCAGGCGCTTACCGAAACCCTACTTTAGACTACTACTAGCTTTAGCAAAAGTTTTCTGAATAGCTTTGTTAAAATAGCATATTTTAAGGTTGGGGAGCAGCAAAACTTGAAAGAGAAAAACGGATGATCGGCAATTTGACTTTTTCAAGTTTTTCCTAGGATTGTTTTTTTCATTCAAGGTATTTTGGAAATGACTGAATGGAGGACCTTTGGGGTATGTGGTGAAGGGAGGTTTTGTAGCACAAATTTCGAGAAGAAAGAATGTTTATGTCACAGATCACTGCATAGTTCTTGATTTGGAAGAATTACAAAGGATAGTAGACAAAAATGGAAAGCTTTATTTTACTAGTCCACTATGAAGATTTGTGTGGAGAAAGTTGGCAGTTAGACTGAGAAGTTATTGGAAATGGACTTTTGAAATTTTTTTTTCTTAGAAAAAGAAGAAAAAAAAAAGAGAACTTAAAGAAATATAAAATGCTTGTTCCTGATGAGTGGGTCTTTCAATTATAATCTAAGTGTTAAATGCTACTAAAAATGCACACCTTAATTCTATTGACCACTAATACTTTATTTAATTAGAAACAATAAAGGCGGTCACAAGATAATGAACTGAAGCAACGGAAGTTTAATGCACAAAACTGTCGCTTGAGACCGTCTGAATCACTTTAAGTTTTAGAGTACAGTCGGGACTAAGTTTGTAAGTACTACCTCTTTTTTTTTTTTTTTCCTTCCAGAAATGTGAACTATTTCTCCGATTCAAGGCGTTTTATTCGAGGTTGAAAGACTCGATTTCTTTCTTTAATTCTATGTAAAAGTTTACTAAACTATTGATAATTATCAATATTTTATTATAATGAAATTTCATTGATACTTGGTCTTCTAACATCAAAGCAATGATGGTTGCAGTTTAATGATAATCGACACTAAATTCATTAAATAAACTTTGCTGATTACCTTAAAATTAATTTAACAAAGTACAGGTAAATGAGCATCATTTGGTCACGTGAGTAAAGTAAACCCTAATCAAATCAGACTCTTAATTACATATTATCTTAAGTATATTTCAGTCCTTTTCATATTATTTGCTTTAAAAGCTTAAATTTTTTTCTCTACCTTCATTTTCTTCTTTTCTTCTTTTTTTTTTTCCTCACAAACGGCGCCTTTTGACAAACAGATGCAGCTACGTTCTTTAACATTTTTTTGTTCTTGAACTGCCTTTGGATTGTCCGTTTTGGACTTTCCGTTGGATTTACCTAGGCTGTCATATGCGATTCCAGGCGCCAATAGTGGGAGTTCCGTTAAGAACCTGTAAAAGAGCTCGCTTAGAGGTTTTCACCGAGGAGTATTTGAGTGTCAGAGAGGTTCAACATTTTTAATTCCATTAATTTTATTATTGGCCTGTAGTTGATAAGTTTCATATTGTAGTTTTTCATACTAGAGTATATTTGCTAATATGAAAGCTGTAAATAAACTAGACTTTAATAATTGTTAAGATTTATATCTGAATATCTGAACATCTGAGATTTTTTAAAAAAAAATTTTAATAAATCCCTTTGTTTTTTTTTAACATAAATTTTTGGCAGCAATTATGTTCCAACTAAAGAACGCGAAATATACACGTAACCTTCACGTCACGTCACGTCAAGTAAAATATATATTACAACTGTTACCAATCACAATATGTCGGTATGCTTGTTTATTTTTTTTTTAGAGAGAAAAAAATAAACAATCAAAATGCCATAGATCCTCCTGTTTCCTTCATATCCATATAACTGACTCACCACATTTATATAGAATTTGTCAGAAAATAAGGCACATAATCATTCAAATCATCAAAAATTTTTTCTTAATTTCTAAGCCTATTTATATATATTATTCACTAAGCATTAATCTTTGTCTTCCATTTATTCATACTCATGCCGAACCCTTCAGCACAGCGAAATGGGCGGAGCATGCGGTCCTACAAGCCCTCGTCAAAGCCTTCAATTTCTGGCATTGGGCTGCCAATGGAGGCCACATCTGTCAGCCAAAAGTTTGAAGGGGTTGTGGAAATAGATTTTCTTGATGACAAACTGGGATTCCCAAGATATGATTCAGGTCCCAAAAAAGTTGGTTGGCTTGTCAATATGCATAGTGTATGTCAAAAAAAAATTGGTAAATATTCAAGTCATTTGCTAATTTGTTTCTTTTTTAGACCACAAGACAACTAGACAACTCACCAGTGAATGGCAATGCCGGTGTCGATTATTACTTTTTAGACGAAGAGGGTGGTGGATTTAAAGCCACTGTTCTTTTTGATCCATATTTTTTAATCATCTGCAAAGTAAGTATCAGAAACCCATAAGATTTTCAAATGCTAACTATCAAAACAGAAAGGCTACGAAGCTGAAGTCGAAGAATATCTGAAAAAAGTCCTAGAGGGTGTTTTGAAAAATACAACAAGACTAGTAAAAGAGGACTTGCAATTGGTATGTCTATAGCATCTTGTTTAAAACCAAATCTAACAAACCACAGCCAAATCATCTTCTTGGAAACAAACAAACACTTATTCAACTCACATTCCATAACGTCACTGACTTACTAGCGGCGCGTCGCATTATTGCACCGCTGGTTGAAAAAAACAAATCTAAAAAAGAAATCAAAGATACCTATGAAGAAATTGCTCTTTCTTCCATTAATGTCGATTTTGACGATCTAAATAACGACAAAAAACTTGTCCAAGATCCATCAGAACTTATTTATGAAATTAGAGAATACGACGTACCATACCACGTTCGTGTTGCCATCGACAAGGATATCCGAGTGGGAAAATGGTACACTGTCGAATCAAAAGCTGGTATCATTCAGCTAACTGAAATGCCCGAACGTGAAATTCGTGCGGATCCTGTTGTTTTAGCGTTTGATATTGAAACAACAAAACTTCCTCTCAAGTTCCCAGATGCTGCTATTGACAAAGTAATGATGATTTCATACATGATTGATGGCGAAGGCTTTTTAATCACCAATCGCGAAATTGTTTCTGAAGACATTGACGATTTTGAATATACACCCAAACCAGAGTACCCTGGTGTGTTTACCATTTTTAATGAACCTGACGAAAAGGCTTTGCTCGAGCGATTTTTTGAGCATGTTCAAGAAGCAAAACCTTCAGTCATTGCCACTTTCAACGGTGACTTTTTCGATTGGCCCTTTGTTGAAAAAAGAGCCGCTGTCCATGGTATTGACATGTATACTGAAATTGGTTTCAAAAAAGATTCAGAAGAAGAGTACAAGTCTACCCAATGTGTTCATATGGACTGTTTCCGTTGGGTCAAGAGAGATAGTTATCTGCCCCAAGGTAGTCAGGGTCTGAAAGCAGTTACCACCGCCAAGCTAGGCTACAATCCCATTGAAATTGACCCCGAACTCATGACACCCTATGCAATGGAAAAGCCTCAAACAATGGCAGAGTATTCAGTTTCAGATGCCGTCGCCACTTATTATCTTTACATGAAGTATGTCCACCCTTTTATTTTCTCTCTATGCAACATTATTCCGCTCAATCCTGATGAAGTTTTGCGAAAAGGTACTGGTACTCTTTGCGAAATGCTTTTAATGGTTCAAGCTTACAAAGGTTCTATTGTTCTTCCAAATAAGCACACAGACCCGCTGGAACGATTTTACAAGGGTCATTTACTAGAAACTGAAACCTATGTTGGTGGTCACGTCGAATCTTTAGAAGCTGGTGTTTTCCGAAGCGACATTCCTGCGGAATTTGAAGTTGACTCCACTGCAGTTGATGAACTTTTGCGCGATCTTGACAACGCTTTGGTATTCAGCATTGAAGTGGAAGCCAGCAAAAAACTAGAAGATGTTACAAACTACGACGAAGTCAAACAAAAAATAACAGAAGCCCTTATGGTTTTAAAAAATGAACCAAAGCGCAATGAAAAACCTTCCATTTATCACGTCGATGTCGCGTCCATGTATCCAAACATTATGACAACTAACCGTCTGCAACCAGACTCCATGATTACTGAAGAAGACTGTGCTGCTTGTGACTTTAACAGACCTGGTAAGAACTGTGATCGTCGTTTACCGTGGGCCTGGAGAGGTGAATTTTTCCCAGCAAAGCTTGAAGAGTATATGATGATTCGTCGTGCTCTAGAAAACGAAGTTTTTCCAGCAAAGTCTCCCAATTTTCCTCCAATCCCATTTAGCTCATTGTCTGCTTCTGAGCAAGCTTCGCACACCAAAAAGCGTCTCACCGAATATAGCAGAAAAGTATACCATCGTGTCCACAAAACAGAAACTATTGAGCGTGAAGCCATCATTTGCCAACGCGAAAACCCATTTTACGTCAATACTGTGCGTGATTTCAGAGATCGTCGTTATCATTTCAAAACTCTGCAAAAAGTCTGGAAGAAAAAGGCTAGCGAGGTTCCTGCAAACGATGCTGCCGGAAAAGAAGACGCCAAGAAAATGATTGTTCTTTATGACTCGCTCCAACTCGCACATAAAGTCATTCTCAATTCCTTTTATGGCTATGTCATGAGAAAAGGTTCACGTTGGTACTCCATGGAAATGGCTGGTGTTACTTGTTTAACAGGTGCAACAATTATTCAATTGGCTAGAAAACTTGTTGAGCGGCTGGGCCGCCCGCTTGAATTAGACACTGATGGTATTTGGTGTATTCTTCCTGGTTCATTTCCTGAAAATTTTACCTTTGATCTCAAAGATGGCAAAAAGATTTTCATTTCTTACCCATGTGTTATGTTAAATCATCTTGTCCACGCTAAATTTACAAATCACCAATACCAAACCCTCGTTGATCCCAAAACACATTCCTATTCTACAATGAGTGACAATTCAATCTTTTTCGAGGTCGATGGCCCTTATAAAGCTATGGTTTTGCCTACATCAAAAGAAGAAGGCAAAGGTCTCAAAAAACGTTATGCTGTGTTTAACGATGATGGGTCTCTGGCTGAATTAAAAGGTTTCGAGTTAAAACGTCGTGGAGAACTTAAGCTTATCAAGACATTCCAAAGTCAAATATTTAAAGAATTTCTTCATGGAACAACTTTGAAGGAATGTTATGGTGCTGTTGCACGCGTTGCCGATAGTTGGCTTGATATTCTAGAGTCCAAAGGTGCAACTCTAGACCGTGAAGAACTTTTGGAGCTCATTTCTGAAAACAAGAGTATGTCTAAAAGTTTGGAAGAGTACGGCAGTCAAAAGTCTACCTCAATCACAACCGCTGGCCGTCTTGCTGAGTTTTTGGGTGCTTCTATGGTTAAAGACCGTGGTTTGAATTGTAAGTACATTATTGCAGATCGACCTGCCGGTGCTCCAGTCACAGAAAGAGCCATTCCTGTAGCAATTTTTTCTTCTGAAAGAAGTGTCAAAAGCCATTTTTTGCGCAAATGGCTAAAAGATTCATCTTTGGAAGAGTTCGATCCGAGATCCATTATAGACTGGGGATATTATTGGGAACGTCTTGCTTCAACTATTCAAAAAATCATTACTATCCCAGCTGGTTTGCAAAATGTTGAAAACCCAGTTCCTAGAGTTCCGCATCCTGAGTGGCTTGAGAAGCGTGTCCGACAGCAGACCCAAAACTTTAAGCAAAAGTCACTTTCCAGTTATTTTACAAAGACCAAGGGCCCTGCTCCTTTTTCAAACGGAAACTCTTCTGAATCCCAGATTGGCGACATCGAGGATGTGGGTAATGGTTTGTCCAAAACATCAGCCGTTATCTCAGCTCATCCTAAAGTAGCCAAAGTTACCCGTGTTTCTAAAAGACGCAATGACGCTTCCAAAGCTGCTCAGCCTGCCGAAGAATTTGAAAAATTGCCTGATAAAGTGCCACCAATTGATGGCGAATACAGTGACTGGCTTAGCTACCAAAAGAAACTTTGGAAGATTCAGAAAGCAGAGCGGTTGCGCCGCCGCCAAGTGTTTGGCACTTCCGGCTCTGCAGTATCTTCTATCCGTGCTACTGGTATTGCGAGCATGATGCAAAACCAGGTTCAACAAGCCTTTGGACATGATGTTTGGAACATTGTACAAATTCTAAACAATCCCTCAAAGCCTGGAGAGGTTCGCGTCACAGTTTCCATTGGCGGAAAGTTACAAACCGTCCGAGTCAAAGTTCCACGTAAAATATACGTCAACTTCAAGACAGGATTTATTGTTTCAGATCTTGAAAAGGAACTGTCAAATAGCAAGATTGAAAAAGTTCCAAACATAGTTCTGCCAGATGGCTCTACATCTACTTTGCTTTATCGTCTGACAATGACGGAAGAAGCTTACCTTGATGAAATGGACAAGCCCACTTCTATTCTTAAGCACCCTCTAGTTGAAGGCATCTACGAGTCCAACATCGATAGCACACAGAATATGGTCTTAGATATTGGTCTTGCTTGTTCTCTCAGTAATAATAGGCCTGGTTTGCTTGGTAAGGGATTGGCTTCTGGGTTTGAACTAGAATGGCTTTCTCCTTATGATGGAAAATCTTCTATCCACGGTAAAGCGAAACATAATTATCTTGATTCTGTTTCGTTTTCTTACATTCATATCATCCACGTTTCATTTTTGGACCACCATATTGTGCTCATCATTCCCACTTGGTCTTCAAAAGCCCACATTTTGATTGCTCGACCAATTTCCCAAGCACAACCTTTCCCTAATCTTGCAAGAATTTACACTTCTTTACTTGCCGAAAGAAATGCTCGTATTCAACAACAAGGTGATGACACCCAAAATCTTTTTGAATATCCCAACTTTATGGCGTTTGAAGAAACTACATTCAATAGCCTAACGCGTTTGTTCCAGCGAGCAAACAAAATTCTTGAAGCATTACAGAGTGAAAAGGGCATTCAAACCATTGTTGCACTGCAGTCACCTACATCAGAACGTTTCAAGGGCATGGTCCGCACTATCAATGACTTCCCCATCTGTCAAATTCGTGCGACCAATACCTCATCATTCCCATCTCTTGGTTGGCAGCAAATTGCCGCAAAAAAGATGATTGCCCAATTTTTTGGACTTAACAAATGGCTAGTCCACCTTCATGGACTTGCAAAGTACAGTAAGATTCCCCTTTGCAATTTGCAGTGGGATGATATGCGTTATGTTATTGACGTTAACTATGCTAGACGTCTTCGAGCTGCCGGCCTTGTTCTTTGGTGGTCGTCAACGCCACTTCCGGATGAGGGTGGAAAAGAAAACGATGCAATGGCATTGAGTGAAATCGATGCACTTGATTTGCCTGTGGTTAACAACCCAGGTCTTTATACCACAGTGTGCTTAGATCTGAGCGTACGAAATCTTGTCATCGATACTGTCTTAACGGCTTCCTTGTTGATGAATGCTGAAGGTGGTGGCGGAAGTAGTGGTAACTCCATCTTGATGACAACCGAATACGAAAACGGTCAAGTTGAAGAAAAAGTTGTTCCCTTTGTTGAAGGCGCGTTCTCAACACCAGCTATTATTGCTCTGTCCAGCATGGTTAAGGGATGGTGGAACCAAGCCCTCAAAGAAGATGAGTCATCTCCGTTAGCAATATTTTCTGATGCCATGGTTAACTCATTCTTGTCATGGGTATCTTCCCGCGATTCCTTTATGTACCATCGCACTCTTTTGCAGCACGTCAACACCTTGACGCAAAAGACTTTTATCCAACTTTTGCGTGAAGTACGCAAATCTGGATCTCGGTTGGTTTTTGCTGACCAATCTCACTTGGTGCTTTTGACTTCCAAATCCTCTGTCGAAACATCATACGCGTACGCCAATTACCTCATCAAAACAATTCATTCCAAACCCTTTTTCCAGTTTTTGGATCTTGAGATTAACTGTTACTGGGGCCGCCTTTTGTGGATGGATGACGTCAACTTTGGTGGTCTTGGTTGTGTGGATATTGATGCCACAAGCAGCAATGAGGTTCCATTGGAATTGGCTCTGAAATGGGACATCAAAGGATTCCTTCCCCCAAAGCTCGCGTTGGAATTTGACAGTTGGATCACCAAGTTCCTGGAAGCCGTTGATGAGAAAGTTAGCCACTATGATCCACATGCTACTGCAGATTCCGATAGCGATAATGAAAAGGCTGTGAGAGCTACTCAAATTCCACATTCTAATGAAGACACAGCCAACATGTTAAAAGGCACTGTTCAAGGTTTGCAAAAGCAGTTTTTGAGCCGGGTACGTGCTTTGATCCAGAAGCAGCACTTGTGTATGAAGGTGAACATTGAAGAAGCTATTGCTGAAGAAAACGAAGAAGATATTGCTTCTTATAAATCATTCAATACGGTGTCGCATCCGGGAAGCCTTGCTCAAGCATTTACTTTGGCTACAAATACTTTGGGTATCCCTATAATGTCCGGATCAGGCGTATCGACAAATGGATATGGCAACCAAGTTTCTTCCATGGGTAGCTCATATATCCACAATCAAAACATTACCAACAACAATGTGCTGCAGCTTGTCAAATTCATTTGTGCCATATTTAGTCTTGCCAAAAGCATCGAACTTGAAGTACGTCTTTTTAGACGTAATGCATTGTCCCTTTTTGATATCCGCGAGTTTTCTACTGAAGGCAACTTTTCCAATCCCACGGCCTCTTTACGCGTCTCAAACTTTTCTTGCTCAAATTGTGGTGATGTGCGCGACGTTGACTTGTGTCGTGGTGTATCTGAAAGAATTCAATATGCCTACAAACTTTGGCAACGTGCTCAAAAACAACAACAGGAAAATAACATTAATCCTCTTGACGACACCTCTTTTGGTAAATCAATGAGTCTTGGAGAATGCACTGAGTGTGGTCATCCATATAGCCGCGTTCAAATTGAAGAGCAGTTGATTCAGCAAGTGCTGCGACTTTTGACGCAATATCAAGTGCAGGATTTGAAATGTTCACGATGCAAGCGCGTGAGAGAAGACGACATGTCTTTACATTGTCCTTGCTCTGGAGACTGGATCGAAAGCTTACCTAGAGATGAAGTAGCCCGTAAGATTGCTATATATGCTCATTCTTCTGGATTTTATGGCCTGAAACTTCTTTCGGGCTTTATTGAAAACCTTTTTTAGGTGTGTTTAATGAAATGTTTATAATTAATGATTTATGTATTTGTATTTGTATAATGTTATTTTAGAAAATCTATTGTGTTAACTAATTGAACATACCGTAATAGAGGTCAAGATAATAATAATATTAGTTTTTCAGTTCTCGATGCTTCCGACGTCTTATACCTGATGAAAAATTATTGTAGTGATATTGTGATCTGAGCTCATTTCATCACATTGAAATGACAAACACTTTTGATAAAGATGGTCAATTCTGCATAATCTGTCAGCCAGATGTAAATAGAGGATTAATTATGGTTCAAAGTATTGATTTTGTATAAAAACATGTCTGATTGAATTTCTGAATTGGGTTTTAAAGAACAAAATAGCAAGAAACTCAACTTTTTTCTTCTTTTACCTCCAATCTACTGCAATAAAAGTCTATTTGTTTGTTTGTTTTTATTCAAGGGTTATAGAATTATATAACATCAGCATCTGCGCTATCCTTCTTGTCCATACTATATATCTTTTCATTTTAATAATAAACTTTTAATTTTGGCTTCAACATTGAATCTCCAACAGCCCGAAAATAAGTCCTGATGCCAGCTTACGAGGAACAGGGGGTTAAAAATAACCAAACCTTCCCAACTTATCTCCACTTGTCTTCATCAACGCTGTAATTGTATTTCTTAATCCCTCCAAGCAGAGATAAAGCTTACAATCTCTTGTAAGCCAGTTAAACTGTTTAAGAGAGTCGACATGTCCATCTCTGGAGATATCCGTTTGAGTCCTTTTCTTTCCTCTTCAAGCAAAGGACACTCAACTAAAATGTGATGAACTGTTTCCAGCTCTCCACATTTGCAGTTGTAACTATCCTTTTCAATTCCAAACTTTTTAAACCATGCGCCAAAATTGCCATGGCCTGTGCGAAACTGAGTAATATTACTCAAGATCCTTCGACTATCTTTCTTCATGATCACTCCCGTAACCATTTTGGAAAGATTATCAGTACATTTCGACTCCACTGTGATATTATGATACCACAGATCCTTACTACTGTTCCAATACATTTCTTGCCATTCTTCCATTGCTTGTTTCTTCAAAATCCCAATCGTCTGATTTTGTTGTTGTTTCAGTGTAAGAGGTTCAACTCTCTTGCATTTTCGTTTTTCACCCTTTTTAATCATGTAGTCTCTATCATCTTTCGCCAACATGTAAAGCGTGGTTAGCTTTGCAATTGGAGATTTCTCAATCAATGTTAACAAATGACCATTAATAGGATTAGTTTTGCTAATATTTAGGTGTAAACGAATAGCTTTTCGTGCCACCATAAATTTTAGCCTAATACTATATGGCATAATACCAGCTTCCTTTTGTAATACCGCAATAGGAGTTGTGCGATAAGCACCAACAATTCTTCTTAAAGCCATGTTCTGCATCACTTCCAACTTGTGGATTTCTCCTTTCAAGACTTTATGATGCCAAATTTCTAAGCCATATTCGACAATTGGTCTCACGCAAGCAATATACAGTGATCTGACTGCAGACCCCCGCATACCTTTTTGCACGCCACCAAGATGCCAAATAGCACCAACAGCTTTTCTTGCTTTATTGATTTTGTTCAAAATATGAGATTTAAAATCAAGCAGATTGTTCAAAGTAATTCCAAGCAATTTAACTTCCTTCTGGGGTTCACGAAGTTCTCCATTAAGTAAAGTAAGTTGCACTTTCTCATCTTTAGGTTTCACATTTTTTGTAAAATGAATGAAACCCAATTTATCACCCAAATCAATTTTGGTCATTCTTGATTTAGCCCAATTACAACATTTTTCTAATATGTTGCTTAAGCTTTTGGTATTTTCTTCAATTTTACCTTCAACGGTAATAGTCACATCATCAATAAAGCCAAAAGGAGTTCCACCCCATTCTTTAATGGCATGATACATTGGTGTGGAATATATCAAAAAAAGTAGTGGTGAAATAGGTGAGCCTTGCGGAATTCCAGTACTAATTTTTTGCACTGATCCTTTTCTTCGGTCCATGAGCATACTAGCTTCTCTTTCACTTACAAATTGGTACGTCCAGTTTATAAGTACTTTGGGTAGTTTCATATCCTCCATTGTGTCTGCCAATATATTTCTGTTAACGTTAACAAAGGCTCCTTGAATATCAATGAGCATAGCTGAAATTTTTTCTTTACTAGTTTCAATTCTTTGGACAAGTTCCAAAACAGCATCAGTAGCACAATAACCTTGTCTTCCCCCATATTGCTCTGGTGGAATTAAGTGTGTAGTAAGCTTGGTCATTCTTTTTTGTATAATTTTTTCCAGTACTTTAGATGGAATCTTAAGTAAGGAAATTGGTCGGTATACTCTTGGCTTTGAATAGTCAGGTTTCTTAGGTTTAGGTATAACAACAATAATGCCATGTCTCCAGACTTTTGGGTGGTATCCAAACTTCACACAAGCTTGGAGAAGCTTGAAAAACCTTTCCTTAAAGTCTTTATTCAGCCATGCCATCTTTAAAACTTTGCCCGTAATTCCATCGTCTCCTGGAGCTTTATCATTTGGGGTATCAGCCAATGCAGAGTCAACTTCATCAAACTCTAATTTTGGCCATCGAGAATCGTCATCAATTTCAAACTCTCTATCAAGACCATGATCAATTTCAGGTAGAAGTGCCTTCCATATTTCATGTCTTTTTTCGTCAACAGTAGTAGTGAGAGTTCCATCTTCTTTTCTAATCTGTGGTATAATGGTATCATTGCTTTTTGGGTTAATGTACTTCAAAATCTTCCAAATGTCATTTCCTTCTAAACTGGACAAATATTTATTCCATTGCTCAGTACTTGCTTCACGCAAACTGTGGTCAAATTTTTTTCTAGCTTTTTTCGCCTCTTCAATTTTTTGTCGTTTCAAAGCCAAAAAAGGTTGCCTTTGACGGGCTTCCCTTTTAGCTTCTAGCGCTTTTAAAAAAGTCTATTTAAAGTACCAAGTTAATTTTCATGCTTAACTTTATTCCAATTTAATTATAATTCTATTTAATAATCACATGATTTTAGATGCAGTGGCTCAACGGTAGAGCATTGGATTCCAAATCCAAAGGCTGCAGGTTCGATTCCTGTCTGTGTCATTTTTTTGTTAATTTTTTGCTTAATTAAAATCACGTGATTGTGTGTTGGCAATATTTTGGCAGCTAAGTATCATTTCAATTCTTCCTTCTTACATATATCAATCATATAAACAACAACAACAATAGTAATGGATCTTTTTTTTGGCAAAGATAGAGTTGAAAGCTCTGATTCTGGTTTCAGCTATATAACTGGACTAGATGATTCATCAGATTACGATGCTAATGGTTTACCAACTGCTCGTAAAATTGAGCGTCATTCGTTTTCAGTCCCAAACGCTACTTCTGAAGATGGTAAAGAAGATTCCTTTGACGTCGACAAGTTCTTGACAGACCATCACCAATTTCAAACATTAGAAGATATTGAAAAGCAGCTTCAAAACTGGTCGGTTGTTTTAGAAAAAGAACTTGTTGATTTAATAAACCAAGATTACAGCAAATTTGTCGGTTTAGGAACATCGCTAAATTCTGGTCACCCTCGTGTTCAAGATATAAAGGTCGAAGTTCTCTCTTTTCAAAAGGAGCTAAAGGTCAGTAGTAAATTTTATGCATACTTTGATCATTTTTAACATAATTTTAGGTAATTCAAGCTGTGCTTGACGAATCCGTCTCTGAAGTTGATTCAATGCTTCAAAAGAAATTTCAAATTATGGAAATCGAAGTATGTGTTATGCTATGTCTTTTTTTTTTTCATTAACTAACATTTAAAGAATCTTGTTGAAAATTTAATTCTTTACAATGACAAACTTAGTGATGCTGAGTCCCGAGTTAAAGAAGCCATTGGCCAACCACACCACCCCCCAGACTCCACCTCGCTGGACACAGCCAATAACACCATACGCTATGACTATAGCATTTCAGAACTTGAAGAGCTTGGAGTCTCAGTTCTTGCATGCGAACATCAGCGCTCTAAGGTCCCTCGCTCACACCCATTTGTTGTTTCCGAGAGGTCACGTCTTGTTGCTCTAAGACTACATGTTACATCTGTATACCCTTTGTTTTTCCACGAATACAAGCAAAAGATTAAGACAGACAAGAAATCAATTGATTCAGGAAGAATTTTTGGATTGGTGCTTTTGTACAAACAGATTAAGACGCGAATAGACCAGGACGAGTATGAACTGCAAAAGGCCTCGAAGGAAGAGCTTGAGAAGAAAAAGGCTGCCGAGCAGTCTTCCAATGGCTCTAGCTCTTTTGAAAATGGGCACTTGAAAAAGCCATCGACTTCTCGAACCCGCAGTAATAGTCCTGCTGTTTTACGAGTTTCTTAGACTGTAATTATTAGCTTTTAGATAGAAATAACCACCTTGTGTCCTTGTTATCGGGTTTACCTGTATGAAATTTGTATTATGTAATAAATTGTTTTGTGATTACATAACATCTTTTGAAAAAAATTTTTTTGGTGATGTTGATTTTGTGAATATTTTTCACCTCTAAAATAAAATCCATCACAACCTTTTACATATATATATATATATAAATATATAAAATCAACCAAAGGGTATCTGTTTTCAGTCCCCCCCAGCATATATAAACTCATCATCATGGCTGACGGATTTTTCACAAACCCCAAGAATCGGAAGAGAAAGAGAACTCAGGAAAAGCCTGGTCGACAAGGAAAACCCAAACCAAGCGGCGCTGGTCCTAAACGAAGCAAAGAGGAAGTTGAGGACGATGAAATTCCCAGTGACAGTGACGACATGGCCGACGAAATTGATAGCGGCGATGAGGAAGACGCAGCAAGCTTAGACGGTGTTGACAGTGACGATGATGAGAACGAGACGGCTGCTGATAAACGACGACGACTGGCAAAGCAGTATCTTGAAAACATTCAATCTGAAATGGGTACGTGTATTTGGCAAGAATTCATTTGACAAGTGTTACTAACATAAAAATAGCTGAGGTGGAAGGCTTTGATGCTGCTGATCTTGATCGTGAAATCATTTCTAGCAGACTGCGACAAGACGTTGCAGAAGAGCAGGGAGATGTTTACAAATTCATTGCAGATACCTTAAAGCCGATAGATACCATCAACAAGAAGCTGGAGGCTGGTGAGAAGCAGAGTAAGGTTCGGTTTACACACATGAAAAGCTACGGTGTTAATTCGGTAGATGTGCATTTCCCATACGCCTACACGGTAACCAAGGATCTTTACCTGGCCAAGTGGGATATTTCCAATGTGTTGGCACCAAAGATTGTTCGCTACGTTAAGGGAAACCACCGCATTGCCAAGGATAACGAAGATTTTAAGGGTCACCGTGACGAGATCCTGTCTGTTGCAGCATCTCCGGATGGTAAGCACGTTGTGACGGGTGGCAAAGATAAGCGGCTTGTGGTTTGGACGACAGAAAACTTATCTCCAGTCAAGGTGATTCACATTCGCAACGGCCACAAGCCTTTAGCGGTGACTGGTCTCGTTTTCCGCCGCGGAACCAATGAGCTGTATGCAAGCTGCTCTGATCTGATTGTGCGAACATTTAACATTAATCATATGGCTCAGACAGAAACACTATTTGGCCACCAGGATCTAGTTGCCGACATTTCAGCTCTAGGAACTGAGCGTTGCTTGACAGTTGGGTCGCGCGACCGCACAGCTATGTTGTGGAAGATTAGTGAAGAGTCTCGTTTGACATTCCGTGGTGGAGACTCAGAAAAGGTGATTAAACAAATTCTGCAGGAGAACAAGACGGGTACTGATCCCGCGGACCGGACACCAATAATAGAAGGCAGCATTGATACGTGTTCATTGATTGATGACTCGCACTTTATTACAGGAAGTGATAATGGCAACATCAGTTTGTGGTCGCTGCAAAAGAAGCGGCCTCTGTTTGTGGTGCGTGAGGCCCATGGTCGCGACGCTCCACTTACCAGAGAGCAAGCCAGTGCTGAAGCCAGCAATGTAAATGTGGAGATTCCACCAGCACTCCCCCGTGGTATCACGGCCCTTACAGCTCTCCCCTTTGGCGATGTATTTTTGTCTGGGTCTTATGACGGCACTGTCAAGGTGTGGCGGCTTACAGCTGGGTTGCGAGGGTTTGAGCTGCTAGGTACTGTGGCAGTCCCCACGCATAATGTTACTAGTGATGATGGCAATAGTCGGCGGAAACACAAGAAGAAGCATGCCAACTTTAACGTTGGTGTTATTAACAAAATCTGCATTGTGGAGACCGGTTCAAAGGGCAAGGAAACATATGCTGTGCTTGTTGCTGTGTCCAAGGAAATCAAAAACGGACGCTGGATCAAAATTAAGAATGGCAAAAATGGGCTCTTGTCGTTTGCTTTAGAAAGAAAGTAGACGGTTCTTTTTATTTACATATAAGAGCTATAGATAGAATAAATATTTTTTTTTTGCTATTTACTAATTAAACCCATATTAATGGCAAATCCTATCAGTTCTGCAATAATAAAGAGTAAAAAGGCCCAAAAGATGAATGCAAAGGCACGCGTAAAGTAGAAAGTGAAAATGCGCTCGTGGCAAAACCCATTTACAAACGAATACATTCCCTTGTCTTCTGTCCAAAAGTATGTAAAGTCAAGTGCTGCCAGTGGTGAAAACCAGTCCCATTTAGAGGTATTTGGCACTGGGTACACACGCTGGGAGGGTCCAATTGGGGAATAATAAAAATTTGTTGCACCTGGGGTTCGCGAGCGAAGCAAGTCCATTATGGCTGCTGTGAAGTTATTTGCATCTTCCAGGAGATGCTTGTAGGTATCTTGGGGGTGCAGTTCCTGTGGAGTTGTTGTAAAGGGATGTTGAATACGAGCCTTTTGTTGGACAGTTAAGGATTTTTGTTGCCGTTTGTGTGGCATTGAGTTCTTGGGCATGTTTAGAATTGTCCAAGCAGTAGGGGCAATGTCTGGTGAATGCAAGTCAGTTGCTGTAATGTAAGGCATGGAATGTTTTTCAGTAAATCGAATGGTGGGCAGATCTAGTGTACCTTCAGATACAGACTCAAACCCATCGACGCCCCATGCTAAAAGTTGTTCGATAGTCGGGTGAATCTGGATGGTGGGTACTTGGCGGCCATATTCGGTTGAGAGAGACCACGGAAGGTGGTTCACAAAGACGAGGCCGCCACGGCGGTGTGTTTCATTAATGGCCATTTGTAGCTCTTCATCTGAAGGCCACTTTGATGGTGGCGAAAGATATGATGGTTTTTTTGAATCATCATCATCATCAGCAGCAGCAGCAGCAGCAGCAGCAGTCAAACCAACAAGATTCATATGGATACGACAGCAAGTGTACTCAATTCCAGGTACAACATGAATTTCAGAAGACCTATTTTTCAAAGCATACTCTTGAGCTTTAAGTCCACCTTGTAGGTTGTTATGATCTGTGACAAACAACACATTAAATCCATATGCAATAGCCCAGTCGACCACTTGTGCCGGTGACATGGACCCGTCTGAGTGTGTTGTGTGGGTATGAAACTCCGCAATTAGCGGGACAGTTTTTTCTTCCAGAGGGATATTGTTCCATGCTGTAATGCGAGAAGGCTCTATTGAGTCCGGGATTGATAGCCGGAACTTGTCTGTGAACCAGACTTTATCAGGGACTTCTGAAACAAGCGATCGAGCAGGTAAAAGTCCCTTTAGCTGGATGATGATGATAGCTGTGATTAGGACTGCACACGTTAGAGCGTACCTTAAAAAGCGTATAACAAAGTTGGTGTACGCAAACCCCGGTGCGGCGCTCGGCGCGGCATGACTGCTGGTTTCGGCCACAATGACACGACCAGCGACGTTGGATTCCTGGACATTTGTCCCATGACGTTTTTGGGTTCCAAGAGTTTGTTGGATCTTGGATGGCTTGGTGGTATCAGGGCTTTGAGGAGTAGGGGATCGTCTGTTTACGACGCTGTCGTAATCTGGAGAAAAAAAAGATGAAGAACTCATGGTTATTAAGTGAGTGTTTGATCAAGCCAGGCTGGTCAGTTGTGATTTAAAACCTTGACTAGAAAGAGGGTATCAAAGACAGTATTAGGTATTAAGAAAATGGAATGTAAATAATGTTAAAAGAAAAAAAAAAAAAAAAAAAAAAAATTTTTTGAGAAAAAGAGATTTCAAAAGGTTTCGTCATGGAGGGTTATTGGGTTTTGCATATGGTTAAGGTGAAAATTAGGATTTCTTGTTGGAAAGAAGCTTAAAAAAAATGAACAAGAAAGAAGCAGTGCAACCTGCATGTCTGTTAACTTGGTACACGTGATTTAACTGTGTTGGGATAGTAATTACGCATAGTATGTAACTATAATACTGGTGATTGCAAGTATTGTTTAGAATTAGAGTCCATGCAAGGTTGTTTGGGAAAAGGACTCTAAACGGGATATATCCTGTTTAAACTATATAGTTTAAATTCAAAAAGCAGTATTTAAGGGTTTTTAGTTAATAGGCTGTTTTTTTTTTTAAAATCTACAGAAACAAGTATTTTGGGTTTTTTTGAAAAACACAAGTTTATGAGAGAGATACTAGATGGTAAAGTTGGTCAAGTACAAAATGAAATAAAATGAAAACCGATTTTTTGTTTTTTTAATAAAAGGCCTGAAATTGTTGATGGATTGTTTATAATTTAGTTTTTTAGTAAATTTATAAGTTTAATGTTTTTCTATGAGCTTTAAAACATTATGCATTTCAACAACAGGACTTGGCGATTTTCCGAAAAAATCATAACAGGATATTTAATGAAAAAAAGTCAATTTCTCCGGGCCGCCCATTTTTTTTTCTTATTATTATTATTATGTAAAGCGGTCTTTAGAATTGATCCAATTTTAAAAAAAAAAAAAAAAAAAAAATAGGACTTAAATTGAGTATATTCAACAATTGAAGAGAAAAAAAAAAGAGAGAAGAAAGTTTTGTTGCAGCTGCGACATGATCGGTGGGTGCATAAGGCCTCGTGAAATAAACACCCTATGTGCACAAAAACTTTGGAGAGAAATATTTCATAATGAAGTTTATTTTTTTTAGATTATTACTTTTTTTTAAAAAAAAAAAATTAAATATATATATACAGTTTTTTCCGATTTTTCAAGGCCACAATTGAAACAAAACAAATTCCTCGGTCAAAGTTGAAGAAAATAAAAAAAAATAAATATTAAAAAAAAAGGCTTATTGGTTTAAAAAATTTCAACTTTCTTTGATATTTAAAGTGGGGTATTTGTTGAGGCCTTGAAGTTTAATTTAAAATTGATAACTGGTATTAGCAATTGAAAATGACAAAAACAAATTCAATCAACTCTTTCATTGTTTAAAATAAATGTAGTGATTTTTTAGGATATTTGCTTTAGAATTAGCATATATGTGACAAAAGAAGTATTTTGTTTCCATTTTGAGATATATCAAATAAAATGATGTGATTTAAAAAAGAAGTTTTTTTTATCATTTTTTATATATATTTCAAGGCTTCTTTGTTTATGGGAATAAAGTAAATAAAAGAAAGTTTGATTTAGAGGGATTACCCAGGTGACGTTTATTTTAAGCTTTAAAATAGCTTGAAAAAAAAAAAAAAAAGAAAAAAAAAATTTTAAAAAATAAATTCAAACTTCTTTTTGAGAAATAAAAAGCATGCAAAAGTTTTATTTTAGCGATAAATCTTAAAAGGATGGTATTTTTGAAAAAGGGAAAAGAAAAAAAAAATTGTGGTCATAAATATGAAAGGCGTTCAAAGGATAAATGGTAGGAATGGTTTAAGAACTTGAAAAAAAAAGATGATCTTTTGAAAAGATAGAGAAAGGGTAAAAAAAAAAAGATGATCTTTTGAAAAGATAGAGAAATGGTAAAAAAAAAAGAATGCTAACAATGTGGTAATAACAGTAAATTTACCGTTAAGACAATAATTTTTTCATTGTAAAGAGATAACGGCTCGGCTGGAATATTAAAGATAGATGATGAGGTGAGCTCGGCTTGTTGGTTGGTATTTAAGAGATGCGGTAAGTTAGAGGTCAACTTTTTAAAATTTTTATTTTTGCAGTAACTTTTTTTTTTAAGGAAGAAAGAAAAAAAAAATTAAATAAATAAATAAATAAAAGAGTGTGTATGACTTTACTTTATGGGTTGGTTTCATCATGAGATAATCTTCCCATAAATGGACAGAAAATAATAATAAGTGTAGACGACATTTTGGAAAGTGAAAAATAAAACAAAAAAAAAAAGGCTCACAACGAGAAGATAGAAAATGGAAGCGTGGAAACATGGTTGGCCCAGGTTCTTCTAAACATGAGCGTAAAAATTTTTTTTTATTTTTATTTTATTTATTTTTATTTTTTAGGCTTCATCATCAACGTATGGAATTAAACTACTTACCCCACGATGTCTCATGAAAAAAAAAAAAAAATTTTTTTCTTTTCATTATTATTTCATCATCAGCCTAGATTAATGAAAAGTAAAATGTTTTTTTTTAGTGGCATCTCTTCTTGATGCACTGCTTCATCATCTCTGCGCAAAAAAATAAATAAAATAAAATAAAATGAAAATAAAGAATGAAGCATTTAAGTTTCATGAGAAAAAAAAAATTTCTCTTTTAATATTGTTAATGAGATGGATGATTTTAAAACTAATCAAACAAAAAATTTGAGGCTTAAGCCTCAAAAAAATAAAAGAAAAAAATAAATTATTTCTAATTTTCAAAATAAATTCAATAAAGCCCTAATGATCCTCATTTCACGTGCAACAATCAAGCTATGATGTGATTTGAGAAAAATAACAAAAAAAAAAAAATTTTTTTTGTCAACCTCATAAAAATTTTTCACTTTTTGAGGCTGTTTTTCCCCCAGGTTTTTTTTTTTTTAGTGATGTAGCCGTGCGTGCAAGCCTCAAAATGAAGGGGATTGATTATATAGTGGGAAAGAAAAAAAAAACAAAAAAGCCCTTGAGTATATATTGAGGGAGAAAAAAAATAAAAAAATAAAAAAAAAGGTGTTTACCAAAAGTTGTTTGAAGAAACAATAACTAACACACGTGGAGAAAAGAAGAAATTTTAAAAGCGCTCCCTGAAAAATTGAATAAAAAAAAAACAATGAGCGCTCATTTTCCAGGACTAGGTTGAAAAATCTGTCAAAAAAAATAAAAATAAAAGCAAATTTCCGTAAAGGTATTTTATTGTTACATAGTTTAACTAGGATTATTTTTTTTTTCGGAATGTTGAGAGAGAAAAAAAATTTTTATTTTTTTTCAATCTTATCCAAGTCCAATCACAGAATTGAATCAGGGCCATGATGGAACAATGAAAAAAAATACATGAATATACATGAAAATATCATAATATTTGATCCAAACTCATATTTTTTTCATATTTTTTCAGCTCATTTTGTAATTTAGCATATCAATTTTTTTTACTACGTTTTTTTTTTTTTTTTTTTTTTAAAAAATTATTTTCAAGTATTTTCTTTATTTTATTTTTTTTTTCCAATTCCTATTTTGGAAATATTTCTTGTCATCGCACCCCCAACAACAACCCTTAAAACAAGCCACACGGATGTTTACGTGCACAAGTTACTGGCATACACACTTTCAGACTACATTATTAGAGAGAATAAGAAACCCAGTCAAAAAATGAATAACGAATAACCGGTTGAAAGGTGCGGCCGGGGCGACTGGAAAAAAAAAAAACTCTTTATTTTATTTTGGAGAATTGTAGGTTTGAAATAATAACATTTTAACCATACACACATAGCCTGAATAGGACATGAGAACGGTACTTATTTGCAAGAAAAAAAAAAAAAAAGTATGGTATCATAATTTAATGGGCTTTTTTTTTTAGTTGTTTAGTTTGCTTCACTCTCTCCTCTTCAGTATGAGAAAAAAAAATTTATAAACTAGGCTTGTAGAAACAGGAAGAAGGAAACCAGTAGGTAAAGAGGCATATTTTGTCTTAACAAGAAGAAGAAAGAAAGAAAAAAAAAACACACCTACATACACATAAACCCTTAATTATGATCCCATTTTTTTTTTGTTAGATTCACCGGACAGAGGGAAAACATGGAATTATAGGGGGGACCATCAAAATATGAAAGAAAGATGTTTTTTTTTTTTTCAAAAGTTTTTAGTTTTAATTTTTTTTTAAAAAAAATAAAATTAAATCAAAAGTTCAATTCAATTTCTAAAAAAAAAAAAGGCCTGTGTATTTAATGAAAGATGGGAAAAAAAAAAAAAATTTTAAAGTATAAAACCTTAAAAAAAATTGTTTAAAAATAATAAATATTTTTTAAAATTTACCATGACATAATTTATTTTTTTTTATTTTATTTTTAACTTGAAAATTTCTCTAAAATGATTTTTTTTTCTTTCATAATTCTTTTTTTATAGTAACATTTACCGAAATTCTCTTAAAGTTATTACTTTAATTTTTTTTTTTTTTCAAAATCAATTTAATTTTTAATTCCTTTCTGTTTTTTTTTTTTTTTTTCTTTCTTTTTATTTTGTAAAAACATCTTGAGCCTTTTATTTTTTTTTTTTTTTTTTTGTATTTTTTTTTTTTTCTGAAATCCTCCCTCTCCTCCTCCTCCCCATGAAGGTGTTTCGGTGTCTATCAATCAATGTTTTGCTGAAAACAATACGTGACAAAGCAACCGATACTTGCATAAATTGGTGTGTGTGCATACTCTGAGCGCAAGCAACCATAAGAAAATGAAGGAAGAAAAAAAAAAAACAGAAAAGCAATCAATGGAAAGAATTAATAAGAATTAAAATAAAATAAAATAAAATAAACTAAATTCAGTTTTAACAGTTATTGCTAATATCATTTTTTTTAAAGATTCAAAGGACTTGACCGAGTTTAATGAACCTGTCTATTGTTTCGGAATTTCTTACGGAGATACTACATTGCCCACATTGAATTGCCTTTTGTTTTCTGTTTTTGAATTTTTAAATTTTTCAACTCTTTGTCCTCCTCCTCCCCCACCTCT